CATAATTCATTCCAACGTATACCACCTCGTAATCATCGACCTTTCCCATGAATTCAACACTTTCCTCCCACCCTTCATTTTAATAAATTAAGGTTCATGTTCTTTCTTTCATTCCACCACAACCCATCATTTTTCTTCCTTTTCTCTTTTCTATATGGGGTTGGGAAGGACTGGCCTATTTGATCTTGAAAAGCACTTTGCTTTCTATGGAGCTTACCATAGCAGCCCAGTTAACATAGCAATCCATACGTTGTTTGTTTGACCTATTTTTTTCTCAGCACTTGTTATTCTCTACTTTGTGCCTCCCTTCTTCAACCTTCCCAATTCAGAGTTTTCCATGTTGGAGAAACAAGTGATCTTGGTTTGGAATGTAGGGTTCTTAGTTGCTTTGGTCTACTCAGTTTTCTTTGCTTGTTTGGATCTCAAAGCTGGTTCCTTGGCTGCTTTGTTTTGTGCTGTTTGTTGGGTTGGGAGTAGCTTTGTTGCAAGCCAACTAGGGTTGTCTCTAGCTTGGAAGGTAAAAGCAAAATAAGGTTGTTGGGGGCATATTAGTTTTTTTCTTTTTGTTTGTCACTTTTTGAAAATTTATATAACATTAAATATTTATATTAAGAATTTAATTTTGATACTGCTTGATATAAAAAAAATTTATCTTATTAACCAATTAATAATCATTGTAAATATAACTGTACTTATTGTAAAAGTTAAAAATTTTAAATTATGTGATAATTTACTTAGATTATACTGTAATTATCAGTATATTTTAATTAAATTCTTACACTAAGTTTTGTTTTGTTAAATTAAAATAAAAAGGTGATTAATTAATAAGAGAAACAAAAATATATAACAGAAAATCAGTTCAAAATTTTAATAAAAATGAACATATTAAAATTTACTTTTGAATTTTAGTGTCAAAATCTTAAAATGACATATTAGAAAGTACACAGGAGTAGTGATATGAGAATGGTATTCTGATCTATTTTTGTGATTTCCACTCTGTCTACATGTGAGAGCCACATTTGTTTCTCATCCATGATTACACGGGTTGGAGAAGGAAATCAGATTTCCTATATTTTCCATTTTTATGTATATTAAATTCTCTAACTTAACCACAGAGTAAGTAGCTTCTGGAAATGGAAATTGCATTAGCCTAAAATGTTTTCTATCGGAGTGGAACTGAATGAGTCTGTTGTTTCGTCCTGGCTTTTTGTCTCTGAACTAGAAATTTCATGCAATGCTGAGAAACTGCAACCTAATAAAAGAGGAATGTATGCATAAGCTGTAGATGCAATAACAAGAATAACATTAGTCACGCCATCTGATTATGTTAAAAAGGCAAATTTTCAATATATAAAATCATTTTATGTAAAGCTTTTTTGTTTAATGGTTTATCCTGAAGTTTTATTTTACCTTCCTCTGCTACTTTTGTTGGCCACACGCATTCATTAGTTTATGATCATATTTTTTCTTGTATTTGTTATCTATTCATCCATCTCAATATTCTCATATCCTTTACTGTAGAGCATCATTAGGACACAGTTGTCTGATAGAATTTTCCTTTGAATTAGATAGGCACTTTAATGTCATAAATTATGTTTGAGACAATTCTCCGTTTCATCCACTTAGCTTGACTCACATGTATGACATCTTCACTTCACAAGACGGATCCAATATACTTAATCTTAGTAACTTGTGCTCTGAATCTCAAATTTTCACTTCTAAAACATTACTGATACACTTCTTACTGAACTTGTATTCTGTATAGTCATGAAGTCTTGTTGAAATCCTTTAATTTTAGAGCTTATTTTCACAGCTCAGGACTCAAGTTTAGAATTTACTCTCCTTTAACCTCATCAAACAAGATACTTTAAGATAAACCGAAAGAAAATACTTCAATCATATTACATATGGATTTTTCACCAGATGTGTGCATGAGGGACATGAAGATTTTTGGATTTTCAATTTGTAAATAAGCATAGTGGAGAATAAATTCAACTTCCACCATGTATAAATGTTATTGCAACAAAGATATATAGTATTTAGAGCCTTATTCCTTTAGTTGCTGTTGTATTGCTAAAATATTTGGTCTTCTTAAACCTAGGATTTTTTTTTTCTCTATAGTACGCTTGTAATTAAAAAATGGTGGAATATATTTCTTTCTAATATGTACTCTATATTACAGTTCTATCATTCTGACGTATGTTCCTTTTCACTCAATATTGTTTTTCGCCATGTGTTCCCTTTCATTATTCCTTTCTTTTTTGGGTGCTTATATGTTCTTCTGGTTGCAATTTTGTTGTTTGTTTCGTTTTTCTCTATTTAGGCTAAAGAGCAGATAACAAATTTATCCTCATTCCTCCCACACTAAATTACGAAAATCCAGGCAACCTAAATTCTAGACATTTTAGTTACCAATAATTGGGTATTGTATAGCTGTCATACATTGTTTTATGTTATAATTTCTTTTGTAATAAACCATATCATACATGATGTTGATGTATATGTATGTACTCAGTGATCATGATAAAACCCTCTCCTACACATTGCATTATTTCCTTCGTTAAGAATTTAGCCCATTTCTTATAGGCTGTCTCAAAATTACAATTATATCTGGAAGTTCTGTGACTTTCTGAATACTTGATTCATTTCTTGTGTATAATCATCAACTATTTCTAGGACAGAAAATGGAGCCTTAATAACAAAACTAGGAAGAGAGAGAGAGAGAGATTAGACAAAAGGATAGTGAGAATAACAAATGTCCCATAAGTAACTTGCTTATCCTACTAAGGCTTTGTATCATTGTGTGCTAGTGCTAGACTTTTATCAAGATTTCCCTATTGTTTAACATGTTAAGTTTGAGAATGTGCTGAAAATTATGATTGCAGAGGGTTTTAGTTATGTTATGGTATAGTACCTCATTGTCTAGCTGGTAATTTTCCATCTTTTTGCTATTATGACTAGAGAAATGCTAACACATATTTTTCTCAAAACAATTTTTATTATTAGGTGAATTGCATATGATCCACATAAAATCTATCTATAATAGTGTGTTGCAAATAGTATTTGCTCACATTTCTTATTATAGCAATTCTATTCATACCTCTTCTCAATCCTGCCATAAAAAAATCCTATCTTCTTCAGCTAATATTGTAGAATGACGACTTACGGATAGCTTCCTCAGATATTTAATACTCAGTAGCCAGGCTTCTTATTTGTTAGCTAGATATAATCATGCTAAACAGCATGTTGTCAAATGCAAATAGGAAAAATATTTCTTCATGCATACATAAACATCAACGTAACATTTGTCACTCTCCACTCTGATCTCAATTCTTGACAATATAATGAATAGGTTGTGGAGTATTTGAGGTTAGTTGCTGCTATAATAACTCAATCTCTGACTCTATTTTATATATGCCTGAGATTTTACATTCACAGAAACGAACACCTGCTCTTTTGGATAACTTTGTTCAGGCCTTTCTAATGGGTCCTTTCTTTGTATTGCTAGAGGTATTGTACTTAAAACTTTGATATTTTCCTTCTTGCGTGGTTTTCTATGCTTCCTTAATATTAGTTTATTGTGTGAATATATTCACATATGTCTGACTATGAGACTATTTGTTTGTTTTAGGCTCTCCAGAATTTATTTGGTTATGAACCATATCCAGGATTTCATGCAATAGTGCAAGCAAAAATTAAAGCTAACATCAATGAATGGCAAGAAAGTAAGAAGAAACTGTCTTAACTTTTGATTGGGTTTGTGTATCTTTAGAAGTTACATGATCTCCCATGAAAGAATAAAAACCTACAAATGATCATATATATATATTGTACTGGTATATATGTTTTTCATGGTATTTATATGAATTTTCCTTGGTGTGCACACCTTTTATTTATTTATTTATGTATACATGACTAAGGATACGTTGATAATAAATATTAAATTTAAATACTTCTTACATTATTTAATATTTTTTTTATAAAATGTATAATTAATTAATTTAACTATTGAATTATCGTATATTATTTTTATGATTATATATATCAAATTTTATATAATTTAAACATTTATTATTAGTATATTATACAAAATTAAATATTTACTCATATTTTAAAAATATATTATCCGTTAGAATGTCTTTCACTGCTACGCTGAGTACTTAAATGAATTAATACACACTTGAATCCTCACTATCTTCATCAACTACTCAAATGTACAACCACTGTTACTTAATGAATGAGCACACTTTAATCTTCGTTATGCTCTCTCAAGTAAATAGGAACCAGCCATTTAGTCCTCAAGTTTCGATTTTTTTTCTTCTCTAGTTTCTTTTTACTGAAACCATTGTTACCTTTCAAATTTTCTTTATTCTTTTTATTTCACCATCCTTTCTATCATTATAATAATAAGAGTAAATTACACTCTTTTGTTAAGAAATTTAAATTAATTACATGGTTCCTTGTTTTAATTTAAAAAATTACACTCTTCTCCTCCATTAAAACATGCAGTTTGAATATTATGTTATAACTTTGAGACTTTACTCAACATCTTCCTTATCTTCATTTCATCTTATGTAGTAGAGATGATAATATGGGTCAATTTGACCCGCTAGCAACTCATTAATAAATGGGTTGAGTTCAACTTTTCTTACTTTTAGAATGATCAACGAGTTGATTAGTTAAAGAATTAAAAAATATATATATATATATTAAAAAAATGACTAATTTTATTAATATGAAGATTTAAAACATTTATTAAATGGGTGTATGTAAGTAACAGGCAAGAGATTTAAACAGAAAATATTAATTTCTTTAAATTTTTATTATGATTTTTAAAAAGCTTAACTCGATTAGTCTAATACACTCCATCCCATTAAAACTGTTTTAAAAAACTCTCGATTTAATCAGATTGGTGAATTTTAAACCTTCAAACAGTTGCATCAAAATTGACAGATTAGGCGGCTTAACACAACAGATTAAACCAAGTTATCCTTTCTACTATAAAAATCTAAAGTTCATAGTATGGATTGAAAATTAATTTTATTTATTAATTAACAATATTATGTCACAATCTTGAAGTGCTAATGGATTTACAAGTCGAATGAAAAGCTTCATCTCATCCATTTCGTGTCCTAGACGACCTACCATCCCCGGAATGCAAGCATTCAACCAAATTAAAAGTGTATATTAATATATACGACTCATTCAAATGATTAATTTGTCTAATTTCAACTTATTTATATTAACAAGCACTTTCCTGACGAAGCAAATACAAGGATTTGTACTTAAAATATAAAACGTGTGATTCTGAGCCACATCTTATTATATATTGCGCATGCACATGCCAACCTTCTCAACACGTCATTTCCATTTTTATCAATTGCGCCGTTATCGTTTTGGATAAGCAACACAAGCTACCACCAATCACGAATCAAATTAACATCATATTTGGAAACTCATTTATGCTTCAATTATTGACTCACAGTACAGAATTTGCCAATAGTAACCTTGGTCAAAATAAATAATCATTATGATGATGTACACGATGGAAACGGGTGGCTAAACCGTATTTGGCTTCAAATGCTACCAAAGCATGATCTAAGCCTTAGGTTTGAATTGTACCTGAATAAGGAATGTAATTCTATATTTGAGTTTATATTAGAAATCAATAAGCATGTACTTTTATATGTATAAAGATAAAGATAAATGTTAACGATAAAAATTTTCTAGCACTTTCTTTCTTCCTGTTAGTCTTTTTATTATTGCGTTAAATTGTATATAAAGATAAAGACTGGTATGGAATTTTGAACAATTATATAAAGTGTTGAAAAAGTGTTACCAACGATTTCTGTACAAGCTTGATTGGATACCATTGAAAATTCATAGGGTGATGTAATTTATATTTCTACAAAGAATCTTCAGGATTATTTTATTGGTGACGCTTATCGTCATGCCTAAACAATCCAATTTTTTTATTTTTTTTTTATTGGTATTATCCTCTCTGATCATACACATGGTTCACAAATATGGTGGGGTTGATAGCGGTATTCTGTTTCACTTGGTACTTCCCTGAATCTGCTGCATAAGGATTATTAGGCATTTCAATCATTGGTTGTGGTTTTACAAAAGGGTCCATTCCACCATTGGCAGTGTTAATTTGAAAATCGAAGGTTGAATTATATGAGCCATCATATAATATCTGTGATATTGGACCCAAGTAATCCATATCCAAAAGATGAGTAAGGGAACAAGTCCTTGGAAATTTCACTTCATGTTCATTTTCATCACCATTTGGTACTGTCAAGTTCATTTGGGTCGTTGGGTAGTCCTCTTTTGCCTCCAATGATTTTCCCATGTTCTTCTTCTTATAGATCCTACACAAGACCCAGTCATCCAGCTGATGACACATTCAAAATACAAGGGCAGGTCAATTAAGACGAAAGATTAAAATAACAAACTATAGAGTGATTTCAAACTATTAAACTTAAGGGAAGTACATAATAATCATAGTAAAGGAAAAGGATTAAAAGTCTTACTCTGGTGGATCCAATTTGCCTAGTAACTTGTCTCCTTGATCCAATTAATCGATACTCATGCATAATCCAATCTGTCTTAAGACCCTTTGGTGGCCTACCCTTGTAAAAAACCAATGCTTTCTTCACCCCAATATGCTTAGAACCACTATAGATTGATTTGTCTGTGCCAGTAGCCTTCCAATACCCAGACACGGTTGCTCTATTAGGCCTCACCCCATTAGGATACTTCCTCTCTCTTGGGCTAAAGAAATACCATTCATTTTCTCCGAAGTCTGTTTTATCTGCATTTCATGAGAAATTAATATTTACATCATGTGAAGCATGCACATGGACATGTTATTAACAAAGGTTTAGCAATTGATCTTGTCAATATTTATACTCACTCCTGTGTTTATTATTCTTTTTTTAAGTCATTTTTGTCTAAAATACCCTTATCATTAATATAATTATAAAAAAATTAAACAAAAATCACTTAAATAAAAGTGGCAGTAAACACGCTCAGTATTATTATACTAATATATATGTACCAGGTAGTTCCCATGGATCAAATTTATAGATATCCACTTCTGGGATGATAGATGCAGGGCATGGCTTTGATGTAGCTTGGTTACAAAGGTAGTACACAATTAGTTCCTCATCAGTGGGGTGAAATCTGAAACCAGGTGGGAGTTCAGAGCTTGTTCTGCCCTCCATTGAGTAGAAAGAAAATTGAGACCAATTTGAATGGAAAAACTATAGAAGAGTATTTCAGTTGGCTAATAATTATGGAAAGAGAAGGAAAAGGGGTTTAGGGGAAAAATTCAAAGAGAGGCTTCAAAAGAAATCAAGGTATTTGAAATGTTTGCAAGGAGGTGGATGCCCCTTTTATCTTTGAAATTTCTTGTCTTTTTTGTGTGGAGTTGCATGGCTTTGATTGGTTCTTAGGATGACTTTTAGTACACCTCAGTGTATGCGTCAGCAATCCTCACATGCTCCAATGAGGGTCCACCACTCCTTCACCTATCTCTTAACTATGACAACTATCTCTTCTTTATCCACATTGGGTTGCATTCAATTGTGGAACAATATTATTGGCATATGATGTACATTCATAAAGTTTCAAATAATGGTGAAGTCAGCGACCAGTTTTCTGAATTCTTGTGTGATTAATAGTAATATATAACATTATTTAGCAACATAATAACATAACATTTTATTTTATGTGAAATAATCTTCAAAGATTGTGAACCATTTTGTGTGTTTTAAAATTTTCCTTTTGCTTATTATTTGCTCATAGTCCAACTTCGAAGCACGTGAATGGAAGTAATTTGGTCTTTTGTTGCTGTAGGGATTTCCTTTTTGCATTAAGAATTGATTTGCATATGTAACTTTTTTCGGTATAATTGTCTAAGGTTGTTTTTTTACAACTCAGCAATGAAAATATTATTGGTAAAAAAGAATAACACAACATAAATTAAGCAATTTCTTTGCAAAAGATGCTTGGGACTTGTGCCCTACACGTGTTTACCATCTAAAGAGAACCAGCATTAATTTGTTTGATTTTTTAAATTTATTCCTTAATATTTGAAATTTTCTTTCAAGAGGTTAGGCCATATTATGTTTCAATTTGATAAATAATGATGGAAGAAAAAAAGTCAAAATTCAATATATTTTTTTTAAATCATAGATACCATTCCTTTATACTAATTCCTACACCTTTCAAAATAAAAATTTTCCAAATATTTTCGTGAAGGAGTCAGCAAAGGTTGCTATCACTGGCACTTAGCAAAGTGACGCGTGTCCTTTCCAAAAGGGGTAGGTTAGAAATTGGAAATGAGAGGATAAGCACTAACTTATAAAAGAGAATAAAATAACAGAAAAACAAGAATCTTGGTGCTGTGGTTATTACCTTGACAACTCATCCCTACACCTAACCAATTAACCATGCCATATCTTATTATTATATGTTAACTCCATTTATTTTGGAGAAAATTAATAAGATGAGATTTTTAATTATACAATTTTAATTCTATTTTTTTTTTATCTAATAGAGTCTTGTTTGAACTTAAGATTTAAAAAAATACAAGTTTAAACTAGGCTATTTTTTGCTATTATGTAAAAGAAATGCATCAATTATTTTGTTCCACGTTGATCTACGAATGTTTCTCAATACCAAAAGTAATTTCATATACATACGTAGTCATGTTCAACTATTATCATTTTTTTTTTCACTTTTTATCTTAAAACAATATTTTAGTTAATGTAAAATTATTGCGTGATATTTTGTTTAAATGAAATGAAAATAATATTTACTTAAATATTTTATTATTTTTTATTTCTATGAATTTTGCAGCTATAAATAATATTTTTATCTTTAAAAATAATCATTTAAATTAATTTTATCTTAAAAATTATTTTTTTAAATTATCCTTAAACTAATAATAAAAATTCATTTTTAAATTTTTTTTCTCTATGCGTTTATTGCATAAATAATTTTCAAAATAGATAAATAAAAACATTTATATTATTCTTATAAAAATAAGATAATTAAATATTTTTTAAAATTTTTACACCACAACTTTAAACAATTATTTTTCAAAAAACAAAAAGGTATTTGACATAATTTTCATATAATATAATCTTTTTATATTTGAATTTGATACACAATTAATAATATGAAATTCTTTTCTTATAAAATTTGACTCTTTTCAAATATATTTTAAGTCCAAGTTTATTTATGCTGTGGTTTAATTATTTTTCAAAATTTTCATCATATTTCACCAAAAATAGATACAATGCTTCCTAAAATAAATTTATATTTATTTTACTTAAAAATATATTTATATTCAAATTTTGTACATATAAAATATAATTTTAGTTACTCAACTTAAATTTGTTTAAAAATTTTAATACATATAAAAAATTAGTATCAAATATTTAATTATTATTATAAAATACTAAATACTTAACTTAAAGTATATTTATAATTCTATCAATGTTATCGTAAATAAATAAATTTAAGAAGTGACTTCATCTTTAAAATTTTAGAATCTCATTATTGGCTCTTAAACGAGACTTTCATGAGAGATAAATTAACTAATTTTTAAACGTAATTATTTTTTTTTCTTTTCTCACTACAAAATGCTATCTAAAATAGGTTTAAATTTATTTTACGTATTTAAATTTTGTACATATATAATGTCGTGGAAATAAATTAATTACATTTATATAAAGATAATTAATACTTATTAATATGATATCTTGAATTTAAATTTCATGAATAATTAAAATAAAATTAAAGAAAATTCACTTTTAAGAAAAGGGATTTGACTGGAATTGATCATGCTTAAGACAATTTTAGATACTTTAAACCTACCGTTGGCAACCCTCTGTGTTGATTGGACCTTTCAAAGTTGGGTTGTTGTTGTTGTTTAGCAATGAGTAAAGGTTGCAAGAAATTCAATCCTCTCATTTCTCATATGTTCATAGAATATTCTTTCTTTTCCTTTTAAAATGAAAATGATACCTGAAAGTAAACCCTAAGATTTTTTATATGGATTATTGAGCCTATCATTTTCCTGAAGATTTTACGAAAATGAAATGTTAATAAAATCATAATAAACATATTTAATTTATGTTTAAATTATAAATTCAATTTATTAATTCATTCATACACAAAAAAGTTACAATTTAATTTTTACATAAATAAATATTTTTAAATTAGTCTTTGTTATTTAATATATATTAATTAGAAGAATTAGAATATTAAAAAAATTTATAATAATTAAAATATATATTTTAATTAAATTAAATAATTTATAAATAAAAAATAATTTATATAATAAATTTTTATTTTTTAAAACACACTTGTTTTTTAATAAAAAAATTATTTTTTAATAGCTTTGTCAATTTTTAATTGAATTTAAGCATTTTAAAATATAATTTTGTATTCAAATTATAAAAATATAATAAATATTTATTTATTTCAAGTAAAATATTAAAATAATTATTTATTTAAACTCAGTTTTAATGACTGGAATTAATATTTTTTATTCTTATCTTTTTATCATACTTTTAAACGATTGAACAAAATATCAATATTAATATTTATTATGAATTTTATGGTAAATAAATTACTATATAATTTTTAAATTTTTTATTTATTAAAAATATGACATTAAGGTTTAAAACTATACTAAATATAAATTTATTGAAAGATATAAAAATTTAATCTCTTAAATTTTTTTAACTTTTTTATTTAGTACCTTATTTTAAAAAAATTATAGTTAGAGTACACATTTAATTATTATAAAATTATAATAAATATTTTTTAATAAAAATTTATTATAATTAGTTGTTTAAACTCAATTCTAAGAAAGAAATTTAATTTTTTATTTTTTATTTTTATCTTTAAAAAATATAACCTTTTAATTTATTAAAATCTTATAATTTTTAAATTTTTGATACTTATTTTTTTAAAATAAATCTATTTTTTATTTTTAAATAAATTATATATTTAGTCTTTATAATTGATACTTATTTATAAATTAATATTTATAGTTAAATTTTATATTTTAATCTTTGTATAAATATTTGTTTACATTTTTAATTTTTTTCATTTAATACCATCATAAAAATTTAAAGAGTACAAATTAATTTAAAAATATTTATTTATATAAAGAATAAATTGTGATTTTGTGTGCGTAAGGTTTAAATTTTAAAAAGTGTCAAATATAAAAATCAAATTTATAATTAATATTAATTTTTAGTTCAAGATAAAAGATTGCAAATTTTTTTTTAAAAGGGTTTTAATTAATTCTCGATCATAATTTGTGACTATTGCTTATTAATTTTTTTCCAAAAAAATATTTAATGTAAACCCTATGGAAGATATTTACTTTTAAACTAATTTAAATTAAATCACAATTTCTTTTTATAATCATATTAGATAACTTTTTACCTCAAAACTCAAAATTATTTAGACCAAAGTCCTAACTCTAAATGAGATCTCGAAGCTCAACAATGCTACACATCCATGTGAATACTACTGTACAATTATATATTTTTTATTTTATTCCTTTTTCTTTAAATTTTTTAAAACATTTTTTAGGTATATTTACAAAGGTACACAAGTTAATTTCTAATTTAATTTGCAAACTCTTATGCATACCCAACTTGAAAATTACAAGATCATTTATTTCATATACACAAATTTATATCGAAATTTTCCTGGTTTCGTGTTCCTCTCATTTTTATTACTAACTACACAATCTCATGTTCAAAAGATCATACCCATCTATATATCATCATTAGAAATTTATCAACAATTTAAAATATAACACACCATTTTTTCATCAAAATACATCATTTCATTTAACTTATAATCTCTTCTCACATTCCAAAAACATTTGTGCTTTCAGTACTGGAACACAGCAATATTTCATAAACAACAATGTTGAAAAAACAAATTAAGGGAATTTTATTACTAGGAATAAAGTCACTTTCTCCTGTCCATGTTTTTCACTATTGCAGTCCCACAATTGCATGTTTAATCTCTTATAAGTAAAGACTGAAAAATTGAATTATTGGGTGTGTAAATGACATGTGACTACTAAGTTTGTCAATGGACAAAAATGAGAAATCAAAGAGAGTTGTTTAAACCTCAAAGAGAGGATGAAAGAGTGAATCATGTTGGGCCCATTGATATATAACAAGGCCTTTTTTTTAAAAATTGGTCCAAGGTGCATCCTCTTTCCCCACAGGCCTATAACATCTAAAAAAACAAAAAAGAAAACCCTAACTTGGGTTATTTTATACCTTGGGAATTGAGATAACATTACAAATACTCTCTTCTCTACTCTTTCTAGGGTTCCCTCACCCTGTTTGCCCTCTTTCAATTTATCGCCTGCCAAATTCACGCAGAATCTGCAACTCTCCATTTCCTTCTATTCAATCGGTGCGTTGAAAATGGACTAAAAAAAAAAGAAAATCCCCAAAGGGTTTTGCCCTTGTTTTTGGATTAATGAATTTGTTCGATTGTTATTGGTTTCAGGATTGGTAGCTTTCTTTCCATGTGAAAAAGGAACATGTATTCTTCACGAGGGAGCGGCGCTTACGGCCAATCATACACGGGTCAATCCGCATATGGCCAGAACGTAAGCGTTTTCGTTTTTCTTTGAATAATTTCTGACTTTCCAATGTCGTTGCAATTTCTCATCGTTCAATATTTGCATTTCCCTTAAAAAAACATATTTTTCTAGGTTTATAGGTATTTGCTTTATGCTGTTTTAGAGTGTGGGATTTCGTAGCTTGGTTAATTATGGGGTTGAATAATTGGGTTTTGTGGGTGCAGTTGGGTGCTAATTATTCTGGAGGTTCCGTTGGAGGACACGATGTGAGTCAGCATTCTGTAGCTCCTAGGCATTCTGCAATATTGGGTGGTTCTCAGGAGGTTGATGTTGGTGGGTATAGGACTCATACTTCTGCTGCCACCCAGTATGGGGGACAGTATAGTTCTGTTTATGGCTCAGCTGCTTTGAGCAGTGCACAACAGGTCAGTGTGTTATGTATCATTGGTGAACTTTTACTCCAAAGTATGAAATTTGCTAAACAGGAAGTTTGCTAATCGTTTGATGTGAAAGTGCTTTAGTTTGAACTTTGAGAAACTGTGTTCTTTGATTAGCCTTGTGATTATTGTGTATCATGTTAATGAACTATTCCCGAGCCTTGTTAATGAATATGATGAATTATTAATGTATTAGTAGTTTTATATTCAAGGTCTTGAGTGTAGGAAGAGGTAACTTTAAAAGTGTAACCTTAAAAGTGTTCTTTCTTTTTGGACTGATTTATTGAATTGTTATATTAACCTGTCTCCTTGTCCTTGGTGCCCCATATGAATACTTATTTAATATATATTATCTTCTCTTTATAATGCTTTTATGTGGAAAATTGCTGAATTCTTTATTTTCCCTCCCTTATATAGGTTCCTTCATTGAGTACGAAGGGAGCTGCATCATCAGCCTTAGATGGTCGTGGAGGTTATGCTTTGGGTGTTTCAGATTCACCTAAGTTTACTTCTGGAGATTATGTCTCATCATCGAGCCATGGATATGGTCACAAATCTGATCAACTGTATGGTGACAAGGGTTTGGAGTATTCTGGAATAGACAGGAGGCAATATGGTGAACGACAGAGTGGTTACATTGGCCGGGACTTAACAAGTGATCCGACAGGACGGTATGCTGCTGATCCTGTTGGATTTAGTCATCAACATCAGGTGTATGCTTGCTCCTTGAAAAGACTGTGGTAGCTTTCTTTGTTTATGTGAGAATGAGTATCTATTTTGCAAAACAAACGAAAGAAATTTACCCGAACCTGCTTGCTTTATTTTATTTTTTTGCTTTTGTTATGTTTTTTAGTAGATTGTAATCATTTTGCATTTTTATGTTCAGCAATCAGAAATGTATGACCGCATTGATCAGGCTGCTTTGCTTCGACAAGAGCAATTGCTGAAAGCTCAGTCTCTGCAAGCTGCATCACTTGATGGGGGTGCTAGGTATTTTATTTTATTTCATTTTGTTTGTGAAAGAATGTGCAATGTACGTTTGCCAATGCTACTTGATTGATCCAAACCCACTTTTTTTCTAATGAGTATAGTACATTTGTTCATCATGGTGGTAATGTGTCAATCAGTTGGGCTGTCTTTTAAATTTGTGATGAAACTTGGCAGAAGCTGATCAACAGTACCTAGCTATGTTAAATGGTAATAATATTTCTCACTACACTAAGTAGCAACACATTTCTGGCAGACAATCTGATTATCTTGCAGCAAGGGCTGCTGCTAGTCGTCACCCTACCCAAGATCTTATGTCTTATGGCGGAAGGATGGATTCTGATCCCCGTGCTTCATCAATGCTAAGTGCTACTTCATATAGTGGACAACATGCACCATCAATATTAGGAGCAGCTCCCAGGAGGAATGTGGATGACCTCTTGTATTCCCAGAATGCTTCAAATCCTGGTTATGGAGTGAGCCTACCTCCTGGTAGGGACTATGCCAGTGGGAAAGGTCTTCATGGGAATTCCATGGAGTTGGAGTACCCAGGAAATGTGCTGTCACATGGTGGGCATAATGATCGCAAGGATGATCGAGCAAGCTATCTACGGGAATTTGAGCTAAGGGAAGAAGAACGTCGCCGGGAGCGCATGCGTGAGAGAGAGAGGGACAGAGAACGGGAGAAAGAACGGGAACGATTGCGGGAACGGGAACGAGAAAGAGAACGTGAAAGGGAGCGCATTTTGGAGCGACGAGAGAAAGAAAGGGAGCGAGAACGAAAACGTGCACTTGAAACTAGGCATGAACGAACTCCAGTGAGATCCTCCAAGGATCCCCGTGGTACTTCAAAAGATCCTCGTGGGTCATCTCTAACAAAGGATGGGAAATCTTCACGAAGGGACTCTCCACATCATGGCGCTTTACATAGGTGGATCTTAATGATTTTTCTATTTCTGCGTCCTGCTCTGGTTCTGAATATCTAGCTGCTTGTATATCATGCAGCCTTTTGTAACTAACTAAATGTTCTGTGATGCTGAAGGCACCATTCACCTGTTAAAGAAAAACGGAGAGAATATGTCTGCAAGGTAAAAGGAAATAAGAAATTAGTTACTCCATCATTATGAGAATATTCCTCGTCAAAGGGCTAGTTGTGCTGCTGTTTTTCGTTCGATCTGTGGATGATGGGTTTATAAAACTTAATATTTCCTGAATAGCCAAGAATTTTGCACTGTATCCTATTCTTCTGTTGGTTTTCTTTTCCTGTAATTCACACTCTTGATCTCAACTTGGTCACATGATTAGCTTCAACGTTGATGAGACATTTCAATTGCCTTTGTTTCCTTTTGTCTTTACAGTCATTTTTGGGTGTGCATCCTCAGGGTACTTGTTATCCTTTGAGTCACAATTATTCTTTCCTGTTCCTTCGCTGTTCTTCCTTCTGTTAGCTTTCCTTGACACCCTTTCCTTGACACCCTTTTGTCCCTTCTATTGCTACCCTTGACTATTGTTTTTGGGCTGTGTTTCTAGTAATGGATCAGAAGACCAATCAAATCCACAGGAAATAAATAGGTTTTCTTTAATATTTCCTATTGCCATTGATGCTACTTGCAATTTCAGTCACATGGCTTTATTTCTTGAAAATGAGACCTGATTCCTGGTTTCATACTGTTTGTGTATTTTATTGATGCGTAATTTCTGAAATTAGATCAGATTAATTGAATTTTACATTGCTACATTTCATGAACAGGTTTATGCATCCCGTTTGGTGGATATTGAGAGGGATTACCTCTTAATAGATAAGCGATATCCCCGACTCTTTGTCTCTCCTGAATTTGCCAAGGTATATTGATACTCTCTGCATGTTTGTCAACGATTTTTTTGGGGAAGTAATTGGCTAATTGCTCAATTATTTGTTCCCCAAAGGCTCTCTTAGAAGTTTCTGGTGAAAAGCTTTTTTTAGAGATGAAATTAGCTAATCCAAATTTACTAGATGTTTTTCTTTGATGATTAGGGTTGATATTAATTTGGCATTATTTTTTCAGGCTGTTGTGAAATGGCCAAAGGAAAACCTTAAACTGTCTATTCATACCCCTGTCAGGTATCTATCTTCTTCCATGTCATATCAGTTACATGATTCCAAAATATTGTCTGATTCTTCTAAAGGTTTATGTATGATAAGACTTATCTTCTCATTTTTCATTTCTCTACTTTATCCAGAAGATGAATTTAGTTATTCGACACTTAGTTTTGTTTCTTTGTATTTAGTATGAGTATTTCAAACACTTCTTGGTAATAAATACTAGCTGAGTGTTGATTTTGATTTTAAAACGAAAACCTCTTTGAATGCTATGCCTTCCAGAATTAATTTGAATGTTTGTAGTTATATTTGCATTATATTTGGTTTTAAAAAAATGAACATTTTCCTGACTGATTCACTAAATGCTCTATTTTTCTCTGTTTGAAACTATTTTCTCTCTTTTTAAAGCTCATCTTTAATTATTTTTGCTTTTCCTGCCATATGGATGTAATGTTATTCATTTCGTTTGAGAAGTCAAAAGTTAAAATAAAAATGGTTTGGAACAGCTTTGAGCATGATTTTGTTGAAGAAGAAAGTGCCACTGAACCTAGAGACTCATGCAACAAGCTTGTGGTGGGACCACCTCCAAGTTCAGAACAAGGAAATACAGTTTGGAATGCTAAAGTAGGTTTAATATTGATGTTTGTAATCTGCATTGTAATCTGCATTCTTTTTATTTTATATGACGTTTCATTAAAAGATGTGTTATGGTTTTGATATTTAATGGGCCATCTAATTGCTTTTCCCTACTTTTGTACTTAATTTAAGAGCAATTGCTTAATATCAGCAATAAAACTAGTCATCCTCAATTTATTGTCAGTTGTCAACTTAGGGGATTTCAACTCAGCTAAAATTTTATCATGATGTTGGCTTTTACTCGGGTTTGCCTTCTTAATTTTCCTGGCTTAAAATAACCTTGTGCATCATCTGTGGTAAATTAGGCAATCGATTCTAAAATTTTTAGAGAAATGTTGGACATAATTGTGTGAAGTTCATAGGCTATGTTTAGGCATACATATTTTCTAATTGCACTTGCTGGATGTTGGTTATCTTTTCCTATGGGCTGTGCTGACTAAAGTTCTGATGAATTTTTGTAATAAGATTTGGAATGTCATACAAGGTGATTGGTTTTTATTAGACTGAAATGTCAAAGAATCAACTATTTTACATTGTGACAAAATTTTTCTCATTCAAGTTGTTGCTTACCTTGGAATATCATTAGAGATTCCGGATGGTGGGATGATTTCGATTTAACCTTTAATTTTTAAAATTGCTGTTATGCAGACAGAGCTTTTTGTCCCAATGCCCTATTCGTTGAGACACTTGTGAATATAGGTTTTGAAACATTTCAATCTCTGGTAACCTTGTGCTATAGCTCAACGTTCTTCTTAAGATATCCAAATATCAGTACAGGTTGTCTGTTGTGGCCTCAACATCCGTAGCAACATCAAAATCTTCACTACTAATATTTTATAAGTACTATGTCACTTTGCTAAATATAACTACATACTTCTAAAACTAAGTACAAGTCAATTGTGTCCAGACACCATTTATAAAAAGATGGTTGTACATGAGAGGAAGAGGATCCACTTTCATAAATTAACTTTGTTAGATAGGTTTACCAAAAGTTGTACCTGAGAGGGTCGAATTTAAAATTTAATCTTATTGTGCATTTGCTCCTCCAATTGATATGTATGCATGTGTATGTAATATTTTTTTCAGTGTTTTATTCTAAAGAAAGATTTGGCTTTTCTACCGTTTGATAAATTATTATTTTTTGTCTGCCTTGTTTCAGATAATTTTGATGAGTGGACTTAGTAGGTCTGCATTGGAGGAGCTGTCATCTGATAAAATTATTGATGATCGCATTCCTCATATTTGCAATTTCCTTAGGTTTGCAGTCCTTAAGAAGGACCATTCTTTCATGGCAGTTGGTGGTCCATGGGAACCTATTGATGGCGGTGATCCATCCATTGACGATAACTCCTTAATCAAAACAGCCCTCAGGTCATGCTTATGATATGATTATTGGTGTGACAAGTATGCTTTCCACTAGAGGAGTAATGGATATTTTTCCAATTTTACAGATATGCGAAGGATGTTATTCAACTTGATTTGCAGAATTGCCAACACTGGAACCGTTTTCTTGAGGTATTAGTTTACATTTTTTACTATTATTATTCCTTTTTAATTTGTTTAAACCACCCCCAGTATCCTGTTTAAAATTGTCATCTCAAGTATTCATTTCTGGCATTTGCATGCTTTGAAATTGCATCAAAATGAGTAAAGTTTGTGTTCATATATCGATTTTCTCTAATAGCAGTGCTTTTTACATTCTTTGTGGTTATATTTCCATTATCTAAGACTAAGATTATGGCTCTATCTTTCATTTACTTTTATAGTATCTTACTTTTCACTTGAAAGTTTTAGTTACTAAAGCTGAAAGGTTTTGCAGATACATTATGATAGGATTGGCAGCGATGGTTTCTTTAGCCACAAGGAAATCACTGTTCTTTATGTTCCCAATTTGTCAGACTGCCTTCCTTCATTGAATGATTGGCGTGACAAGTGGCTTGCCCACAAGAAAGCTGTTGCTGAAAGAGAACATCAACTTTCTTTGAAAAAAGAGGTCTGCTTTATTAGTTGGATTGGATTGTTGATGTGTATTATTATCCATATTTTCTGTTGATATTTTCTTTTGGTGATGTTTCAGAAATCAAGAGATAACAAGGAAGTATCTAAAGGTATATGGACCTCTATGTTCACTTTCTTGTGCATGGCATCAGATCATTTTTAACTCTCAATCATATATAAGACTAGTTGTAATAAGTTTTCTTTTTTAATTATAATTTTGACAAATCAGATAAATGGAAGGATTCTGCTGCATCAGGACTGTCAGATGTTAAGAAAAAGGAGAAAGATAGTAATACTGTTAAGGAAGAAATTGAAGAAAAAGTTGCAGTAAATAACAGTAAAATTGCTAAAAATGATGCTTCTGAAATTGGTGAAGGCAATACTGCTGATAAAAAGCAAGGGGAAACTGCAGCTGGTCAAACAACAGGCAGTGTGAAGCCTGTGAAAAAGAAAGTTATAAAGAAGGTTGTGAAACAGAAAGTTGTTGCCAAGGCAAATTCTACTGCCAACAAAGAAACTGACAAATCAAGTGAAAAGGATGTTGTCGAGGTGACAACATCCAATGTTACTGATGGGGTTCAAACTTCTGTGAAAAACATCAGTGCTGTAGATATTTCTATTGGGAAAACTGATGGGGAAGAGGGGAAAGATAAGGAAATAACTAGTTTAGAAGATAAATCTCAAGACAAGCCAGATCCAGCAGTAAATACAGTTGTGAGTGATGCTGCTGTTAAAACAACTAAAAAGAAGAAAATTATTAAGCGGGTACCGAAAAAGAAGGTGGTTGGTGAGGCATCTAAGTCTGTAGTTTCTGAAGCCAAAAATGAAGTGAATGTTGTGGCTGTTCAAGGAAATGATGGTGCCCAGAGCTCTGGCAAGCAGACTGCTGATGCAGATACCATAGTGTCTGAGGTGAAGAAACCTGTGAAGGTAGTTCCAAAGAAAAAGCTAAAAACAACTACGTCTGGGAAGCAAGATGAAGGGGCTGATTCTAATAAAGCAGAAACAACGTCTGACAAAAAGGATGAAGGGAATGTTGTGGTAGTTCAAGCACAAGATAACACAGAGAGCACTGGCAAGCAGACTGCCAGTGCAGATACCATATCGACGACAGAGGTGAAGAAACCTGGGAAGTTTGTTGCCAAAAAGAAATTAAAGGCCCCTGCATCTGATAAGCAAGATGACACAGCTGATGCCAATAAAACAGAAACTAAGTCTGACAAGGATGACAAAAAGGAAGAAAAAGGAACTAGTGAAAAAGGTGGGGCCAAGATAGAAAAGCAGAAAGCCTCTGATAAAGACAGTCACAATGTCAGGGGGAAAGGGAAAGATGGGGAGAAGTCAAAAGATGAGAAAGGAACTAAAGAGAGAGATGGAAAAGATGAGTCTAAAAGCAAATCTAGTAAAGAATTGAAAGACAAGAAGTCTGATGAACCTCCTCGACACCCTGGATTTATTCTTCAAACAAAATGGACCAAAGATTCTAAAGTATGGTAACTTTAGCTTGACTACAGAAATTTATAAAGTATGCTCTGTTGGTACATTTACTATTTTATGTACTCATTTTGTAATTTATGGTACAGCTACGTTCTCTGTCACTGTCATTGGATTCATTGTTGGATTATACTGATAAAGATGTTGAAGAATCAACACTTGAGGTCTGTTTATGTGGTTTCATTTACCTTTTCCATTTCAACAATTTTTATGTCACTGACATATTTACCCATGGGACTGATTCTGAATTTCTGATTCCAAATGGACATTTCTTGTTTCTGATTTATTGGTTTTGCAGCTTTCATTGTTTGCTGAATCATTTTATGAAATGCTTCAATTTCAAATGGGCTGTAGAATTTTGTCATTTCTTCAGGTTGGTTAATGCTGTTTTTTAGCTTGTGGCTGACTTGATTCTTCAAACGCTGCCTAACTATAATTGTTTCCTCCCCCCCACCCCAACCCACAGAAACTGCGCATAAAGTTTGTCATCAAAAGAAATCAGCGAAAGAGGCAGAGGGAAGATGGGCATGAGAATGATAGTATAAACAAATCGCCTGTAAAGCGTCAAAAGGGTGATGATCCTTCTGTGAAAAATGAGTCCACAAATATGGACACATCAAATCCAACCCAAGCTGATGATGAGAAAGCTGTAGCTGAGAATAATAACTCTGCTGATAAGGGGGGTGATGTGAAGATGGAAGATGGATCAGACGAGGAAGAAGACCCAGAGGAGGATCCTGAAGAGTATGAGGAAATGGAAAATGGTAGTCCCCAACATGATGCGTCCAAAGATAAAAATGCCGACCAAGAGGTGAACACTACAATTGAATCTGAAAGTATAACTAGCAATGAAAAAGCAGTAGATGAAACTTCTAAGCAGGAGACTAAGGTTAAAGATGAGGTGAAAGAGTCCAAGGCCAATGCACAGTTCAATGAGGAAAAGGAAGAAAAGGATAAAAGTAAGAAAGAAACCACTGCTGTTAAGGAGGTTGCTGTGGACAAGGATCTGTTGCAGGTATTTTCTTGTACACTATGTAACACAGCATGTTTATGTTGCTATTACTTTATCAACTACATCATCTTTCTACATCTGGCACTGGATAAAATAATGCTTTGGTTTCTCATTTATGGCAGGCTTTCCGATTTTTTGATCGTAATCGTGTTGGATACATCAGGGTAAGCACCATGCTGTTTATCTGGTTTGTTTCCTATCATCCTCAAGAATGATGCGAGATATTTGTTTCTTTTCAGGTTGAAGATATGAGATTAGTTATCCATAATCTGGGGATGTTCCTTTCGCACAGGGATGTCAAGGTTAGAATCTCTGATGCTTGTTGATATTATTATATTATGTATTATTTTAGCCTTTTTATCTCCCGCCTCCCTTGGTTTTTCTATTACCTGCATTCTATTCTAATATTTTATGAAAAGCAGGAACTTGTACAAAGTGCATTGTTGGAGAGCAACACTGGAAGGGACGACCGAATTCTTTATAATAAGCTGGTGCGGATGAATGATATTTGAAATTTGATGCCCCGTAGACTCCATTTCTTTGGTCTATGAAATGCTGGAATTGTTTGTGTTGGGGTGAATGGAAGTTGCTTTTGTAGTTAGAGTCGGACAGGTCTTTTTTCTTTGTTCAAAGGGCTTCTAGCCTTTCCGTTCATTTTAGCGAGGGTAAGACCTTTTCTTGGCATTTATTGTTTATATTTCCAAAATATCAAATTATGCCGCATTTTTTTTTCATGTTTATTAAGTCGTGTTCTCTAACGTTTGTTATCTTTTAGTTCTGTCGAGTATACTTCTGTATGTAATGAAATATTGGGTTTAGATGAGTTCTCCAATTTGGTTTGTCAGTATAGTTCAGCATATTGTTTAATTGTAACTTTTGAGAATGTTACTCGGAATTTTGACAATCGTAAATTCGTAATAGTCATTTGAAAATTGAAAGGAAAATCGTAAACGTGCTAGTAATCGACTCGTGCCCGCTTATGTCAAAGACAGACTTGATTACTATACAGTACATCAATTGATCGATTAACTAAAATGATGCCAACGAAAGTTAATTTGGTTTAGAAAAATAAGGAAATGCTAAATGGTTCTAAAAAGGTCTTGACTTTTGTTTTGGCTCCCCCCAATGTTCTTAAACTCGGCTCGGCCCAGTTGGCTCGAAATGAGAGACGTAATAGGTTCGAGTTTTTAATGAAAATGTGCAATCAAAGTGGTTTAACTCAAAAAATTTAATAACTTGGAGTAAAACTTGTAAAGGACTTGTAGAAATCCAACTCTCAAGTCTAGTCATTGTATGACCACTAGATTAAATTTCTTGCGTAAAGGGTATAAGGTACTTAAACTGAGTTAATAAGCGGTTCAAGACTGGTTTTTTCTCATTAAATTTCAGCAAAGCGTTATCTCTTTTTTGCTCCTAATCGTATCCTATGTTTGGTAGTTTGTTGTAAACGAGATTACGCGTAGTTTTGAAAACTATCATCTTTTGCAAATGCTGGTGGGCCCGTCTTGATGCATGGTGATGGTTGTTCATGGGAGATTGCTTTCTAATGTGTTTGTCGGAAGTTTTATGGCTTTGGATTTGGTTTTAGAATTGTTGATAATGTATCAAATTTTCTTGTTTCAATGTTATATGCAGCTTCTGCTTGCGTGTTTTATATGTCTAACTGAACTCTCTTTTCAAAATAGTTGATGATACTTTCCAGGGAGCTTTATTTCTGATATTTTTCTACGAGTGTGTTATTTGTTATTAGCTTTTTCTATTACATTTGGAGGAGGGTAGTAACTTTTTGAAGCAATAATGATATTCTTGCATTCTCATAGTATATATTTTATATTTTTATCACATTATATTATTCATTTATTTATTTTCTCTGTGTCTCTCTTTCTACACTCCAAAAAGAGTATATGTATAACATTATTCTTTTTGAAGTGTGTTAGCGTAGCTTTGATGCTTCTTTTTATTTTCTACTTGAGTGAGTTATTCTCAAGATCTTATGAAATAAATAATTTAGTTTTGCTTTTGAAAATAAATAAATAAAAGTGAGCCTTAACATTCATTTTTAAAATCTTACTTTAGTTTTTGTCTTTACAAAATAATATTTAACTTTTTATATAAAACAACAATAAAAAAATTAAAATGAGTTATTTTTAATATGTTGAGAACTAAAATAATTTCTTTATAAAATTAAATTAATTAATGCTCATAATTTTAAAGACTAAAATAAATATTTATTCAATAAAGATTTATCATATTAAAATACAACAGCTTTGGGGGCATACAGTGCACTCCATATTATGGTGAGTAGACAATCCACCTATGCCTTTCCACCCACCTTTGTACACGCCTGCATGCATGATTGTCCTTCTTTATAGCTTTTTCATTTTAGTTGTTTCGTAGTACAATATTTACATTTATATCTTCCTAGGAAACATTGTGTGACCTTATTCTCAACCTGCTATTTGTATGCTGTTCGTCTTACATTATATATATATATATATATATATATATATATATATATATATATATATATATATATATATATATATGTTGCTTATTAACCAGACAAATAACATATACATTGTTTGATTGGTATTTGAAAAGATGTAATTGTAAATGTTATTTTTACGATGACATTTAATTATATTTGCATTTTCACTAATTAAAGTTATACAGCTTCAGCACAATTTTATTAGTCATTGAATTCATTTGCGTGAGTCTTTGTTAAATAATGTGGGTTTCATATTTTATGTAATGAATCTCTCATTAATTGTTTCCAAAACCTTACATGAATTCTATTCAATAATAAAAAACACATCATTAACATTTTGAGCTATTAAATGATTTTGAAAGACCCTTTAAATATTTGTAATAGAAGGACCAAACTAAATACATACTAATAACACATTTTGAGTTACATCCCAAACTTGAAGAATATGGTATATATATATAAACCGTGACGTCCTATATGGATATGAACAATGAGATTTTTATACGTGTGAATGAGCATAAAGAAGAAAGAGATAAATAGATTTTTCAAATGTGTTTTTCTAAATTGATAGACATACACACACACACACAAATTGCTCGCTTGCCATGGTCTCTCATTGACTATCTTGGGATTAGTTCAGTCTTTCCACCAAATATTGTTGATCGATTAAGACAATTTCAAGAATTTTTTTTCAATAATAATAATAAAAAAAAAACAAGTACAGGCAAAACGTTCTTGTGTGAATATGTGAGCGTTTTCACACCAAAAGATTGTACATGTGTGTGTATAAAAAGAAACAAGATTATTACGCTTATTTAGCAAGTTTTCACGCCAAAAGATTATACATTTTTCAGTCCATTGTTCTGTTTTGAAGAACTTTGTATAAATTTGTTAAATATGTTTTTTTACAATTTATTTATGTTAAGAAAATTGCTTAAGAGTACGAAAAATTGCTTAAAAAATTATTTGAACTGTTTGGATAAGAAAGTTGTTTTCATCGAATTTGTACTCAAATTTTTCGTACTATTTAATATTTCTCTTATATTAATTATGCTTGATTTTCAATGAGAAAGCGAAAATGATAAAATATTGATAAATTTCAGTCGTATTTTGTCTAAAATATTGTTGAAAATGACCATTCTTATTTATATTATTTGAAAACCAACAAGGACTGGTGCAATGATCAACGGGGATACACTCCTTGATTTTGAGGAGGCATTGGTTTCAGTTTTAACGGGTAAAACTATAGATTTGTTTTTCTAAAACCGAAGTATTAATTCTTACTAAAAACGAAGTAAACAGAGGTAAACCTAAGAAAATGCTCAACTGGATTAAATCTTAAGCTTAATTACGAACACAAAATAATTTCAAACCAAAAGCTATACAGGATCTATTACATACCAAGCCTTTCAGATGGTGCCCCTTGAGACCCGCCACTTCAATCCTGACCTAATGGTGACAGATAAATATGGCAAGCAAGGTTTTCACTTTTCATATCCGATTTGAAAATTTTCTTTCAAACTAGTTATTTAGCGCACTGTGGAATAAGGACAAATTAATTATTATAATATAATATATTTTCTTTATTTTTTTCTTACGACAAGAAGATATAATTAAGGTAATTTGAACTTAGGACCTACAAATTAATTACGGAAGCTTCTAGTTTCATATTCATCCTCTCTCTCTCTGTGTGTGTGTATATAGGGTTACTTTTACACTATGCTTTATCAGAATCGGAACAAGCACAAGGTCTAGTTTAGAATTCCTTATATGATATTGTCATTGAAAATGGGGAGGACACCGGGTTGTGAGAAGGTAGGGTTGAAGAAAGGACCATGGACTCCAGAAGAAGACAAGAAGCTTGTGGCTAGTGTTGAAAAACATGGCCATGGAAACTGGCGTTCAGTACCTGCCAAAGCGGGTAATACAACTTCAATTTGTATACTTGATTACATATAAATACCATCTTTCTTTTTTTTGTCGTCAACTAATATATTTAATCGATCGGGGAAAATCAAGTTTCCCAATATATTTATAACGATATATGCATACATATTATATATGTGTGTGTTTGGGTTTAGGTCTTCAAAGATGTGGAAAGAGTTGCAGGCTAAGATGGATGAACTACCTCAAACCCGATATAAAACGAGGAAACTTCAGCATGGAAGAAGATCGAACCATTATTCAACTCCATGCTCTACTAGGAAATAGGTGCTTTCTTTTCGCTTTGTGATTTTTCTATTGTTAAAATGGTTAATCATATATGTATTATAAGTTCTTATTTTATATATGTTTATAAATACACTAATTATATTATATATATTGCGTAGATGGTCAATCATAGCAGCTCACCTTCCCAAAAGAACAGACAATGAGATCAAGAACTATTGGAACACCAACATCAAGAAAAGACTCATGAGAATGGGCATAGATCCCAAAACCCACAAAGCAATAAAATCCAACACGTGTGAAGAAGCCTATGGTGGTGTTCATCAGTTCAAGGACACCAATAATATTTGCCACGTGGCTCAATGGGAGAGTGTTGGAGTAGAATATGAAGCCAGAGGATCCATTTTCCAACTTGGATCTAGCTCCTCCTTCCATCTTCCTCGGTTAACGATAAGCAAAATCCCAACTCAACCTTACCCTTCATCAAATTCACCATCAACCAAACACAACAACACAATGTATCACATGTTTGCCCTCATGCTTGCCACAGATCATGTTGGTGTCCTTCACTCGCCTGTTTCCATGTTGAGCTTTCCGGTTTCTTCACTCTCTTCCAATGAATGGAAATTCAAAGAAGGTTCATTCTCATACAAGGGTGATTGTGATGTTAAGATACAAAATAATAATAGTCTAACTCAAAATTATGTGTCATATTTGCAAGATGATGACATTATGGTGGCTGTGGAAGCATTTAGAGAACGAAAATGTGAGAGTATTCCAGATTTGTTTGACGGTGACTGCATTGGGAGGTGTAATTAATGAATCTTTTGGTAGATATGATGACTTCAATTTGGATGCCAACTTTCCATTACTGGAAAATGGATCAAGGGAATTATTCCATGAAGGTTAGGCCAAGGCCCTGAGATTATATATATTTGAAAGGCCAAAAAACAATTCCTTCCTATGGAGTCCTTCGGGCCTTAATTTATGAATTCCATGTGATGAAAGTGATTTATTGCTTGTTATCTGTCTATATAGCCAATCCACTACATCTATGTATGTTGAACTGAAGTTGCACTGAATGATACTCTTATGTTCTATATAAAAGTTGCTTGGTGCAGAAACTTTTTCGATCTTCTAGCAATTCTTTTCTTAAAATAACAAAACTTATGTTTATATGATTACTTTTTTATTTGTACCTTCGTCATTTCGTAGAACACCACCAATGTCATCAGACTCTGATATTCTTTGGATGCAGTCGTTGGATGAAACATTAAGACGCAACACGTACCGTCCAAAACAAACCTATTCTTTCTTTCTATAATTCTGAGGTCAAATAAATTAAATGAAATTTGAAAATTGCGAGTCAAGGTGGCGGGACATGAGTTGAGACTTTTTCTTTTATTAATTTTAAGGTCTGTTTTACAAGAGAAGAAAAGAGAGGATAAATATTTTTTTAATAACTAACAAAAAAAGGTTACAAAAATTTAAAATTATTCAAAACAAAATAAATTAATTACGATCATCAAGGAATGCGTCCATTAGAATAAAGTGTGCTCTTATATTTAATAAATTGTAAATATGGATAGAGATTTTCCTATTTTCGGATTAAAATATCATCATTTTATACTAAATATAATAAGTTGATTTTCATTTACTGAAGGTGGGAAAACAACGGATCCGTGGACAAAAACATTGAATTGCATCAAAGCATCCAGTTATGCATTTAACTCGTTGTCAGTAATTCAGTGTAAGAAATTTGAAACATAAACATATTGGGTTGAGAAATTTAATAACTGTAAAAATATGATGATTCGATCCACCTTTGAAATCTGTCATTCGCTGAAAATGAATTTGAAATTATTATTTTCCTCTTGTTTTTGTCATTAAAATCTATTTCTATATATACGTATTTTTCTTTACAATGAAAAATGAATATTTACAGACTATTTTTCTTAAATCAAATAAAAAAGTTATTTGTTATCTTTGCATACTTTAATATTTATATATTTCCTTTTTTCCCCCAAGTTCTCTCCCATCTAAACATGACTTTTAATTTGATCGTACAATGCCATAAATTGAAGGTGCATTAAAGACTGTAGCAGTACACAGATACAACGTAAGACGTGAGTCGGGTTTAAGAGATGGTTGGAGAAGGTACATTTGTAGTGCCAAGTTCAATGCATTTTCAATAAAAGTTGGTTTGGCAATTTGTTTTCTTCGGAAGAAGAGGGCACTACTTTGAGAGGAGACACAAGAAACTTATATTAGTTCTTACTTAATTTCAATCAATCATTATCCAAACGTTTTAAATCATTTAAAATAATAAATATTTCCATATTGCAAAATTACAAAATGTGTGTGTGTGTGTTAATTTTTTAGTAAAATTAATTATTAAACTAGCTGATAAATATAAATGATAAATAAAAGCATTATAATTAAACAGACCAAAATTTGAAATTTAATAATTATATATTTTTAAAAATTATAATTTGTATATCTTAATTTATTCAAAATTATTTATCATTTTTAAATTAGGATAATAAAATTTTAATTTTACTCTTTTTTAAATATTTTATTATAAAAAAATTTAATGACTTCGTTAAATCCCTCTCAAGACACTCCTAATTTATTATTTTTAAAATAATGAATGTTGTGACATTTATTTATTTTTTAATTATTTGTGATATTTATTTTTTATTTTCAATGTAACAAGAGTAAAGAAAGTAGGGTTTAAGAAACTGAATGAATAAAAAAAATGTAAAAATAATAGGAACAAAAATAGTAAAATCACTTTTGGCTAGTGGTTAAAAATAAAAAATGCTAGTATGAGTAGTGATAAGTGTTACCCATTTCATCTGTTTTACAAACAATATTGATTTTGTTAGAACAAGTTTTTCAATTAGTAAAATAAGCTTTCAACTAACTAAAATATCTCACCAAATACATTCATAGATTGCATGTAATTTTTTTTATATAAAAGATAATTTCTTTGGGGTCAAAAACATTTATAGCATGATTAAATTAACTCCATTATTATAATTTTTTTATTCATAAAATTTGAACTCGTATTTTTTCTTGAAAAAATTAAAGTATATATCACTTAAATCAATCTTTAATGGAGCAATTTTCATGATGAATGGTGAAATTTTCTTTGAAAATTCCTAGCTTCCAATATTAACTGCATTTTAATTTTAAATGACTTTGGATTATGTTGTACGGCCCAGTCGAGTGGACATGGCCCTGGTATTTCTGAATTCTTTTGGGTCCATAGATTGCAGAGTAACAAAGAGAAAGCCCAAAACGGCCTAAGACAATACAACAATGTTAAAAGATTCGACGAAGGAATCTTAATCTCCCACTTTTGCCTCAACAAATCTAACCTATAATCAATTTTGGGCAAAACAATGCACTATTAACAAATTTAACTATTAATTTTAAAAAAATTCTCAAGTAGATTAATCTTATAAAATTTTATGTAAAAATAAAATAAATAGACATTTTTCACATTACTTTATTCTAACGTGTAATATATTTTTAATTAATAAATATTAATTTTTAGATAATATATTCACAAATATTCAAATAATATTAAATTTGATATATATATATATATATATAATATAAATGGTATAAAAAAATTTAACAGTTGAATGGATTAATGTAAAAAATATAAGGGTCTTGTTACATGGTATCAATCCAACATTCACATTTTCAAGTTAAATGCCAGTTTTTTAAGACATATACAAGCCTCTTATAGTGTAGGTAAGCAAATAAGATTTATATACATGAAAAAAAGCTGTACTTCCTTTTTTTTCTAAATACACTACCCTCATTTCTGTTTCTTCCAAAAACGTTTTAGAATACATTAATTATTTTAAGAATTAAATTTTAAAAGTAATTTTTTTTGCACCTGATTTTTGTGCCAGCCTGCCCCAAGCATTGCACTAATGTTAGCCCCAACTAACTAGTTAGCAGCCCATAATTCACAAAAAGATTACTATAAATAAAAAAAAGTATGGCATTGGTACATAAGTAATTAAAAATAATTTTTTAAATTTCCCTTCACTTATATTAAAATTAATTAAAGAAGACACAATATTTTCAAATAAAAATTATTTACTATTAATTCTTTAGGTACAATGTAGCAAACTAGACGCTAATGCACGCCACTTGGTGTATTAGAACTACACATCATAATTATATTATACATGTTAGGAGTGGATATCAATTAGCTACTTTCCTATTTTAACTTGTTTTTTTTTTACCAACTCTTGTTTAAATAATTAATAACGCGTATTCAATAATGTGAATAAGACATTTAATCTTTATCATCTTGATTTGATAGTTTTTCCTTTTTCAAATAATGCTAGAATAGTATCAAAGCAACATTTCAGCACACATACTCTCTAGTTTATCTTCATCATTGTTTAGTATTCAGTTTTGATTTTCTTGTTGCATCATAAATAATCAAAATCATTTTTTTTACTACTCGACGAATCCTCAAAATTTGTATTATTTGCACTCTTAGAGATTATTTGAGTAAAGAAAATAATACGAATAATATTATATATATATATATATATATAAATATAAAAGATAAAATCTTTAGTATAAGTCTAAAAAATTTTATATTTAATTTAAATTTTTTATTTAATTTATATTTAACATGTTATAATTTATTATTTCACTATTCATTAAATATAAATTAAATAAAAAATTTATTTATAAACTTATACTAATATAAAAAAATTCTGTTTAAAATTTAGAGTTTAGGACAAGGCGAACAAAACTTGCAATAAGCATAACGTTGTTTAATACAGATATGAATGGAATCGTGTATGACCAAACAACTTACATGACAAAAGCCATAAAGAATGATAGTTAACATGCAAACAAACAAGTACGCAACGTGATGGAAAACTAATAAATATGCCTTTTTTTTTGGGATGCGAAATGACTGGTCTATTTTCTATAACTTGGAGGTGTACTATAATGCACCCAAGTTGTTGCGGTTTAATTTGATGCAATTTTCTCTGTTAAAAATAGAAGCAATGATTCAACTATGTGTTGTGATTTCACTCATTTTAATTTGTTGACTTGTGAAATAAAAATCACGTTCTATTTTTTTTCCCCAACAAGTAAAGAAAAAAAATAGTTAAGTTTATATTTTTTATTTTTTATTTTTTTGCTAAAGTTTATAAATTTTATTTAAGTTTAAAAGTTGATGCTAGTAAATTTGAATTTAAAAACATTGGTACAATGGACAAAACGTTAGAAGGAATAAACTAAAATAGCAAACTAAATTTTCATATCTTTTATTTAACAAAATTTTGGCTGTAATCTTAAGTACATTACTTGATAGCCGTGACATCTGCCTCAATTAAGTTTGTACCCATAGACTATAACAAAATGTTTACAGCAAAATTTTATCAAGTATAAGATATGAGACTTATGAAATTACTATTATTTAAACTAAGAAAAGCTTTTTCTTCTTTCTAAATTGTCCAACATGAATGATACCTTTAACAAATACTTGAGACTCATTCATATGAAATTTCAAACAAAAAATTGAAACTTTGATCAAATTTAAAAACTATTAATAAATCAAAATATGTTTAGGCAGGATGACACAATTTTACCGATGACATAAGTTCATGTTCATATAAGGCTATAGGCAATTTAGTTCTAATTAGTTTTGTAATAAACTTTGATCTAAATTTGATTTATTCTAATCAATATATAATAATAAACTAATCTAACAATTTCTATTAAGTGTCTATTATTCTAACTATCACTTTTAAAAGTATAACAAATAACAATAACATATTTCACACAAATGACTATTTTGGTTGTCCCATTTTTAAGTAAACAATTTCATATGCAGTGATTACTTAACTTCGAATTAACATGTATAAAGAGAAAGAGTTGAGTTAAAAAATTTATTAAATTTAATTCCTTTCTTAAACTAACTTAAGTAATGATTTTAAGTTAAAATTTTTTATGTAGTAATGAGTTGAATTATTTTAAAGGTCTAATTCCTACGCATTCATTTCCCTGATTGCTTTAAAGAAAACCTTTTCTAAAACAAATCTTACATATTCATTCCTTTATTGTCTTTAGAATTTTATTTCTAAAATAAATTAACATTAAAATAAATTATCTTAAATTAAGTGGTAACTAAATAAAGAAGGTAGCAGAGAGACACAGGTAGAGAAAGAGAGTGGAAAAATGTTAAAAAGATATGTGACAGAAAAATTAAATCATTGATATAATAGCCAAATTTAAAAGCTATTGAAATACACATTTGATTAACGAATTAGCAATCAAAACATTGATTTAGTAGCCAAACATATTCAATGCTACTTTTGAATTTCATTTTTACCTTGATGGACAAAACCAATTGATCATAAAAATGATTCCTAATTATTAGTGACTGATTATCAGTGAGAAAGTTTGGTCACAAATTGCTTCATTTCTCATAATGATTCACATTAATGTGTCATACTTTAAAGTCATGACGAGTTGAATTATACGATGCTTTGCATGCCTATATTTGTTTTTGAGTAGATTGACATATACAACAACATTTGAATTAATGAATCTCTTAATGAAGAGATAAAAAAAAAGATGGGCATTTTATTTTTAGCATCATAAATTCAGTAAGTATATTTGTTTCGTCAGTCTTGCTAATGAGAAATGGATCCTTATTTCTTTGACCGACAAAATAAATGTCAAATAGCACTTTAAAATGATTACAAATAATGTTTTATTTTTATTTTTTACGAGAGGTGATTATGAGAGGAAATTTGAATCAATATATCAGTTGATACTAACAGGGCACACAGTTTTCTACTTATCTTTTTTGTTGGTAAATCTCTAACCCACAGATAGCAGTTCTACTGCTAACGCCCCCACAAGAATCCATTAGGCATGGGAAAACCATTAATTAATTGTGGAGAAAAATAAAGAAAAAATCCAAGGATTTACATAGAAGCAACAAAAAGGATACTTATACATACATCCTCATTTTAGAAGTACTTGTTTTTCTTTTACACGGCTAATGCATAGTACCTGTTTGAAAATATTTGCATTAATTATTCTCTGATATGTAATATGTATGTTAGTTACAAATTGAATTGTACTGTCCTCAGATAAAGCTGTCAACACGAAATTGAATACAAGTTCTATAAAAAATTTGTCGGATAAAAAGTGTAAAGGCTTCTTTTTAGGTGAATATTTCGTTGGTCAACTTCAATCATAAGATGCTTGTTGCTTGATCAAACCATCAGTAGATTCTATGGACATTGTATTAATTAACAAACACTTAGGTTAATTGATATATAAATTTATTATTTATTCAAGGCATCACCTCGTGTAACTTAACACTTTTTTATCTGAACTTTTTACTTTATTGTTAAAGAAAATTATCATAACCCTTTAGTTGATATATTACATGTTAGAAAATTATCTTAGCGCATACATAACTCCACAAACTAGAGAAAAGTGGTCTTCTTACATGTTGACACTGTTTTCATAGATATTTGCATCAACCGAATTATCATCTTAACTCTGAGATTTTAAGATCTTGGAAAAACTATTGAAAGAAATCTTAATTCTCTAATTAATGCACAGTAAACAATCAAATTTGGTATAGCCTTAGGATGCACCTGGGACTGCGTTAAAATTTCTAAAATGTAATTGTAAAACAGTTGACATGTCTAGATCTCATTTGATTTTGAGAATACAATTTGATTAAACAATAATGTAATAAACTATTTTTATATGAGAAATTATCCTATAGATTTTATAATAATTTTTTTAAAATAAATAAAAAATTATTTTGATAAATTGTAATGAATAAATTATTAAAATACGTAGAAAGATTTATAGAAGTTATAAATTATTTTTTATAAAGATTCCTATATGTGATAAGCTTTTATGTTTTATTGTGCAGAATCTGTAAGTTTATAAGCAAGATTAACATAAGTTTAAATAATAATGATTTATTCCTCAGGGAATACATACCTACGGGGACAATCTTTCATGAAAAAGAGAAATTAATACCTTAATAAGCTATTTTAAGTGAATTCTTTATCCTCTTTGGCACTCATATACTAAATCTACATTCCATTTATTTTTTTATGCACAATAGCTATTAAGTTATGGAGTAATACTCTGTAGGAGACATTTTTTACCGTCCAAAAAGTTGTTAAAATTTAAACATAATAAGAGGATTTGGATGCTTATTTGGACGATAGTAATTTGGACTAATAGAATTAACGTTGTGTTTGATGAACAACTGCTTGACATAATGAGAATTATGGATCTTATAGAACTTAGATATTGGTCTTCTTTGACCTCAAAATTCTTTTTATCAATGGTGTATTAATCATGTGCAGTGTTTAGAGTCTTATTATTGTATATCTTGAAGTGATTAGAGTATATCTCTTGTAATCTTTATTAATAAAATTTATTTTGTGAAAAAAAAAAGTAGAAATCACAAGAACAAAATTCGACTGAATAAGAAAAAATAACAATTCAGATTATGGGGATTTATAGAAACAAATATTGAACGAATAACCGTCCGAAGTAAGCAACAGAAAAAACGTTATAAACGAAAATTTTTGTTTTAAAAAATATTTTTTAAATTATATATGCGTAAATTAAATAAAAATTATATTGTTAATAATTTTATATAAAATATGATTTTTCTGGACCCAAGTGTTGAATCATAACTCTAATTACTTTGACTATTTATAGTAAATTTTGCTAATATTAAATAATTATAAAAATGTAATAAAAATTCTCATTTTTAAATATTTTAAAAGAATATATCATGCAATTTTAATATATATATATATATATATATATATATATATATAAAGTATTAAATAATTTTATAATAACCTAAAACTTTATAGAAAATTTATATGATAAAACTTTTAATCCAACAACTGCTTTTGAAATAAAACTTTTAATAAAAAATCTTAAATAGTGTAATTTTAAAAAACTATAAATCATGCATTTTTGTTTTTAAAAGTATTTTTTAAACTATTGGAAAGTAGGTATTATTTTATATAATTTAAGATCTAATGACATTAAATGTTAAACTTAAAAATTAATATTACTTAATAAATTTTTATAAAATATAAAAGTGATTAATCTAATTGTTGATTTGAAGGTTCTTGTTAAATAAATAAATTTATAAATTTTAATAGAAAAGTAAATATACTATATACATTACATTACTTTATTTTAATAAATATTATAGCTTTAAATATAAATAAATATTAAATTTAAAATAATATAGTTATAAGTATCTAAATTATATAAAATTTAATATATATAATAACAAAATGATATAAAATAATTTAATAATAAGATAAGTCAATTTTATATTTTTGAAATATTATTAAAATGTATAACTATCTGGTACTAAAGCTAACCTTGCTTTTTTTTTTTCTTCTTAAAACCAAAAGCTGCAAAGGGCGTCGGTGGCCAGGCTGACCTACCACTATAACCTTGACCCTGTCTTATTAAAGGTGGCAGATAAATATATTAAGCAATGTTTTCATAACCTATTTCAAGTTTATCTTTCGACCAACTATTAGGAGATTGATGACAACAAATTAGAGCAATTATATTTAATTATTTTTCATTAGTTTTGCTTTCATAAAATAAGTTAATTTGAACTTAGGACCCCAAACCACTAAAACTTCATTAGTTCATATATTTATCCTCTATATATATGGTTTGTTGTTGGACTGCTAAGCCATAAGAACAAGCACAAGGTCTAATTGGGATTTTCCTTAAATCAATTTGTGTTTGAAAAATGGGAAGGAGACCATGCTGCGAGAAGGTAGGGTTGAAGAAAGGACCATGGACTCCAGAAGAAGACAAGAAGCTAGTGGCTTATGTTGAAAAACATGGCCATGGAAACTGGCGTTCAGTGCCTGCCAAAGCAGGTAATAAAACTTTAATTTGTACATATATACCATCTTTTTATTTCTCATTTATTTATTTATAACTATTCCTTGATCGATCGAAGAATCAAGTTTCCCATTTCTTTCATGTTATATGCACACACGTATGTATGTGTGTGTGGATTTAGGTCTTCAAAGATGTGGAAAGAGTTGTAGATTGAGGTGGATTAACTACCTCAAACCTGATATAAAACGAGGAAACTTCAGCTTGGAGGAAGACCGTGCCATTATTCAACTCCATGCTCTTCTTGGAAACAAGTGAGATTTCTTTTGCAGCTTTGAGGTTTTTCTATTGTTGCAACGCAATCATATGAAACCTTATTATTTCCCATCTTACACGCTTTTATAATTTGTTTGTATTAGAAAAGATTCTCTTTTACTCTTTGTCCTTTCTATATTTGAAGAGTTATATTTGACATTTTGTGTACAAAAGGATTATAGAAAAAGGTAAGATAAGACAAACATGTTTGAAAGAAAATAGTTCATTCATACACAATCATAGAGATAAAAAGACAAGTGATTGACGGAACAAGTGATTTGATAAGGAAAAAAAAATTATATGGGTGTTTATAAGGGTAAAATGTTTATAAATTATAGAATTATTTTTCTAGTTAAATTATCCATATTATAATGCACATGCAGATGGTCAATCATTGCATCTCACTTGCCAAAGAGAACAGACAATGAGATCAAGAACTATTGGAACACCAACATCAAGAAAAGATTCATTAGAATGGGCATAGATCCCATTACCCACAAGCCAAAAGCCAACACCTTTGAAGCCTATGGTGATGACCAGTCCAAGGAGGCCACAAATATGAGCCACATGGCTCAATGGGAGAGTGCACGACTAGAAGCTGAAGCCAGAGAATCCATGTTGCAAATTGGATCTAGCTCTTTCCATAACCCTCAACTAATCATAAGCAAAATCCCAACTCAACCCTCTCTTTCATTATCAGATTCATTATCAACAAAACACAACAACATAGTGTATAACATGTACGCCATCACCCTTGCCACAGATCATGACCTTCAATCACCGGTATCCACATTGAGCTTCCCCGGTAACAAGCATCCTACACTCACTACCCATGTTGGGAAATTCACCGAAAGCTCACACTCGTATAAGGGTGATGATGATAATATCAAAGAAACAAGTAGCACTCAAACTGAAAAGATAATGGAAGGTTATGTGTCAAACCTACCAGATGATGATGACATCATGGTGGCTGTGGAAGCATTTAGAAGAGGAACGTGTGAGAGTATCCCTGAATTGTTGAATAGTGCCTCTTCCATGGAAGGTCTAATTGATGATTCTTTTGAAGAGTATAGAAATGGAAACTGCAATCTGTATACCAACTTTCCATTTCTGGAACAAATTACTAAACTTGGATAATGGTCCTAGCTTTTAGGAATTAAAGAAATTGTCTAATAATGGTGGAACATCTAGCCGTGAGATTACATTGCATGGAAGAAAAGAAAAAGCCTCTTATTCCTATTTAGCCCTTGGCAAATTTTCCATGGAAAGCCATGTCATGAAATTGATGTATCCATTGTTTTTAATCTATCACCATTCATCAATATCTCTATAGATTACTTAAAAACATTAGTTTAACTAAATTATAACTATTAAACACTACTTAATGTGTACTTAAAAATATATAAAAAAGCTTATTTATAATAAATTTTTATAAATAATATAATTTAATAAAATCTTAATCTTTATTTTTCTACATGTGTTTAAAAAATTGAATAATTAATACGAAGGTTTACAACTTAGTTGAAAAGTGTTAACCCGCTGCTCACGAATAAAAAGGGGATGTGATGGTAATAAATCATAAATTTTTGTTTTCCAATATCATATGCATTTGCTCGATATAATCATCTTTGTCTTCCTCCTTCTTGATGATGAGGTGGTTTTTCAGTATGATCATGAAGGAGATGTGATGGTAAAAAAGCTAAGGGTGGAGCAAGTAGACAAGGGGTAAGCTGACAAGGGGTAAGCTGATAGAGTGATGGCTATGGAGGTGGCTGAGAATTGACATGTAATGTCCTTTCATTTAATTTGAATATAGCTGGTGGAACTTGTGTGTTTTGTTTAATTTGAATTTTTTCAAGTAATAGCCTTTCATTTTTCAAAAAATGATTATATCTCATAATTAAGCAATTTCCAAACACACGCAACTCAAATAATCACCATTTATCGGTTGTATATAATGGGATGTTTTGTCGCCCTCGTCAATTGAGGCTCATTGTGATGCCTCAGTTATACATTTTTCTCTAAGTAAATTGTTACCATACATTTATCTAATCTGTTATGTTTGGATTAGTCTCTAATCTTTTATTTTTTTTTTAGATTTAGCTTTCAACAAATTAAAAGAATAAGAAATTAAGCTAAGTCATTAATTTTTATGTATTAAGTGTTGAATTGGTTGATAAGTTTTAAATATAAACTTTCTTATATTTTAGATATGTGACAAACATTTATTTAATTAGCATGTAGCATTTAACAATAGAGGTTTAGATAAATTTCTTTTGTCTCTGTAAATATTGTGTTTGATGTATATATTTTAACAAGTTTTCTGTTAATTGTCAAATGAGATCTTATAATTGTTGTGTTAGAAATTAGTTTTTAAAATATATTAATATTTAAATTACTGATTGCATCACGTGAATATATATATATATATATATATATATATATATATGTTAGAAATTAAATTTAAACTTTTATTAAAGTGGTAATAAAGAAATAAAAGGACTGCTAAAATGACTATATATTTGTCGATCAACAACATAGAATTATTCCCATCAAAACAATGATCGTGAAGTTGAGTTATAACTTAAAAGTATATAATTATATTAAATATTTTTTTTAAAAATGTCGGCTATGTTAATTATCGTATTGCTTTTAATTATTAATATAAATAAAAGAGAACCTTTCTTGATAAATATAAAACTGAGTGCAACTGGTTAAAACAATTATTGTAAGATTAACAAGTTTAATTTACATGATAGCTATAATTAATTATAGTGTTAATATAGCTCAAGTAAATTTGAAAAATGACAAAAAAAAAAGTATTTGTGATCTTTTGCGGACAGTGATTTCTATTTGGTGCATGTTAGGGATGGTATAGATGGTTTGAAGAAGCAATGATATATGCATTTAAATGGATGTCAGTAATTCAGAGAAAGAAATTAAACATTACTGAGATGAGAAATTTAATAAGCGTAAAAGACAATAGTTAGTGGTTTCACCTACTTTTGCGATCCTAGCAATTATGAATTTTGAATATTGTGTACGGTCAAATGCTATGCCCTTTCATGAGGTGGCTGGAGCTGGTAAGCCAATTTAGACTCAAGATTCCCTTTCCATCGATATGTTTTTCTTTCCCCTGCAGGGAAGGGAGGGCTCAACAAAAACCATGTTATGTGTCACTTTACAACTATCTGCTAAAACACCAAAACCCAACAACCAAGTTTCTATATAAAAAAGGCTTATTCATGGTGACCAAGTTTCATCAACTGTCCATTCACTAATACGTAGTTGGAGTTATCTCAGCCTTATTAAATACAGATACAACATGAGACATTAAGAACTTTCACACGTGTAAAATATACCTTTTTTTATATTAAAAACATCTTATAACCAACCATCACTCAAACTATATTTTTATTATTCATAATCTTATTTTTAAAAATTTTATTTTAATAACTCAATCGATTATAAATTTAATTTATATTTTTATAAAAAATATTTCAATTAAATTTATCAAAACTTATTTTTTACTAATAATTAATACTATAATTAAAATTAAGTTTTTATTATTCTTAATATTATTTTCTAAATACACTGACTAATGTACGTGGTGGCGTACTTGTAATTATGGTTAATAACAATGTTAAGGTAGCACTTCAAAGTTCAAAGTGAAAAAACAAACACGTCAGAATATTGTTCAATTTTAAAAATGCAATAATCTCTCTCGAGAAAAAAAAGAGAATCTTTTACTTTGGGTAGTCTAATTTGTTGTTCATTATGATGATACGGTTGTATTTAGATTAACTGAAAACAATTAATTATATCGTGACTTTAAAATAAATGAATCTAAAATTAAATTATGCATAATAATTAATTTTGTATTTAAAATGATTAATTCTTAAAAAATAATTTGATAGATTTTAATTATAAGTTTTAAATTTTTATTTATCTTTAAAAATTGTTTTTAAAAATTAATGAAAAATTATAATTAATCTTTCTCAAACAAAATCAATTATTTTTTTTATAATTTTTAAAAAATATTCAAGGTAAATAATTTTTCATGAACACACTTGGCATCAAGGTTTTGAATGAAAAAGATGATAAATATTTTATATAATTAAATTAAAAGATTATACGATATTTATTATAAATAAATTTTTAAATATATTTTATCTTTAGTTACATAAAAAGACAAAATTAAGAAATAATTTGAGAAGAGTTTGAACGTGTGACTGTAACCTACAAACAAAATGCTTTTAATCACGAAACTATTATCTTTTATTAAATAAAATAACATATTCTAATATATATTATATTATTTTGTTTGAATATAATACAAAAGTAACTTAATATATACGAAAGTATATTAAAACAAATTTATATAATAAATATATTTACAATATTAAAATATAGTTATATATATGTAATACAATTAATTAATATAAATATAAATATTACCTTATTGTATTATTTTTTAATTAAGTATTATACCTATAATTAGTATTGGTTCGATCACAGATTAACTACAATTGAACCAATAAATCATAAATTAGTATTTTTATCATTTTAATAAAATCAGTCTAATTTTAAAAATATTTTTATACAAAATAAATAAATTTTATAATTAAATTATAAATGCAGTTTAATAATTCATCCCAGTATTTTGAAATTTTTAATAGGTACCATGAACTTTTTTGTTAAAAAAACAAATATTAATTCATGTTATTAACAACTACTATAAAATTTATACCACTTGCAGATATGAAACAACTGTGGTATAAGAGTGGAGTTCTATGGTACAACAACATAGCATAATTATGAAAGTTTATGAGTGTTTTGTAATCATAAGTGTGACAAATGAGTCAATGACTATGATCTATCGTAATGAGGGTTCATGGAATGTATATACAAGCATGAATGCTTATTGAAGTATAAAATGAGTTGGGCCCAATTTTAAAGAAGGATTGAGTAATAAAATGTTGGTCCAGATGAATAAAATTCTTTATTCATTTTGCATTATTTTTATTTTATTCTATTTTCTCTCTCTCTCTCTCTCTCTTTTTATTTTTATGTTAAACTTTATTGACGATTATTCCATCTTTCTCACTTTTCTAAAGGATAAACAATAAGTAATTCATAATCTATTTGGGAGCATTGATAAATCATCTCAACATTTGTAGCTCAATATTCCAACAGCAACATACCCTCCCAAACATTAGAGAAACTTGCAAACCCAGCTCTTCCCATCACCCAAGCCCCAATGCTTAAAACCATAGAGCCCAAAAGAAATAATCTCAGACCAAGACTAATGGGTACCATCCTTCAGCCCAACTCACAAAACAAACCTGGACCCATCAATGTATCCAATGAAAAAGATATTGCTCATGTGAGAATAGAAAATCAAACCTGCTTGAGAATGAATATCATACTATTTCTTCTGTTTTCTGTTATTTTTGGAAGATATGGTGACAACTTGCACTGCTTGAGACCAAGTAATCTAAGAAATAATCATTGTCTTATTAGAATGTCAAAGAACAAAAGAAAAAGGCAATATAAGTATTTGAAACTTAAATAAAATAATATTTTGTATGAAAGATGCACATGAGGTAGAGAAAATAAGTAAATAAATATAATGAGAGAAAAGAGGCATAAGAGGAGGAGTTATTCACCCTTTATTACATTAATTATGAAGATAAGACAGAGGAAAGTTGCAGGATGGGACTTATTGATGGCAAAGGGTTAAGTTAAAATTTTTTTTTTTTTTATTTTGAGTTATTTAATTATTATAGTTACTGTCAATGTAATTAGGTTTGTACCATCAATGCTTAAAAGGGTATCTGAGGCTCACAATGTTTACTGCACATGCATTCTAAGATATATATTATTTCAAACTTATCTCTTTTGTTCACCAAATTAGAATTTTTTTTATTTTTATACTGTTTTTTTTTTCTGTAAATACTTATTTAAAAATTCACCAAAACTGAAATTTAGTGATCTTTTATGATATCATCAATCAACTACTATTATAATACTATATTAAAGTTAAAATTGTATTTACATAACTCAAGCCTGTCATAATTATTAAGACACGGTAAATATGCAACTTTTATAAATATGGTTAAAATTTATTTTATATTTACTTAATTAATTTAATCTCTATAACATGTAAAATTTTTAAAAATGATTCTTATTGTTATTTACTGACGACATGGCACATAACTAGACACCTCACGTCATTTTGTAAAAGTCCTCGAAGTGATATTATTAAAAATATGTCAGGTCATAGTTAAATAATGATATAGTTATTTTATAAAAAAAATGTTTATAAATTTTAAAATTAATTAGTAAATTTATAAATCAAAATTATATTAAATTTCTTACAAAAACCAAACATAAATTTAAACATATTAAAATATTATATTTTAATTTTATTTATTTGTTTCTAGAATTAGAAAAATGAGTGTTCAAACTTGTTGTAATTGAATTAAATTTTTTATTTCAATCAAGTCTAAGTATGAAAAAAATCAAACTTTAATGATTTTATACTATTTCATGACAACAATTTTTTTATTAATTTACCCAATCTTAAACCTAAAATTAATAGCATTGATTTCTAAGTGCACTAAAAATTGAAACAAACTATTTTCAAACCATTAAATCAATCTAAAATAACTAAATAAAATATTAAAATTCACATTTTTAAAATTTGTTTTATATTTAAATTTCTATTATTAAAATTGAACCAAATTCAACTACATTTATTATAATTTTTTTAAGGTTTTAAATTATAATCTCGTATTAAAATTAATATCACACTTAATTTTATGACAATTTTACATAAATATGCTGTGCTCCGATTAATTCTAAACTCTTTTCATTTTCTCTCAGTTGAATATATATATTTTTTAAATTGATTGGAAAAAACGAATTTTATTTAATTCAATCTTAATATTATATTCAAATTTAAACAAAATTAAATTACACGCTATTTTTATATTCAATTAAATGAAATTTGTTTATAAAAAACATTAAACTAAACCATACCAACACCCTGTATTAACTTGAACAAGCAAAACAACTTCCGAGCTTTCCTTCGCACCCACATCTACCCGCAAAATTCTTGTTTTCCATCAATATCATTACACTCACTTTTTAAGTTTAGATTCTACACATCGTTTGTTAGTATTTGTTATTAAGGTAATCTGACATCGATTTCTTATATCATTGTAGTAAATTTCATTCATTAGTTTTAAACTTAAACATTTATATTGATTAATATGAAGAAGAAACAGACAACATCTCAACAAGATGATCATGGGTCTGATTGATTTATCTGCAAAATCAATCGACAGTGGATATTTACTGTTGATAATAGCTTGAAAACCGAAAACGAAACATGGTGTAAGCTTATTGGAGTGTGAATTAGCTAAGTTCAGTTTGAACAGTACATGTGATTGAGTGATGCACGACTGAACTATAAATAAATGTGCGCAACTGAGCCAATCAAACCATGACTTGACTTTGGCAGTTCAGTTCAAACATTGGAGGAAAGGAAAAATGGAAAAGAAGAAAATGAGCGTTAGATGTTTTTTCCAAATATAAGCAATAAAGGTAAAAGAGGGTATTGATTTAGGTGTAAGAATGACATTGCAATTTGCAGGAAATAAAAGCTGAGGACCCATTGCTCTTAATCTACATGAATTATTTTAGGCGAGTTGTCAGCACGCCTTTACTTCCATCTTCATTTTTATATTTACTGCTTCTTTAATTTTTATCTGTATCGATTCAATTTTCCGGAATGCTCGGTTTCAGTACAACACTATTATTTTTATTTTATATCAATAAACTCAACTTATAATAAGATTATGAGCTAATCTTATCAGTATAATAAAATAACATGATATTATATACTTTTTATCATTTTAATCTACGTCAATTATAAAACATAATGAAATCTTATTTTATTGTTATGTTGTGATGTTATTTTTGCAAGTTTCAAATTCAATGGTATAACATTGGACAACTAATTAGTGGCATGAACCTGCTTGGATAGGATAATAGCATTCACTCTAGCGCGTGTATGTTAGATATGGAATGGGGTAAAAGAAATTAAATTTGAAATAACAATGGTAGATATGATTATATGAAGCTTGAACCACATATCTCCCCTGCGTCCTGTGTGAATTTATTTCATCAGTTATCAACATATATGTATATATATATATTACTCAATCCTAAATAAAAATCTAAGAAAAGAAACTAATAATTGCTAAATTTGTTTGTGTACGTAAATTAGTTTTTTGTCTAATTATATTTTTTATCACTTTAATTTAAAGTATTAATTTTATTGTATTCGATTGTTTTATTTTTAAAATCAAGCAAGCCAAACTTTTTAGCGAAAGACTTAGTGTTTTGATTGGTGAGTTTTGAGCAAACAAATTTAAAACAACTCTATCTTTTAAATTATAAAGATTTTAAGTAAAATAACAGGAATTTTAAAAATTTTGGTGAAAAGATCGATAAATAAACTAAATTCGTTAATTTTAAAACTAAAAAACTTCGTTTACTTAAAAGAAACTTGGATACCAAAATCATAGACCAAATTAAGCAGATAAAAGGTACAAATTAAACCTCTTTTTACAAGTATTTAATGTCAACAGTTATGTATGTTTGTTACCTAGAATAGAAATGGAATGAGAATAATAAGAGTAAGCTGGCATAGAATAACTTTACAAACCATTTCATTGTTTGGTGCGCAAATTAATTAATTTAAACTAGCATTTCTATCTCTCTCTCTCTCTCTCTCTCCGTATATATATATATATAATAGAAATTTTTAGACAAATTCAAATATAAATATTTTTATTTTTGAAAATATCTAATAAAATATTATTCCATTAATGAATTTTTTGAATTATTATTATATTCAATGTCAATTTAATAAGTTTAAAGATTGGTTAAAAATTTAAGGGCAAAATAAACTCTTTAAATTAAAATAATTTTTTGTTAATTTTATTTACTGTTGAGTTTAAATATTTAAAAGAAACAAAATTTTTATTAAAAAATATATTTATTACATTAAAATTAAAAAAATATAATCAATATATTGGTTCTTTAAATTCAATTTTAAAATTTGATCTTAATTTTTTTTTCTTATAATAATTAATTAAGGACACAAGAGATATTGACTTGACATGCATAATAAAATGAGAAATATTGGACGTAAAAAATTTATCCCACTCTAAAACATGGTAATTGAAATTTGTACTTAAGTATTGATAGAATTAATATTTTTATATTTGTAAATGAAAGAAATACTTCTACTATGATATAAAATATGTTAATTTGTTTGTTTAGTTCTTAAATCCAAAATTTTAACTCGATAATATAAAATAGTAAAAATAACCAGCATCATTTCATTTGAAGAAAACAAATTAACGCGTATACATTGTTCTGGTGAAATACCCCGTACTTATTATGGCACTATGAATAATACTTTTGCTTCATAGTTTGTCATAATATGTAAAATAGGAATTGAAGTTTATTTAGATGTGAATCAACTGCTAATCCTCAAGCCACCTTAGCTTAATTATGCATGGGTGAAAGAGGTGCTTTAGTCCACTGCTGCATAGCAAAAGACTAATTAATATACTAAATTATATTTCTCTCTCATCTAATAATATTTTTTCATTGCATCAATATATTCATTCTAATTAAATTCTTATGAATTATCCTTACGTATGTTAATATTTTTTGACACATTTTTATTTATCATTTTATCGTGTTCTCATTAACTAAAACCAAGGTAAGTAACAACGATGTGTGTGATGATTTTATTTATTATTGAATGTAAATATAAAAAATAAAATGCTCATTACCATTTTCATATTTTTCTGGTATATAGAATTAAGGTATTTATCAATCAATGGACACTGGTTAAAAAATAAAAAATATCAAGAATTACTTTGACATTTTAAAACAAGTAACTACTATACAGTGTATAAGAGTAACAGGAGAGAAAGGCGTTGTAATAAATTTGGCACTCACACACTGGTGTGGCAAATTAAGTATATAACCTGACTCACAAAGTTATGCGTACAGCCTCATAATTATCAATTTATTATTAATATATACTTAATAGTTTCTTCTGTATATATAGAGTTACCCTTCTGCGTGCATCCTTTGAACTCTCAAGTGTTCGTTTCCCTGTCTTGTGTGTTTCTCTTGCTCACTACAACGCATTTTTCACATAGGAAGGAAACCCAATCACCAACCTTCGATTAAATAGTTGCATAGGCTGAACAATGGGAAGGTCACCATGCTGTGAGAAGAATGGGTTGAAGAAAGGACCATGGACTCCCGAGGAAGACCAAAAGCTCATTGCTTTCATCGAAGAGCATGGCCATGGAAGCTGGCGTGCATTGCCTGCTAAAGCTGGTAATTGGATGATACTTTTTTTTTTGGGATAAAATATATTTTTAAGTTTTGTAAATATAGTTAAATTTAATACTACTTTTTTTAAAAACTTTATGTTGGTCTTGATGTTCATTAATTTTAAACGCTTAAATAAATTTTATCATCATTTAATAATAATGACTGACTTTTGTCACTTTAAATTAATTGCTGACTCCGTGATGATAATAGAATCCTTGTAAAAGAAATTATAATAAAATCTAATTCTATAACTTAATATATATATATATATATATATATATATATATATATATATGAATTTAGATAAACTAATACTTACGTGGTATAAAAATAAGAAAGTAAAAAATATTTTTTTTTTATAGAAGTTAAATTTAACTTGTACTTGTCTCCTTTGAAAAAAAAAGATATTTAATTTTTTTAAAATTTAAATTGTGTAAGTTAGTTTTAGATATTATTATCATACAATTTTGAGGAAGAAATAATGAAAGATTCTTGTTTGGCAGGTCTGAGAAGATGTGGAAAGAGCTGCAGATTGAGGTGGACTAATTACCTCCGACCTGATATCAAACGAGGAAAGTTCAGCTTGCAAGAAGAGCAAACCATTATTCAACTTCACGCTCTTCTGGGAAACAGGTCAGTGATGTCCCATATTGATCATATATATTATATGTAATCAAATGAAATATTCTATTGCTGCTCATATTTGTTCTATCTTTTTTACAATTACAAGATAAATAAAAAGAAAAGAATGTGAAATACAATAAATAACATGATAAAAAGAGAGAGATAAATTATAAATAAGATAAATAACTCTACTCTAATTAATTAGACATTCCAAAAAATCCATTTGTTGTAGTTTTTTCATTTAATTAGCTTATTTTAGTATATAATTTTTTTTAGCAAAAGTTGACTAGTTAGTATAGACATTTTAAATTTTTACTAATAATATGATTAACAAATGATTTTATCAGTATAAATATATATATATATATATATATATATATAATATTATAGTATACTACATAATTTGTCGGTATAGAGCATAAAAATTAATAATGTGAAACAATTTCGAATTAGTTAATAAAAGTAACAACACACTTTTATTGTGGGATAAAATAAAAATATTTTTTTCACATACTCAAGTATATGAACTTAAAATATTATTTATATAATATTTACACAATTAAACATTAACATTAGATATGATATTATATATTGTTTTAATTTTTAATTTTTTTTATATACATGGAGCCAAGCTAAAAATAAGTCCAAAATGGAAAAGAGACACGTTTAGTAAGTGTCTACTTTAAATGGGAAAGAAAAGATTTTGGTATTGAGAATGATTGGAGCTTGAAATTGAACAGATGGTCAGCAATAGCATCTCACTTACCCAAAAGAACAGACAACGAAATAAAGAACTATTGGAACACTCACCTGAAGAAAAGACTTGACAGAATGGGCATAGATCCCACAACCCACAAGCCTAAACTTGAATCCCTCAAGGACGGCTCCAATCTCAGCCACATGGCTCAATGGGAGAGCGCTCGGCTTGAAGCCGAAGCCAGACTCGTAAGAGAATCAAAGTTAATATTGCTACAACAAAACAAACCCTCTTCCTTCACACAAACTAGGCTGGTTCTCAACAAAATCACCCCTCAACCATCACCACCACCATGCCTCGACGTACTCAAAGCATGCCAAATCAACGACAACAAGAGAACCATGCACATGCCCATACACCATAGCATGTATGCCATGATGCTTTCCACTCATGATCATCATGACCTTGAGTCCCCCACTTCCACGTTGTGCTTCCCCGAGAGTTTGCCAATTATGAATAACGCTAATGCCGTGCCCATGAATGTGATCTCAACCAACAACAACCCCATTGGGTTAATCAATGAGAATTATTATTTACTCCCTCCAACCACTGTCACTACTTCTTCAGAGGGTGGTGCGAATGCAATCATGACGGAAGCTAATGATGGTGGCAGTGAGTATTTAATCAAACACACGGCTGAAGCAGAAGAAAATCAAAAGAGAAATAGTATGTACGATGCAATGTCATGTTTACAAGGTGATGATGATGACATTATGGTGGCTGTTGAAGCATTTAGACGTGCGGGTTACGACAATAATGTCACTCTCACAACTCTCTCAAGCAATGTTGTCGTTGGTTTCGACAACGATATGTCGGTTTTTGGTTCCTACGAAAACTTTGGAGCAGGGAATAACTTGGACAATATCAATGGGAGTGGAAGCACTTGCAGCACTGGTGACGTGAACTTCGAGCATAAGAACTATTGGAATAACTTGCTTGGTTATAAATGAACGATATATGTTTACCAGTACGAGAGTGTAGCATCAATGTTATTATGTTTGTTTCTTTCAGTGAAATAATTATTTTCTTCTATTATCACTTTCTTCCAAGTGTTCTTTTGCATTAAAAAGAAACAAAGGACAGTAAATATAATATAACAATTTTATTAACCACAACTTTTAGAAATAATTTTAAATATTTAATAATACTAAATTTTTGGTGAAAATAAGATATTTATTATAATTTTTATTTTTAATATAATAAATGTATTTTTGTATACTTAAATTCAATTCTAAAATTTTATATTAATAAGATTATAAAAAAATAATGCTCATTTTTATCCTTTTAATTTTGATAAAGAAAAGTAATTCATTAAATATTAGAAAAAATATTTTTAAGATGCATATTATTATTATTATTGCATTTAGTGTTTACTTTTAGTGATTTAAACAGTGAAATGGTTGTACTCAATAAATTGTAACATACAATGTCACGTGTAGTATAAAATTTCAGTGATTTAAAAAATAAAGTCACTGTGTATAGAGATGACAAGGCAGAATAAATACATGTAGTAGTCACATGCTATTATCTCCTCGTGTGAAAATCTGCACTGTTCTTGTCTCACAGTAGCACAATTATTCAATAGGCCGGTTTGATGAATATTTAGGAGTTTCTGTTCCACGTTAGATATTATTTATTATTAATGCATATATTTTAAGAACAAAAATAGTTGCGGTATAAAGAAGAGTTATAGAAAGTTCAAAAAAGGTAGGAATAAGATTTTATGGGTATCATAACACTTACTAAATAAGAGTGAAATAGGTAAAAGAAAGTCAAAATAAAAAATAATGTGAAAAATCTAATAATTAATACAATTTATGTTTGTCAAATTTAAACGAAATTGTCTCAACCCAGCTAGCTTATATACATTGGGATTTGGGCCAATATCAATGCTAACTTAATATATATAAATTCTCCATTTTGCTCTTCTTTGATGGGATAATCATCCACAGTTTAAAATGAGAGTCTTTGGCAACAGATGCCTACCCGTGTAACTGCATTACATATTTTAAGGAATGATTAAATGAAAAATCTTCCATGAACTTAGCTAAATGTAAGACAACAAGTTAAAGATCAAATTGGCACTAATCCTTTCAATTTGAACCAACTGTGAGAATAAGAAACATGAGAGAAAACAGATGCATGTAATAATGAGCATTTCTACCCTAAACACAACTAAAAACCCTCTAAGTTCACCATATTTACGCAGATTTATCGTTTCCCTCTAAAAATTGGCAATGGACCCTTCCAATCACCAAAACATTTATTAACCAGCTTCATTACATGTTTCTAAATACTATTTTCTTCTTCTTTTCAACTACTTGTCTGAAAAATAACTCTCTTTAACTATTCTTTAGAATAATAGTCATTTTACAATTTTAAAGTAAAATAACTTTTTTCTTCCAACTTTATCCCTATATAATTATTATCTTAAAATTTATTTTTTATTTTCTCTCTTTATTTGTTTATTTATTGCATAAATAAATTCTAAAATGAGTATAATAATTTTTTATAATACTTTAAAGAATTATATATATTTTTTAATTATTGTGTCATAATTTTAAACAACTATTTTTCAAAGAGAAAGAAAATATTATTTTTTTTGGAATAAATTTTTAATTTTATTCATCCATTATTTTAACAGTATAAATAAAAATGTATTTAAAAAGTAAATAATAATGTTAGAGGAAACAAAGGAGAAATAATTCAATAAAAGAGTGATAATTATGAAGAGAGATTAGAGAAGGAAAGTAAGAAAACAAGAAACCTAACAAAGAGACAAGAGAACAGAGACAAGTACAGAGGTGGTGGAGTGGTTAGAGTGCCAGAGTGAATGAAGTGAGACATGAACAGTGAATAATTAGAACTTTTTTCTTTTTCCAACCTAGTCATGGAGTCGGTATAAAATAAATTTGTTAACCCTACATTGTCTAACTTATTTTCTTTTTAACACTTTTAATTATTTACCCAAATTTATTTAAAATATAAAATTTTTATTATTTTAATTTAATAGTTTTTATTTTTAATTCAATAATTTTTTTTATATTTTTATAATTTTTAATAAAATTTAACTGATGATTAGAAATGTGTTAAAAGATATATTCTTACCCCTCTTTAGGAATAGGCACTTTCATTCGGGTAAGAAATCTTAAACCCGAAATCGACTGCTCTGCCCATTTCTAATTGGACAAAAAACTCACCAACATTACTGCCCGGACCATTCTTAAATTTGCACTGTTTTGGGCTTTTTGGTTGCATGAATTCAATCACTCCAGCAATTTGTGCCTATCAGTGATAATCTTATTCACCTAAAGAAAATAGTAAACAATCTCACTGTTAATGTATTTTTGTTTTATATAATTTGTAATTAATGTAATTGTCCTAAAGGGTAAATTGATTTTATTAATAATGTTGTTTAATTTTTAACTTTAGAGAATTTCTCTTGATAAATTAATTCATCTCTTTTGTATGGTAACACTTCAATTTATCTTAATACTTTGGTTAATTAGCTTTTGCGGATGAGTTAAATAGGACCAGTTTTTAGCATTCTGCATATTATTCCAACCTAGGAAACATATTGGTAAGACATAAATATAAGCTTCAGATTGCACTAAATTTATCCGATCCCATGACTTCTATAGCTCATTTAGAACCTGTTTCTAGCATTGTTCTTTATTCAATACTAGAGAATAGGATACATGTAAGAAATAAAAATATACGCTTCAGATTCCACTAAAAGTTATTTTAATCCCATGACTAGCTATTTTCACAAGTACATTTCTTACTAGCTTGTTTTATGTAATCCATTTTTTTTATAATTAGATAAAATGTTAACTATATTTCAATTGCAAAAAAGAATAAAATTAAAAAATTATACTTTTCTCTCTTTTTTACCTTCAAGTTTGGGATATAAGATAGTTTTCTTGATTCAATATAAAAATATCCAAAACAATTATTGTATTTTGCTTCATTTCCTTGATCAGTAGATATTTAAACCTGCAATCACTTCTTGTAAGTAGTAGAACAAAAATATACAGCAAAGATGCTGTATATTTAACCATCCTCGTACAATTAAATCAACCACATGATGCTGTTTCTTTCTTTTTCATACCTTTCCAAAACCAGGACAGTGAATGTGTTCTTTGAATAATCAACTTTACTTAATTTAATAATTCTTTGGCTAACCGCATAAACGGCACAGATCGTAAAGATGATAAAGAAATAGTATTCTTGTTCATCAAGGAAAGTAACGTAGAAAACATGAACCAATCTTTAGTTTCATTCATTCCCTTTAGTTAGGTGCCTCTCTTTTTTAACAAGAGCCCACTTGCAGGCTTCTTTTCACACCCATATAAATATTCCTTTCTTTTGAAAAACTTGTTCCATTTCTTCAAATTGTGCCAGAGATTGTTGTAGCGAGCTGATAGTTTTCAACTCTGATCTTCAATCAATATCTTCATTGATTCCACAATCAAAGTGATTCGTTTTATTTAGTTTCATTCTAAAAAGAGATTCGGTATTCGTTTCATATGTCACTATAAATTATTGGATTAAATAGAGAAAAATATATATAATTTTACCACCAAAAAATAATTTGATATAGAGAATAATTTTAATTAAAATAACTTCAAGAGAAATAAGATATTATTTCTACAGTGATAGAGTAAAGAAGAAATATTACCAACATATACGATATGAGTATCAGATACAATTCGCATTGGATTGACGATATGTCATTTCTTATAAAGCATATGATACGATACGTGATAAAAGGGGTAGGCCTTATTTAGGAGTTCTCTTTGCACAAATGGAATCAACATTATCAACTAGATTTTGACATATTTCCCATAAAGTAGCATCAACTAATCTGCTGAGGAATTCTTAGCAAATTGATAAAATCAGCTTTTCTTAATATTTACATAAAACACAGGAATTTTAAGAAACCGGGTTAATGTTTTCCAAATTGTTGGAAAAGGAGCACTTGGGACATCACGATCATCAGAGAAACATATAAGAAAAAGCACATAATCATCAGATGGTAGAAACAAATACCATTTTTTCACTGTCCAACAAATGGGAATTTGTGAAGCAGGTTATCAGTTACACAGTTCACATGTAAACTTCCATGTTGAACTCAGTCACTTCTCAAAAGCGCAAGTCTGCATAAGCGCAAACACAGAATTAAGTTTTTTTTTTCTTTTTTGACAGACGCAATTAAATTTTGGAAGTGACAAAAAATGGGCGTTGTAAAAAGTAATCTCTAAAAAAAAATTAGCAGTGAATACTGTTGTTTTTGTGAACAACAGTAAAATCAAGAATTCAAAATTTTCAACAATGACATAACGAAAATATGATTCTGGTTGTTAACATTAGGCATCAAATTCAACTTTGCCATTTAAGTGCCTGTTAGTGTTAGAAACACAACTGGTCTACATAATCTATTTGGCATAAGAGCAGAACACGATCAAATATTTCATCCAAATCCAAAATTCCAAATGTCCTTTCTTGCTACTATACTAGGAATCAAATGTTGGTGGTTAAAATTTTCCTTCATGGTCATGCCTTGCAATCTATAAAATTATACAGACGAGAAAGGGCATAGTTGATGGGATCATGATCACAATATTTCAATTTGCACTTTTTTTTTTCTTCTAAAACTTTAAATAAATGTCAGGATTCTTTCCAAGCTAGAGGGCATGTCAAAGGCAGCACATACACACGCAGATAAAAGACAATTTTCAACCCTTTCGTAAACGAAGGCCAGAAAAAGATTAATACTATGTTCAAATAAATGTTGGCTGATTCTGTGTAAGTATTATTAAAAAAACAAGTATGGTTCCTAGACTAAAATTATTAATTAACCTGAAGCGTGTAGACCAAGACTGCAAAAATGAATATGATAAGCATCATAATCCTTACTGCGTTCAGAAAAGAAAGTATCATTTTTCAAAAATGAATTGCGCAATGCTCCTTTTGATTAGACTCAAAAACTAAGATTTAACAAAAATTCAAGAAGATACCATTTTAGATGAAAACTGGCCTCACCCAGAAAGTAATTCGAAAACGACTCAAGAAAAATAAGAAATCAACATGAATGGCATTGATTGAGTATAATGGATCTAAAATCCAGTGATAAGATAAACTTGACATGGATAGGGAAAGAGATGAACTGTTCTGTTCCATGACTTAGAACCAGGTAGGTTGCCTTTGCTGAGCTATCTTGTTCAAAGAATAACCAATTTTACATGGTAGGGGCAGGGGAATCAACAGAAACAATAGTACGGGGGAATTTGCAGTAGAGTTCAAACATGACTTTTGCTGTCAAAAGGAATTACCAAACATTCAACATGCATAACACGAATCTTAATGGAACCCGCTAAGCTTTGTATATATTATAATATTTAGTAGCCTAAGGAACGTTTCATGAACGAAAAATATGTGCGTAGTAACATACCACTCAACATACACACCAAAGCAGATAAAACAGCAAACAAAGATGGAAGTCTTGCAAGAATGTTCAACAAACGACAACATTGGGATTATATGATGCAAGAGCTTACCATAAAACATTAGGATTATGGAATAAAGTGACCATTCATTGACGCAATTTGCACAGCAAAACAAACCATCACAGTTCTCTAAGCTAAGCAAATCAATTCTCAAACATGGCCCCTTTAGTACCAAGGTTCTACGTTGCAATTTGGAACTTTTCAGGGAAAAGAGAACTATTGTTACGACATAAACCAAATGATTGATATAATTTGATCAGTAATCAGAGACAATTAAATTAAAAATAGAATGTTAGACTTTCTGCCTTGCATATTTGCTACCCAATGCCATTTTACGGTGACAAATGTTAAATTTTATGGCTAAGAGGTTCCTACTGTAGTTCGGAGCAACAAGGTGTTAATATTAATAAAAATCAGGACAAGTTCAGTTCAAAGCTTACTGTACAAGAATTGTATTAACCAGCAATAAGGCTAAATACAAAACTAGTTTATCCAAACTCAACAAAAAAAAAATTACAATTCATAAAGAATGAAGACAGTGTATTTAGGCTTTGTTTAAATAAATTGATAACAAAACATAGCTTACACCTAGCTTTATACATGGAAACCTGTCCATCTTCTAAAACTTCCAATATCACTCCCTTCAGAAATGGCCATTCCTATTCCAACACTTCCTCCATTTCCAACACCTCTATAATACAACCTCCACTCATTTTCTTCTGTATCCATTTTGACCAGACACGGCGATCCAACATCCTTATCATCCCAGCAGCCTTTGTCCGATGGCTTTAAAATTGCCTCATCTTGAAGCCTCATCCATTCCTTCAACCCATCAGGAGATATAGCCATACCAATGCTCCTCCTCCCATCAGCAGCAACACCTTCATATGCCATCACATAGTTTCCATCACTCCGGTTCCTCATCACACACGCATTCATTGCTCCAAACTCATCAAAACAACCAGCCTTTCCTCCCCCCATTATCTTCCCTAACTTCACCCACCTGATTCCATCCCTTGACCTAGCAATCCCAATAGCAAAATGCCCTTTTTCCACATCAAATGAATGATAATACATCCTAAGATCACCATTTCCATGGTAAACAACTTGTGGTGAAGAAATGAACAAAGAATCCCACTCTTTCTCAGACCCAACATCAATCAATGCTCCACTATGATGCTCCCCTTCAATCCTAGCCCAATGCCTCCCATCTTGACTAATAGCCAAACCGGGCAAGGACTTGAAAACTTTTCCATTGCCATCATTGATGAAATTGAAAAAACTATCAGGGTTTTCCAAACTGAATTCCAAAGAGTTATCAGCAAACTCCACCTTATCAGAACCATAGCCAGTGTAGTAAAGCCAGTAAACAGCACTTGAAGCTCTAACTCTAGAACTAGACATGATCACCATCTCAGAAGGCCTAATGCCACCAGTATCAAAAGCCCACCAATCCTTACCACAATTCATCACAAAACCCACATCAGAACTTGATCTGGCAACCCCTCCTCCACGCTCCCAATGAACCCCATTGCTTGAAATTGCCAACCCTATCAAATCACAAGAAGGTTTCCCTTTAGCCCTCCCATGATACCACATGTACCATCTCTCTTCTTCATCACTCAGAAACCTCTTCACCACTGGTGATCCAACCTCTGCACTGTCCCAAGAGTTTGAAGCACCCAAAGCAAACACCAACCCTCTTGAAGAAGAAGAATGTGATCGTGATTCTGAAGGTGATGAAGCACAAGAAGAACCATAAGAAAAGGCTTCACTTGCTTCATCTGATTCATGTGCCTTGGAAACTGAACTTGGTTCATCATTGGGCTTGCTGTGTGTCTCACTGTTGGCGCTTGTGTCTGGTTTTGTGGAACAACGTAAGAAAGATGGGAACTTTGAGGTTGTGAGGAGAGGGTTTGAGGAGACCAAAGTGAGGGTGTTGGGTTTGGTGGAAGATGCCCATGATGGAATTAAGGTTGTTGGGGTTGTCAAACGTTGGAAAATGGAAACTTTTGAAAGGGCATTGCGGGGTAACAATGAAGGAAGTGCCATTGATGATGATGGTGCTGCGTCCATGGCTGTTGAATGGCGATGCACACCACAGAGTTTGAGGACCAATTGAATGGACGGTGACAGGTTGAAAAAAACTGAACTGGAAGACGGAATTTGAACGAGACAAAAAAAGAAGTTTTTATGTATTTGTGTGGTGCAAGTTCAACAAAGAAAGGGTGGAAAAGAAATGCAATGAGAAGAGGACCCTTTGTGCTTGTGTTCCAAATTATATGGCAGTTTATAGTAGCACATGTTTTAGATGCAATTTTTATTTTTGTATTTATTTATATCTTAATTAAAATTTGAGTTTTATCTTAATAGTTTATAATAATATTAAATACTAGTCACTTTTTATTGAGATAAAATTTTAAATAAAAAAGGTTTTGGGGGACAATGAAAGTAAAAAAAAAAAACGAATTAAAAGAAAGTGAATGAAAAAATATATAGTGCATACATTTTCACACATGTTTTTTTTTAACATTTGTTTTTTCTTTTTTTAGAGTTTTTTAATGTATCTTTAAGGGCATGCAATACAAAAAATATATAATACTTTTTTATAAAAAAAACTATAATGTATCACAAAATTTAATACATTAATAACATTAAATGTTAAAATTTTAAAAAAAATATATTTTAAAAAATTATATTTTTATTTCATTTTATTTTCTCTCTCTCTCTTTCACTTATTTTACATTCCAAAATGGTGTCAAAATTTAATTTTAAAAAATTATAACTGTAGAATGAGAAAAGTTTGGGGCAGCATGTCGTGCTGTCAAAAGATTTCAAGGCATGGTGGTGTATTTAACCCAACAAGGAAAATGTCAGTGTCTCAAATATGATCAAATTTTAGACGTCACAAATTCAAAAAGCACGTTTAAGAAACGGCTTTATTGTGTCTCACTTGCTTCTCCACTTTTGGAATTAGATCCCTTTGGTTTAGGATGCAAATTTGTGATACCAATATTAATATCATAGACAATTTAGATCATTTTCTTTAGGAGCCTCTTTAGATTTTTCATCGTTGGCATGAATTACGATGTAAGTGTGACATATTTTATTTGTTGTATTTTTTTTTTCAATTCTTTTAAAATCGATTTTAAAATTTATCAAGAAAAAACCAATTTGACTGTAAATAATATAATCTCATTTTTTAAATTACGTTATTTTTTACTCAATTTTTATTATTGGAGTAAAATACATATATTATTTTTTACTTAGAAATAAAACATCGAAACACATCTGCTCGATAATAATATCAACACACATAAGATCTAATTATATTAGGAGAAAATCTACATGTTTTTTTTTTTCTTTTTTTACTAAACTTGAGTTCTTTAAGATCAAACTAAGAGATAAGTCTCTCCACCAGTACACCACCTTTATTAGCACAAAACTGATGTGTTCTAATTTTTTATTTTTCAAAACTGTTTTGTAAACTACTTTCTAAAATTTAAATTTTGAAAAATAAAATCTGCTTGGTAATATAGAAACATTTTTAGAAATTAGAAAACAAAACAAATACACAAAACATATATTTTTTTAATCTTTCCAAAAACAATTTTAATAAAATGGTTTAAAAAACAACAAACAATAAGAGAATACTCAAATAGACTCTAAAATTTTCTCCTGATAATATTGCGGGATCACTGACACGTGGCATACTGGGTGCTGTTTTTTTCTAGGGGGAAAAGGATATAAAGCCAATAATTTATATAAATTAAGCTTCTTTTGGTTTGATTTTGTTGCAGTCTAGAACTTTTGTGAAACAAGAACAGTGAAAGTGTTCACTAAAGAATATCTTTACACAATATAATATAATGGTCTTTTAACAACAAAGGTTGGAAGGAAATAAAGAAATGGTATAACTCTCCCTCCAAGAAATGGTGTTATTCTATCTTTACTTACGTGGCACTTCACAACACATTAATATAAAAAATATATAATATTGTGTTTTCTTTGTACTCAAAATACACTTCATTTGGTCTGTATGACAAATTCTCCTCGAGAACATGAGATTTATCTTTTCATTGGTGCTTATCACAATCACAAATTCTTCTGTAGTAGTTGACAATATAGATATCAATATGCTTTGGATATGAGGTGTAAGAAGGGAAAGAGGAAGAAGACATATTCAATTCGGGTGGAATATTATTTTGGGGGCAAAATTAGCGTTGTGTAATTTTTCAAAACTTAGAAGGTGGTGAGTGCCATTCACTCTTTTTATAATTTTTATTTCAAAAGCATTGTTTTTATATTCCAAAGGAAATCATTCTTACAATTGAGCACAGACCAAAAGTTGACTAGAAAACATTTTTATTATACAAATCTATGCATTTTTTAATACTAATTTTTTAACCTGTTGTACGTGATAATAGCATATATACATTATGCTTCTATTGAAAACTACAAAATTTAATGCACTTGAACGCATTATGATATTAAATGATACACTTATCAATAAAATCATGCTATAAATAGGTTATTATTATATGCAATGTTGTACATCGTTATTTATATTTTCTCAGCTTCCTTTCCCCCCATAAGTTGTATCAACAGATCATTTTACTCCAATACAATTAAACCAACAAAGTTCATTAAAAAACCTTGAATGATCCAACCATGCAAATTCCCCCAACAGGAAGCCATGCTGCTAAATATTTTAGAGAAAGACTAATGAATTTACAATCACTTTGTTGCAAGTGGGACAACATTCGATAAAGACAGAAAACAAAAATTATTCCAAATTTACAATGAAAAATTCATAATGAACGGTTTAACTATGATTTATTAAACTCCAAAAACAGAGGCAAAATTTTTGTATCATAGTTCGTGCTACAGATACTTTCAAACCCTCTGTAGCAAGTAATCTATGATGGACACGGCAAATGTAAAGAAACTCTGAAAAACTGGTTAATGAAAAAATCTTGACAACAGATGCGAACTTAAAACAAGGCATCTGCCAAAGGCCAAGTATTAGATACTAATGAAAAACACATGCTCCAGCAAAAATGTGTGGTTCAGATTAATTTAGGTATGTATCTTAGTCATATTCAATGGCTCGAAATCAATTCTACTTAACTTTAAACCAAACAAGTACTCACAAAGCTACATGGGTAGCCTGGAATAAACCGTGCTTGCATGAAGCTTTGGTAAAACTTCTCTATTGCTGTTGATCTAATAAACCAATTAAACACTTCAACTAATATCAGGGAAAAATTATGCACTTTTCAGTGGCTGAAGGGTAAATATTATTGTCAGAGCTAATTTTCTCAAGAGCCAAACTTTCAATGTAGTGTAATTTTGCCCCCATAAAACTCACTAATCATTCCCTCTGAATCTCTCCATTGACTCAGCTTTTTGTTGCTTCACAATTTCAAGTATCTTCGGATTGTAGAAACGATCACGAACATATTTCCTCTCCTCAGCTTGTATCTCCTTGATAGGACTAGGATATGGGTTTGGAGGAAGTCTCTTTCCTTGAATACGTGCAATTTCTTTCAAACGCATATATGCTTTCTTCTTTGCCCTCTTCTCTGTCACATATTCCATCTAGGAAGCAAAAGTGAAAAAGTCCAAATGATTATTAGATGACAAAAGGGTAAAACAAATTGAAGAGATTGCTTATTCAGGAACCAATTCAGGTTACATACATCAGCTATAGCCATTGCTTGTTCCTCACTAACGCCCTGATCTTTCAACTCAAGAACTCTCAAGCCAAATATACGAGATGGAGGGGGATCAAAAGCATTAAACCTGTTGAAAAATTAATCATTTGTAACTATAAGTGGTTAATGCATTTGAAGCTTCTACTTCATTCTTTCCATCAACAACTAGACATTGGCTAGAGCCTATTTAAAAGTTCTCCTGATGCAAATGGAGGCAACTGCAAAAATTAACCAACTCTAAACATCCAATATGTATTACCCATCAATTAGTAACCGCCATTCATTGAGGAATTCTTAGTGAATTGACAAAAGCAGCATATATATATATTTTTGGCATACAGCATGTATAATAAGAATATAAAACTCAAAATAAGTTTTAAGAAACCAAGTAAATCTAACCATACTTGTTGGAAAAAGAACACTTGAGTATCTCACAACCATTAAAAGAACATAAGAAAGCAAACAATTACCAGATAGCAGAAACAAAGACACAGACATCTACTATTTCGCAGAGTCCAAGTGAGAAGTTGTGAAACAGGTAATTGGTTAACACCAGTTTTAAGCTTATTTTAACAAACTTCTCAGCATAACCTATCAAAATAAACTTTTTAGCTTATTCCAAGAAGCTTCATAGTAAAATTTATAGCATAAGTCATCGTGAAATAAAAGCTTATTGAAACAGCATGTAATGAAGCTAGGTATCCAAACACACCCTAACACAACATAATTGATATTGAGGATACAGAACTCAAATTTTTGAACACATGTTTTAGCTGTTAATGTAAGGAATTAAACTGGACTAAGCAGTTTACATGTTTATTCAGACATTCAGATAAATGATCATGCTCAAGAGCAGGACACATTCAAGATTTTCCATCCAAAACCACTAAAACAAGCAAACAAGTTCTTTCTTACTGCTCCACTATGAATCAAATTGGAACTTGAAAGGTAGTAAGAGCCTCTTTAGTTTATGAAAATGTCTTGCTCTTTCAATTTCATTGTGTTGACCATTTAATACAAAGGATATTTAAAAACAGGAAACAAAAGGTAAAAATAAAGTGATCTTTTTGTAATTATGAGTAAAAAAAAAAACAAAATATAAACAAAAAATCTCCCTAACCAAACAGGTCCGATATTTCCCCTCGTTCATGAATAAAAATTTAGTATATCTCTTAGCAAAAATAATAATAATAATAATAAAAATTTAGTATATCTTACCACATCGAAACCACACACATCACAAAAGAGCACATCACACAATACAAAAACGAAGATTATATGCATGATTGCAAATGGAAGAAAAACTATCGAGACAAGAAAAAAGGACAATACTTGATGGGGTCATGATATTTAGAATCCGGATATTTTTTGTAGAACTTCTTTACATAAACATCCTCAGGTAGAGTGATGGTCTGAATTTTTGCCTCAGCTCGAGGAAACGTTGCAGGTGGCGCTCTGGAAAACAAAGTAAAAAAAAAATTACACAAATTATCACCCTTCAAGGAAAAATAAAATAGAAAGGATCATCATTATGCTTCACGAACATTTTAAAAAAAATCATAGACTGGAAAATTGAACATCACAAGCACCATAATAATCCTTGTTTAATTCAGGAAAAATAAATAAAGAAAATAAATAAATTTTGAAAAGAGAAATGAGCGATAACAAATAATGAGAAAAGATACTATTTTGAAGCAAATGAGGCATGAGTGATGGAAACCCAGATGGGAGATTCCCAAATGGGCAAAGGAAAAACAAAAATAAGAATGCAAAGGCACGAATCGAAGAGATTGAATCTGAATTAGGGTATTAACTGTTCCATGGCTTTGAGCCAAATGGGTTTTGCCTTGGCCAAACCCTTCACGAGCTTCCGGGTTCGAGAAAGCAAATTTCCTTTCATAAACGACATCGTTTAGCTTCTTCTCCTTCGTTGCTACGATGCCACCTCTTGCTGTTGCAGCCTGCAAGAACCAAAAGTTAAATCACAGATGGGTCAAATAACAGTGTCCCACTGACTAGACCGGGTTTTTTTGCGAACCGGGTTCATTGCCCATTTGAAACGGTTTGGTTTAGGCTTTAATTGAGCTACTTTTAAAATAATTTATTTTAAAAACGATTTTTTAAGTAAAAATCAATAAATTATATATTATTTTATATATTTAAAATTAACCTTAAAAACTAAGGTTACTTTAGAAGTTACTTTTATATTGCGTAAAAGTATGCATGCGGAACTTTTGTTCAATATTATTAAATAACAAATAACAAATATATTTTTACTATAATTTTCAATACAAATAGAACTCAGTTAAAAATAATTTTTAATATATTAATTTTAATTTTGAGTTATAAATATAATTTAGTTATTTGTACGTTTATTAAAATGTAATACGTGGTCTTAAATTTAATTTCTAGTAAATATAATTGTATTAAATATTTGAAAAAAATTTATTTCATACAATAATTTTACTTAGCTCGAAAATGATTGCTTTAAGTGAAGAATATTTGAAGTTTAAAAGAAAAAAATAATAACGTGTATAATTACGATGATAATATTATATGTATAAAAAAATAGATTATTAATACTTATTTTTAATAAAATATTATTAAGAATCTAATTGTTAAACTTGTAATTTTATTATGAAAATTAAATATATAAAATTTATGTAATTTAGACATCATGGGTATTATTCAATAGTAGTTATTTATTTAAATTTTAAATAATATATCATTCATTAAAATATAATATGATAATAAAGTATCAATTGGCATTTAAGTTATGAAATTTATAAATTTACTATAATTTATTAGAATTTTAAATTAAATAATTAAATTAATAAAATTCGATTTCAATAAAAAGAAAATTGAAGTTTTATTTTACTTAGTTTAATATTGGTGTTATTTGATTCAAATCCAATCCACATAGCTAGGTCAAAACAATTTTTTGAGATCAATCTCATTATTTGAATATACAAAAAATTAACATTATATACAATATTATATATAAATCCTTATTTATTAAGATTTTTTTAATATGTGTAACGTTGCATGTGAGGAGAAGTTATCTGACAAGATTTGATTAACTTATTGTTATTTTCATGTTCTATTTAAAAGTGTACATCAAGCCAAGGGCAGCATCTACAGCATACATGATAGTAGCGGTTAACTCCTAATCTGGCCAGCTCTGATGTGGTTTATTTGAATCATATGCATATTATATTCCCAACATCAATCATGATCATTTCTTCCTAAATAGAAACTTGCTGCATCATATTTTATTATATTTTTCAAGACACACTTCTATAAGTGTGTGACGAGTTTAGCTTAGAGCAGAATGTGTAAGAAGAGAATGGAAATAAGAGGAGCACAAAGTACATAAACAATAAAAATATTTATCAGCATTCACAATTTTTTAACTACTAACCTATCTTAATTATTCATAACAAGGATAGTTAGACCTCAGACAAGAGCATCCAGAGCTAAACATAACCAGAACTTGTAACTATTTTCTGTGATCCATTAAAATGATGTATCGGCATTTTCTCAGGATTTGTAAATTGAATATCCTCTGTGCTTTTTTGTTCCTTTACATAAACTCCCATCCATTCAATATCTGTTCTATTTTCGGAAAATGAAATCTCAGCATGGTTCCATCCATTCATAGTGCATAAATTTTCAAATTTATCACTGTGACATTGGAGCTGCAGATTGAACAGAATAATATGATTTATCTGGACTGAATCATCTATAGTCATAAATTTGAACTGCTCAAGGAACTTTTGACTGCCATTAACAAACAGGTCAAGTACACAGCAACCACAGCTATCCAAAGCTCCAAAAACACAGAGAGTAATCATTGGGAATTCCCTACGGAACCAGAAAGAAAGGGATGGTCCCCTGCTACAGTGATGGAATAAACTTTGGATAGTTGATGCTGGTACTGGAAAACAGAAACATGTATCCCCAGTCTTGTGCAGTGCCTGTCAATTACAAATAATTTAAAACTGTGAATTAAAAATGGTTACCATGAGAAAATACTTTTTAATTTACTATTTTGTGAAAAGTAAATACACAAATTAGTACCTCAAAGTGACTCTCAGGTTATCTTTGATCCCTGAAAGTTTTGCTTTGTATAATTTGGTCCTTAAATGTGTTAGTTTTGCTCACATTTTACTCTCATTTTGCTTACATTTTCGTGAAGAAAGCATTGAGATGTGAGTATGTAAACACATTCAAGACTAATTGTAACAAAACAAAACTTTCCAGGACCAGATATACTTAGGATATCACTTTCAGGGATCAAATTGTATATTTATGCACTTGGTGAAAGACTGAGAGAAGAAGAAAACAAAGACTTGATACCTTATTCAGCAACATTCCCTTGGACTGGGAAGTCAATGACGTGCAATTTACTGCTGAGAGACGTCTTATATTTGGTGGCAGCCCCCTGATTTCTCTCAGCTCCTTGCATCCATCCAAATAGAGTTCCATCAAAGAGTGACATGCATTGATGCATGATGGAAGGATTGTGATATTGTTATGAATAAGGTATAAACGTGTCACATGGTTCAAGCAAGGAAGAAGGGTAGCAAGAAATTCATCTGTGAGACAGCAATGGCCTAAACTAGCATTTCTTTCAAATGGAAAAGAATTGGCATCTCTCACATTTGAAGACATTGTTTCTTGCTCTTTAGCATTGCCCTTTTTCACATGTGCAAGCCCCTTACAGCTGTTGGCTTGCAAGATCTCAAGTTTTGGAAGTGTAAAAATATTACTTGGTAGTTCAAGTAGCCCATTGCATCCATTCAGAGTCAGCACTGTAAGCCCAACAAGATTTTCAATTGAAAAAGGCAATTCTATTATGGCACTATCATTCAAATAAATGTACCTTATGTTTTCCATCTTCCCTAAAATTTCTGGAAAAATCTTGAGACTTGTACAAATCCTAAGGGACAGGGTTTCTAAAGAAGTTAAGTTGATGCGACGAGGAAGAACTTCGAGACTAGTACAATAATCAAGATTCAACACTTCAAGTTTATCAAGGAATCCAACAGAATCATGAACTTCAACCAAATTCTTGCAATCATCAAGATTCAGTTTCTTTAAATTCGGTGCTCCAGACAGGTCAGGTACTTGTTTTAGTAAATTGCACCCACTTAACTTCATTTCCTTCAGAGACTTAAATTTCTGAAAAAATGCAAACAATAACTATGTAAGTAATTTATCATTTGATAAATGGAGCGCTATTAATATTCAAGACCAAAAAAGTATCAAGATAGTGAGCAATAATACATACCATGATCAATTGTTGGTCAAATGAAAAGAAACTCCTAGACAAGTCAAGTATGACAAATTTCTTTGGATCACAATGATCTGGCAGCAATGGTTCAGGGTATCCACACCATTTTATCACTCTCAAACTTTTTGGGAGATGATTGGGACCTCTGGAAAAGTGAGCATTTTCTACAACCAATATTTTAAGGTTTTCCATCTTCTTTAATGCATTTCCATCCCATTGCACTTCTTTATTTTTTAGCAGATGTAGCATGATGATTTCAATTTTATCGGATCCCTTTAACCCAAAAGCACTGAATTAAGATAAATTTTCAAATTATAAAGCATTTTCTTAGAACTAATAAAATTCTGTTGACATAAAATTGAAATGTAGAAGGTTGTGAGTCGGATCTTCCACTATGCATTTGTCTAAAAATGAAAAATTTAAGAATCCAAGATATAAATAAACCCTGCACATACCTTGTTCTCTTTTAAAACATGAAGAATATCTTTAGAGAACCACAATCTGCTGCGGTCACCTGGCTTTAAAGGTGATTCTTGCCGTACAATTTCCCTACCCATATCTTCAATCAAGTCATGCATTCTCACATGATAGTGAACAATTTTTATGAGACACTTATCAATCAACACCTGGATAACATAGTCTATGGCAGAGCCACGACCACTATGTAGCATGCTTATGACATCATTTATTTTGTATCCTTTAAAGAAGCAAGTTATATCTAGAAAAATTTGCTTCTCAAATTCCTTTAAGCCATCATAGCTTACTCTTAGGATTCCATGAACATTTTGATGAGGAATTCTTTCATATGTATCTAATGCAGAATTCCATTCTGACACTGTTTTACCAAACAAGTCAGAACCTATAATTTCAAGAGACAATGGGAGGCCATTAGAATAAAGTATTACTCTCTTTAAAATGTCCATATAACTAGGATTAAATTCTTTTGTTTTGAATGCACACCAACTAAATAATTCAGTGGCTTCTTTATGACTTAATCCTTCTACTTCGTAGGTTTTTTCAACACCATAAACATGTAGCAAATGCTTATCCCTTGTTGTTATAATAACTCTGCTGCCAGAACCAAACCAATCTAGTCCACCAGCAAGTGCTTCTAGCTGCTCCAATTTGTCAACATCATCAAGAATCAAAAGAATTTTCCTTTGACAGAGCCTACTTTTAATTATTGGAATTCCTTTATTTACATTCCACAACTTAACTTCCTTCTCCCCTCCTAAATCAGAAAGAAGTGTCTCCTGCAGATGTACCAACCCATGCTTCACTGAATTTTCTCTAATATCAGCCAGAAAACAAAAATTCTCAAATTGATCAACAATGACATTGTATACTGCACATGCAAGTGTTGTTTTACCTATTCCTCCCATGCCATAAATCCCTACCATGTGGACTCCATCATCTAATTCAACATCAAGAAGTGAGTTTATTTTCTGCACACGAGCTTCTAACCCAACTGGGTACTTAGCAACATATAAAGGAGTTCGATTAATCTCTTTAGAGACCTCTTGAATGATCTTCTTCATAAACTCATATTCGTACCTGCTCAAGTACAAATTAGTTGTGAAGTCAAAACCAAGTCTAGTTTCACACATTAAATTCTAATTCCATATTAATAAATCACGTCTACAATAATTCTCAATGATAAAACCAAATTTAAAGGTAACGGAGAGTGCATGTTGAGTTACTCACCCATGTTGCAAATGCCAACCAGAGAGATCAGCAACTTCTTGCAAAGCAAGCCTCCACCTTTTCACCTTCTCCTTGTCAATGATTTTCACTTCATGATTAGCCAGTGCTTCTCCATAACACCCTTTTTGATGTCTCACATGGGAGGGATCCACTTGATAAAAAACAGGCCAAACCAGCCCTCCCTTGTGTTTGATGCACTCCATGATCTTCACAAGTTCTTCCAAACAAAATGTAGATGATGCATAGTTTGCTGAAAGAACCACAATGACAATCCTAGAATTGTGGATTGCATTCATTAGAGCTGGTGTGATTTCTTCTCCTTTTCTAATTTCTTGATCATCTATGAAGGTGTTGATTCCTTTTTCAAGTAGAGCATTGTAAAGGTTACCAGTGAAACCGGTGCGAGTATCCTCACCTCGAAAACTGAGGAAAACATCATAAGTCCATTCATAAGTAAAGGAGGAGGATAAAAATGTTGGAATAGTCATGGTTCTCGTAGCTAAGATAAAGATTCGAGTATTGAAAATGAGAGGGATGCAGTAGGGTTTGTAAAGAATGAGCGAGAAATATCAGATATATATAGAAAGATGGAAATATGAAGTGTCATACTGGGAAGGTGAAAGGAAATGAGAGAGGTCTATGAATTTTCCATGCAGTCAAAGTCAACCAAATGAAAACTGGAAAAAGGGTTAAGAAAAGGCAGAGAGTAGGTGAATGGAAAGTAGTTGGGAAGCCAAGAGGAAACAGGAGGGAAGACATGGAAAAAAAAAAAAAACAAAGAAAAAGAAACATAAGTTACGAGAAAAGTTTGGACCATGAAAAATGGCAGACAATGGCACAAACAATGTAAATATGCTTTTGGAACAAATTAATCGCAGAAAATTAACTAAACACTGCAATTCATTATTAGGCTTTTCTCTGTGTGTGTTCATGCATGAAACTATCCACTCACTGCAATCTACTAGCTATTTTTCATTATTATATTAATGAACACTATATATTGGTTTTGATAGGCAAAATAAATTCCAATATGCTGAGTACGTGGGGTACTCAAACCCAACCAGAGTACAGTAGAAGTTCCTCCCTAATTACTATAAAGAAAGAAAAGAAAAGAAACATTATCATACCTCTTAGTAGGGTCATTTATATGCCTTGAAAGCCCCCTTGTACATATGTAAACACCCATGTCATCTAAGTAAGTAGTCACAGTGCAAAGCCAAAATTATAAAAATTTTGAAATAAAATGTAAACACCCTGCAGGAGTTTTATACCTGCATGAGAAAGGATAATTAAATTTGACAACCTAAGCCATGAACCAAGACCATCTTCTCACTTTAATTATCTCAACAATATGTGAAATTTCTAGTTGGCTTGAATTGATAACAAATTTGATTACGGAATGGACCATACTGAAGCATGGAAAATTGACATTCACACTCCTCGATTAATTGTATGATATGTTCATCACAAGTCCTTCATAAAGCTTAAGCAATAACAAACCATTTCAGACATTTCATCCTTAACTATTTACCTGTTCATTTTAAACTTCAAAATAATTATAGTTATTATCTTTTGAAATTATTTCTTACCTCTATTTAATTTTAAATATCTTACATATTTATCATAAATGAGAAAGAATTAATTGTAAAAGTTAAAAAAATTAAAATTAACTTTAATATAAACAAAAATATCAAATATATTTTTTAATACGTGCTATTTACATAAGTGAATACATAGAAAGAAACAGAAGCATGCACGATGTGACAAGAGTGATCATGGTCATTTCAATTCAAATGCAAGCCCTCCAGCACGAGTAGGAGCTTTCTCTTTGCCAACGCATCACAAGCCTATTAATACTAGTTTCTGTGTAAGATCATCCTCATAATCTAAAATGTTTGGTTTTCACGTTTTAAACTTGATTACTATGATGTGATAGGCTGTGCTTGTTCTTTAAACTTTTGAAGCTGCTATGCTGTCTAGAATTTTGTTTTTGCATGAAAACTTGTTTAAGCTAGAAATTTTGAAGGCTCAAGGGAGACAAACTTCGCTAGCATTGCTACTCTATTACCTTCTCATTCTTATAATCAATCTTCTTCTTTATCATAGCATTCAAGTCTAGACATAGGGTAATAGTCCAAAATCCAAGCTTACCATTAAATTACACTAATTTACATTTGGTTTTTCCTCTTGGAGAATTCGAAATGGCCTGTTAAAATTGCCAGTTTGATGAGATTTTTTCTATACTAAAAAATCATCAATCATAGGATACAAGTTGTGTTTCAAGATTTTTTCTAATGATTATCATTTTGAACTTAAATCTTCACATATTTTATTTTATTTTGTATAATGTCTTTTATTTTGTCACTATTAAAAAGTTTAATTTAATTTACTCTTAAAAATTAGTTCATATAAAAAAATTTACAATGCACATCCTTTACATTTAAATTTATCAGGATCCAACATTCAAATTAGATAAGTTTTGATATATTGTTAAAAGAAATTGATTTAATTTGCTCTCAAAAGTTAGTTTATAAAAAGATGTTTGTACAAATTTCTTAAGTATTTTAATCGTATTTCTAATTATGCAAAACATCTTAACATGCATTGAAAATTATAGTAGTTTTGCGTATGAAAGTTAATGACACATTTCAACTCAAAATCTTTTTTATAATGATATTAAGATAAATTTCTCAACAAGCATTTATAAGAAAATAAATACATCAAACTCCTCTAATAAGTTAAAATTAATTTATGCACTAATATTTTGTAAAAGTTTTGTCATCTAATTTCTTTAAAAGTTAAAGTACATTGTTTGATTTTAATTTATGAAAGAACTTTAGTTCAAATTTTTTTATTTTTTTAAAATATTTATTGAAAAATTTAACCAAATTAGACTTAAGTGTTATACAATACTCTAAAACTCTTTCATTTAACAATATACTAAGAACATTGGATGATTTAAAAAACCTTGTTGGAAAGACTAAAATTAAGTAAAAATATTATATAGTATCATTATTGTCCTTGCATCCTTGCACAACTCAAACAATCTCTTGTTTTGGTTGACAAAGAATTTTTATATCCAATTTTAGAAACATATGTTGAAAAAAAATTTAAATATTAAGTATTTAACCCCACTAAACACATTCATCAATTAATAAAAGTTGTTCTGGTTTAATTTATGTAACCTATTATAATTTTATCCAGTTCAAATATGATTGTATCTAATAGAAAATAATAAGAATTTAACCCTTTAAATTATTATTTTAGTTTCACTTCCATAGTCTTATATTTAGTTTGTAGTCTAAAAATAATGAATTTAATTCATCAAAATCCCAACGTCATCTTACCTGAATTTATCATCAACTTTTCATTATTGTTTTGTACCATATTTTAAACTTCTGTCTAGTCCCTTCATGCTTCTCATTATATTCTATATTCAGTAGTTTCATTCCTCACTGTGCATGTTTAATGGTGGGCTAATAATCCACATTTGATTTTAGTAAACATATGCCCTATTTAGAGGTTAATTTTAATAAAGAGAAATTTATCTTTTTAGAAACATTTTTTTTTTGTAAAACGTTCAGCATTGTTAAAATATAGAAAAATAATTTAAAAAAATTATGTTAAGTTAGGGTGTCATTTACTTAATTTAATTTTAAGTGATAAAAAATATAATTAACCTAATATTTTAAGAAAAGAAAGTATTTTTTTTTTCTTTTTTTACCTTAATAATGATAATCCTTGTAGTTTCATATAAATGGTCTATTTGGATGATGGATGAAATAAGAGAAAAAAAAAATAAAAAATGGGATGAAAAAATATGTTATTTTGAATGTGTTAAATATGAGAGAATTAAAAATAATGACATTTTTACTTGTTTATGTGAATAAACAAGAAAGAAAAATAAAATAATTAAATTACATTAAAAATAATTAATAAGAAATTTACAATTTTAAACTAATATAAATAGTATCAATAATAAAATAAACAAATCTATTCCCTTTTCACTTCTATGTAAACTAGAAAAAAAGTTATTTTTATAAATGTAGATTTTAAAAAAAATCCCTATTTTCACTCTCTCTCAACATTCAAACTTTTTTCTCATTACTTTCTAACTTCTCTCTCCCTAATACCCCAATTCATGTTGCCAACTATTAAAGGTAGGATTATTCTCTTTAGGAAAAACATGGTGCAGTAGGTTTTAACAATCTTTTAAAAATTTGTTGTTTAATAGTGAAAAAAACAAGTAATTGGTATGGTCCTCGTTGCTCCAAGCACACTTACACACTAATTTCCTTTCTCTGAGTCCTAACCGCTTTTATGACAGAGGACATTACTATGGACTTTTTTTTTTATTCTTTAATTGTATCATTTACAGTTGTCTCTGATTTATGGTAATATTATAAGAATTTGATTTTGTTCCATGTTTAATGTCATTTTTTAATTTTATAATAAATATGATTATTAAATTAATTACTGTACAAATTTAATAATTTTTACTTAAATAGTATTATAAAATGCTATACTGCTAATATATTTTTATTATAATAAGATTTTTCTAAAATAATAGTATTATTACGTTTGATCTCTTCTTTATGTCAATATTGTTCATATTTAATTATTGTCATAATTTTTATGTTCTTTTTATCTTTTAAATATTTTATTTTATTTTTTTATAAATTTTAAAAACTTTTTGTTGTAAAACATTTTTAAAATTACTTTTCTTATTTATCCATTATTTTCTTAAAATTAATTTATAAATTTATGAATTATTTAAGAATTTTTAAATAAATCTTTATACTTTATAAGTTTGTAATTAATTTTTAAATTATTTTTAGTTTAGTACTTAACTCTATATATATATATATATAACTAAAAATCTTTTATATATATATATATATATATATAAGATTTTTAGTTATATATATATATAGTAAAATATAAGAGTTTTTTAAATTTATATAGGTGTAAGAAAATCCTTTCATATATATATATATATATATATATATTTCACTAAAGTTATGTAAATACATGGATTTAAATAAAATTTTGAAACAGTTAAAGACCTACTGAATGACTAAAGCAGTGATTCAAATCCTTAATGTTTTTTTAAACTTTTAAATTGATTCATTGTATTTAATAGAATCTCAATGGAAGGATATAATTAAAAAAAAAATCAAAGTTAAAAGATTTCTTTACAAAGTGAAAACGGCATCGTTTAATTTTGAAGAAATTAAAAGAAAATTTATGAAAAGAGAAATGTGAATGACGGAGTCTGATTCGTACCCTGCGTCCATTACCTGAGACTGTGAAAACCTGTCGCTGCCGTTAGAGTGCAAACCTCATCGCCATTGCCATGTTCACGCCCCAGAGGAAGGCGTGGCCCCACGCGCCGGCGTTTACGCCCAACCGAGGCGGTGTCGCTGCGAGTTCCATCTCTGCCAAGGGCAAGGCCATCGCCGACGATCCTCTGCCGCCGCCTTTGGGCTCTCTGAGCGAAACCGCCGTGACGGTGGGGTTCGACGCGGGTAACGTTGAGGACTGGAAGAGGTTCAAGGAGGTTGGGTTGCTGGATGAGGGTGTGATGCAGAAGAAGGACCAGGAAGCGCTCGTCGAGAAGGTCACGAGGCTCGAAAGAGAGGTTAGTTAGATGAAGATTTTGCAATTCGCGTTTCTAGTGTTCATTTGATTGATTCGATGTGTTTATGCCAAGTTTATGGCTACTCTTTTTTGCTTTTAATGGTAAATTTGGTTGTTTTTCACGGTTTTTTGCAAATTAGGTTATGGATTAATAGGATGCTGGCAATTGGCGCATGGTGTTTATAATTGATTATTTTGAATGTGTAGTTGAAGTTGCTCACTAATCTTTTGGATGTTGATATTGATGCTGCTATGATTTAGAGACAAGAACTCTTATGATTGATTCTAGTGGCAGGCACTTGTAAAAGATTCTGTTTCTAAAAACTAAAAACAAAAAAAATATATTTTCAAAACCTAAAACAGTTCTTTAAGAATGAAGCGGTGAGGTAATGGAGTGAAGAAGTTGAGAAAGCAGTTTTTTTCAAATTGTTTAGCCGAGCATTTTTTTCTTTAAAAAAAACTGTTTTCTAAAATTCTTTTACAAAACAGATTTTGAAAACAAAAAAGCTGAGACAACCACACAAGGCCCATGCATCTATGTTTCAAATTGGCTGGCAGCAAAACACACACACACACAAAACAGTGTAAGTATTGGTGTTCCATGATAACCGGGCCTTTCAAATCCTTGGGTAAAGTTATTGCAATTATTAGTAAAAACATATCACAGTGAAAATGAAGCCCAAAAATAAAGCAAAATCACCTAAAATTGCTCTAGAAAAAAAATAAATTTGAAGATCAAAGCTGGTGTCAAATGATAAATTTAAGGTTGAGAAGCATATTTTTTCTGCATTAAGAATGAGGTGATTCATTTGTTGGTATGACAGGTTTACATTGGTTCTGTGATTCTATCTAACTCTTAATTTCAATGAATTTCACCTAAACATGGTGATTCAAACTCATTAAAAGCCACTTGCTATGATTTTGTAATGACATTGCAATGAGAGCTAAACAAGTATTGCTTGTGTGGACTAAATATAAATAAGTAAAAAAAAAAACATACAAGAACATATCTAAGTGGCTAACTAAGCGAACTCTTTGCTTACTCCTTTGCATTATAATTTATGTAATGATTTTATGGTTGCATGATTTCCCAATATTGTGTTCCTTAAATGTTATTCTAATAGCTAGTTCTTGTGAAAACCATTTATTATCTCTGTAATGATTGACCCTTGTTGAACTATTTGGTTCCTTCCATTTTTTTTATAGCTTTTTGACTACCAGTACAACATGGGCCTCCTGTTGATTGAGAAGAAAGAATGGTGTTCCAAGTTTGATCAGCTGAGGCAAGAACTAGATGAAACTGAGGAGATTCTGAAACGAGAACAGTCAGCACATTTAATTGCATTATCTGAAGTTGAGAAGCGAGAGGAAAATTTGAGGAAAGCATTGAACACAGAGAGGCAGTGTGGGGCTGATGTATGTTCTTGTTTCTATCTTCAAGTATATGGTTGTGTTAAATTTTTCTGTACTTGCTTACATTTCTCCTTTGTTCTGTTGATGTGTCTTCTTTTTTTTTTTACTTCAGTTAGTGTTGTTAGAGCTGATCATATAGGGCTGAGGTTGGGCTTTAACTATTTCCTCTTGCTCACTTTTCCCTTTTCTTTGAACTTCATTATGCTGTATAGTGTATACATACATGATTAATAGACTTGTAGCAGTGTTATACTTGTGATCTTTTAAAAATTAATTGCTGACCTGATCCATTGATTCCATTCTGTCTCTATAATCATCTTGAAATGCACAGCAGTGAGTGTGTGGGCCGAGGGGGTTGGGGGGGGGGAGTGTTTTCTACTTAATTGTTTAGATTTGATGAGACATGTGAAACATATTATGCTACTTAATTACCAACCATCTTATTAAATTTTTGTATGTTAGGCATAATATTCAGTAGAATCAGGACTATGTACTTGCCAAATATAATTTAGATCTGATAGACACTTTGGTTTACTGTTGTCTTGTACAAAAGTATAGAGCCCTTTTGAGTCTGAGTGATTATATCATGTTTATATTACCTTAAAAGAGAAATTTATCATCATTCCAAGGGTTATTGTCAGTCCATGAATATATATAATCTTGATTCAAGATCACACACACTTGATAAAACTATTCTGGTGGTCATTGTATATGATGGCGGTTTGGATATTGTGCCAACGGTTATATTTTCTGCGTCATTGAAATTTTTACTGTATATCAATTGTGGAATGGTACATGTAGAGCTGTTTCTACTTTCTACAGAAAATATATATATCTGGACATCTATTATTGGCAATGTATTGTTGATTGTTTGTCAGAAATTTAAAACTTGTACACTGAGGACAGCATAAAGGAATTTTAGATATAGGAAATCTTGTCATTCTTTGTTTTGGAGTCGGCTTTTAATATTTAATAGTATCATAAATGATAATAAATCTGATTATTTTTATCATTCAAACAAATTTTCAATTAAAGAAATATTAATACAATAAAAAGTAAAAACAATATCAAAACCATGAAAAGAACGAATTTAGCTACTCGTAAAACAGTGTGACTTCATGAGTATAATGTTGCTACTAGTATGATCATCATGTGTATATGCTGTATAATAAGGTTATTGACAGAATGATAGTTTATGACACTGCTACAAGTATAGGAAATGTTATAAAAAATAGCTGGATCAACAACATGAGTGATTTTATCATAAATGAAGTTTTAACACAGCTACAAGTATAGGTATTTTTATCATTCTTTGTTTTGGAGTAAGCTGTTAATATAAAAAACATGAGAAGAATCAATTCAGCTACTTATAAAATAGTTATACTCCTTTGTCCTAGGCTTGTCCAATCTTAGCATCATCTTCACCTTTGCTATCTTAGTTGAGGTTGAATAAAAGTCCAAGAATGTTTGGGCCTGTTTGGTTTGTGGAATTTTTCTGTTTTCGTTTCCTTTTCCTTTTTTACTAATAATTATGAAAATGCCACATTGTTTTCACTAGGTTTCCTGTTTTCAAATATTTTTATGGGAAATGGTGAAAACAACAAAAACAAGGTTATATATTTTGCAATTTTTAGTGAATACAAAAATAATTTTCTGAAACCAAGTGGGCCTTAAGTTTGTCTTCTTTCTCTTTCCTTATACTCTTCATGTTGTTCAATTCAATTTTATGACAAAATTTGTAGGATATTTTTCAGTGCTCTCATGTTAGGGTTGTTGCCTTAGATTGTCTGTTTAGATGTTCTTTCATGTTATGCTGATGTTGCGGAAATGGATCAATTGTGCAGCTTGAGAGAGCTTTGCGTGCAATGCAGGAAGAGCATGCCCAAGTCAAGTCTTCCTCCCATACAAAGCTAGCTGAAGCAAATGCAATGGTTGACGGAATCGAAGAGAAGTCTTCAGTGGTTAACAAAAAACTGCTTGATGCGGAAGCTAAGCTGGCTGAGGTAAACAGAAAAAGTGGAGAGCTGGATATGAAATTGCGAGAGGTGGAGATTCGTGAAAGAATGCTTGAAAAGGAGCGTTTGACTTTAGCTACTGAGTATGAACAATGCTCTGCATTTTATGGATGTTTCTAGTCATTGTATTATGTTAGCTCTTATGCTATGTGAGTCAATTCATTAAATTGTATTATCCCATTACAGTCGAGAATCATTTGAGGCAACATTCTACAAACAAAGGGAAGATTTGAAGGAGTGGGACAGGAAGCTACAGCAAAGGGAAGAAATGCTACGTGATGGTAGGCAAAATCTTGATGAGAGAGAAGAAAAGGCTGTTGAATCTGAGAAGTACCTGAAGCAGAAAGAGAGAGACCTAGAAGTACTGGAGAAGAAAATTATTTCATCTAATTCTTTATTGAAAGAAAAGGAAGCTGAGATAAGAAGTAAAGTAGCTGATTTAGATGTGGAACAGAAGGTGTGTTTTGTGATTTTAAATTATGTCTAGAACTCTTGATTTTTGTGTTCTCTTTATGTATGCAAACATCTAGTTGATTTAATGGACCCTTTCCGTTATTTATGTGTTGTGATTATGGTTACAGAAAGTGGATTCCTTTAAGAGCATGCTGGAGATGAAAGAGAAAGATGTACTTGCACTTGAAGTAAAGCTTAGTGCTAGAGAAAGGGTGAGACCTAGTGACTTTACAATACAGCAAAATGTTGTGCAAATTTTTTTGACTGAATTACTGTATTGATACATCAATTTATAATTGCTAAGCTATTTTGACCAGAAATGAAATAAAAAGTGATATTGAGATACACATCTTCTTGAAATATTAAGATATAAAATATTTTAAACATGATGCACCAGCTTTTGGTCTCATTGAGCTGCGAGAGTGATCTTGTGATTTAAAGAGTGATGACATGATCTTTGAAATTTTCTTAATAAGAACATAGGGTAAACTCCATTATGAAGGAATGAATGCTTCTAGGACCAAGGCTTCTTTTAGTGTCTGCATCATACACTGGCCCAAGCAGACATTAATCCCGAAGTTAAAACTTCGGTTGTAATATTAGAAGTGCTGATTGCTTTGATTCTATCATCTTGACATTTTCCTTTTATTTATGTATTTAATAATAAAAATTAATGAATTCCAATAACTTGAATAACTACCTGTTTACATGCTTGCCAGCTTATTTTTAGTTCTTTTAATGTTTTTTACAGGATAAGGAAAGGTTAGAATAACTTCCCCACTGAGTAGATTTTACTACTTTTAAGAACAAAGTTTGCTTGATAGGGAGAGATCAGACACTGAGGTTTTGGCAGTTTACATTAGCATATGATAGTTTAAAGGATCGTTTGCTTAAGTTTTAACTGAATACTTTTTATGATCAATTATCAATATGATATTTTATTTTTTTAAAGTTTACTTTGTGAATGACTACTTTACACTAGTGGCAGTAGGGAAAGATATTGAAAACGGAAAATTGCTATATAAGCCCTTAGTCCTGTGACTTAAAAATATAATATCCTTTGTTAGGAAAGTGTGCATAACTTGTATGACTTGAGTAACTTGCATGATTTTATTGCATTCTGACTGTTGAACCTATGGTTCTTATAGGAGGGGATCCAAAAGCTCATGGGTGAACAAAAGGCTACGCTAGATTTGAAGTTGAAGCAGTTTGAGCTTGAGATGGAACAGAAGCGGAAATCCCTTATGGAGGAGTTTAGCAGCAAGGAGGAAGCCTTGGAGCAGAGGGAAGTTGAAGTTAACCATAGGGAACAGAAGGTTGGAAAAGAAGAGCAGGCCTTGAGTAAGAAGGCTGAGAGAATAAAAGAGCAAAATAAGGAGCTTGAAGCTAAGTTGAAATCTATAAAGGAGAATGAAAAGACGATCAAAATCAGAGAGAAAGAATTAGAGAAGGAAAAACAACAATTGCTCGCTGATCGAGAGAGCTTGGAGAATTTAAATGCTGAACTTGGTAAGATAAAATCTGAGATTTCTCAGCAGCAGCTGCAAATATGCCAAGAGACTGAGAATTTGAAGCTTACTGAAGATGAGAGGTCAGAGCATTCTCGTTTGCAGTTGGAGCTAAAACAAGAGATAGAGCATACCAGATTGCAGAAGGACTTTCTTTTGAAAGAATCTGAAAACTTGAGGGAAGAAAGACAGAGGTTTGAGAAAGAGTGGGAAGTATTGGATGAGAAAAGAGCAGAAATTAATAGAAAGCAGCGTGATATTGATGTGGAGAAAGAAAATTTAATAAAACTTCAAAACAGTGAAGAAGAAAGGCTGAAAAGAGAGAAACAACAAATGCAAAATCATATAAAGAAAGAGTTGGAGAAGCTTGAATTGGAGAAGGAATCATTTAGAGATTCAATGAAGCAAGAGAAACTTATCTTGTCTGAAATGGTGAAAAATGAAAAGGCAAAAATGCTTCAAGATTTTGAATCAAAGACAGGAAATCTTGAGAATGAAATCCAGAAAAGACAGGAAGAAATGGAGAAAGACTTCCAGGAACAGGAGAGTAAATTTCAGGAGGAGATGCGAAGAGAGCTTGATAATATTAATGTCTTGAAGGATGTTACAGAGAAGGAATGGGAAGAAGTGAAGTCTGAGAGGAATAGGTTAGAAAACGAGAGGAAAGAACTGGAATCAAACAAGCAGCAGCTGCAGTCAAGCCAACGTGAGATGCATGGAGATTCTGAAATGCTTATGAATCTCAGCCGAAAGGTTAAGAGGGAGCGTGAACGCCTTGTGGCTGAAAGAAGCCTCTTTCTTGAACTTATTGAGAAGCTAAGGAGTTGCACAAGCTGTGGCGATGTTGTTAGAGACTTTGTTGTATCTGATATTCAATTACTTGATTATAAGGAAAGAGGATTTATTCCCTCATCTAACTTCCCTCTTCTGAATGACAAGCCTCTTAAGAACTCCAATGACAATGTAGGAGCTTCCGAATTTAACAATTCTGGATCTAGAAAGTCCATGTCTTGGCTCCGTAAATGCACATCCAAGATTTTCAATCTGTCTCCAAGTAAAAGAACTGATGCTATTAATGCTTCAGAAATGGCTGAGATGTCACCGTTGTTAGATGTGAATGTGACTGTAGAAAAAGTAGATGGACCTGCATCTCTTCCTAGTATAGAAGGAGCTAGAGTTATTCTTGAAGAACAACAACCAGCTGGTGAGATAGCACATCACTCTTCACATACACCACTCCTCTCCTCTGACAACATTGCTAAAGACATGAACGATGAATACTCTGTATCCATAGGGGATCACAGCCATGTAGATAGTTTCGTGGATGGAGGACTAGATGATTCTCAGCAGTCAGTTCCAAGGCAAGGTCGTCGTAGACCTGGTAGAAAAAGCAAATCTGGAATTGCTAGAACACGCTCAGTGAAGGCTGTTGTTGAAGAGGCCAAGGAGTTCCTTGGAGAAGCCCCAGAGGAAATAAAAAATGTGAGGTTACAGTCTCTCAATACTGATTGTATCAAAGAAGACAGTCAAGAAGACTCCATTCATAACGAGAAAGCCGTTGGCAATGCTAGAAGGAAGCGGCAACGTGCACAAACTTCTAGAGTTACAGAAAGTGAGCAGAATGCTGGTGATAGTGAAGGACACTCAGATAGTATTACAGCTGGTGGGCGCAGGAAGAAGAGGCAAATGGCTGCCCCACCTGCACAAGTTATTGGGGAGAAACGATACAATCTTAGACGGCATAAGACGTAAGTTTAGATAACATTTTACATTATATCTTATGCTGCTTTTGGTTTACATATCGGGGATAATTCTCTTGGATGTGAAGTGTGAGCTGATATATTTTGGTATTGATGTTTAGATTTATATTAATTCTAAGGGAATGATATGTTTGAAATTGAAATAAATTCATTCGTTCTTGTCAATTTCCACACTAAAAGACTCATCCTTCATTTTTTCCTCCTCACCTTTCCCCCACTAAGAAAGGAATAAAGAAAAATTGTTTAATGTATGGACAGAAACATACTAAATTTCATATGCTAAAATAAATTGTTGTTATGGCAGTTTCTGCTCTGGAGTATGTTTATTAAAATAAATTCTCTTTTACTAATTGTCAAAGGTTAGGGAGACTTAGATTCATTGATATGTTGATCATTCAGAATGTTTTATTGAAATGGAAAAGATCTTAATTGAAGCCACACTATCTTGGTTAGCTAATTTGTTTAGCAATTTTGGGGTCAGCAGCACAAATTTTACTTGACTGAAGGTGCTATGAATTTTTTTCCCCTTACGGGTCAGCTACTGGAGGACTGCATGGATGTACAGCTGTAGTATGGTAGATAATTTCCCAATAATAAATTGTATTTTACTGTGTATGAAAGTAGGAAATTGAATTTCTCAATTGAGATACTCTGCTACTGTTTAATGCCATTTGAATTTATGTGGGAGGATATTAAGGGTGTTATTGCAAATGTCTTGCATGTGGCTCGTAATAGTATATTCAGAACCAAACACCATGATGGTTCATGTTTGTTGGCATTGGGTGTAGTGGTAAGAATTTTCTTGATTGTTCTGATATCACTGCTTTCCTTTAGCAGTGCAGGCAAAGATTCATCTACACAGAACTTATCAAAAGGAGCAAACAATGTGGAGAAAGAAGTAGGTGGTGGTAGACTGGAGAGGGATAAAAGCCCTGAAGAAATTGTTGAAACTTCATTACTAGTAGCTGAGGACAATGTACAAAACACTTGCCTGGTGCAGGTTCCAACAGTGAAGACTGTGGAGTTCTCAGATGATAGAACTGTTAGGGTAAAACAGCCTCTTGTTTTGGTCATTGATTTATTTGAATTTTTAGATGTTTTATTCTGTTATTTACACATTTTTTTATTTTACAGTTTGAAGTACCTAGAGACATTGTTGATGACAATGGTGCTGCAATAAACTCTCTGGATCGTGTGGAAGAAAATGGTACACCAGAGTATGGAGATGAAGATGGAAGCACAAGCCATGAAGTTGAAAATGATAATGAGGAGGAGGAAGAGGAGGGGGAGGTGTCCATTGGAAAGAAGATCTTCAGATTTTTCACAACATGATGGAAGTAGTTATATCTATCATGGATATCAAAGTAGATATACAATGTCCTTATTCCTTATTCAAGAGATTAGGCATGTAATATTACTTTGGGTTAGCTTCCATGTTTGTTGTGGCATTATTACTAGCAGTAGCGGATGAGAAGCATTGTGCTGCTGCTTTTGTTCTCAATAACTGTTCTATTAAGCTGCTTAAGAAAGGTGGATTTGTTTTCTAAATATTAACTAGAGGAGAACATTCTTACGTTTTCAATTTTAGTATTAACGTTTGCATTGTTATCAGTATAAATAAGCAATTGTTATGATGTTTCAGAACATTATTTGGAGCATGTGCAGTGACTCAACTGAAGTTTATATCTGAAAAACCTAATACAAATTTTATCTTACAGTTTTCCCATGGTTCTCCAGGAATATTTCATCTTAATTATTGATGCTGAATGGTCTGTGCTACTAAGCAGTCATTACCTTCCTTTGTTATTATTCGGATTTTGCATACATATTAGAGCCAAAACAAATTATGGGGGCCTGTTGAAGCTAGAATCTGTTATATTTATTTTATCAAAATATCACTAGTTTTCTGTAGCCCATGTTGGTATTTGTCTTGATATGCACTTCATTGTTGAGGAAGTAAGTCATTTTGTTCTTGTTCTTCCTTCTTCACTGTCTGTCCCTTTTCTTGTAATTCATTGAATATTATCTCTATGAGAAGTGAATTGTCTATGAGATTCATCAGTCATATCATGCACTCTAGAGTAGCATCTTCTGTTTTGTGTTTGTTTTATCAAATTTTATTTCATTGATTTTGAGTTTTTCTAGTGCCGGATAATCCTATTTTGACTAAATAACCTGATGAGGAGTTATCATGCACTACTACTCATCATCTCTCTAAGTGCAAGGTGTTATGGACGAGTAGAACTTGACATAGCTGCAATGAAGAAAGCATAGAGGAATGCTTTATGCTCCACCATTCAAGGCTTGGCTGGTGCTTGGTGGAATGACTCTGATCTCTATCAAGATCCTTGTAGTTGGACTCCTATTCAGGTACCTTTGAACCATCTAAATGACTATACATCAAACTGAAAACATTTCCAAGCAACTACCTTTATACTGTGCCATGGAAAAGGGTGGGATATTTTGAATTATTTCTGGTTAAAGTTATGAGATCATTGTTACATGAGGTCATTTCGAACTATTATCATTTTTTAATTCCTCAAAGGTATTTGGGTAATCATTTTGTCCACAAATGAGACTTGGAATTTTTAGAAATGAATTGAGATGAACTTCAATTTCTATGCATTCTACTACCTGCCTGATGAAAAGAAAACCTCTTGGCTTAATTGTGTCAATCCTACACTTAATTCAGAAACCATTTTCTAATTTTCCTCTTTAGTTTCTTCTAGATAATGGTAGCTTTCAAAATATGAAAATATTTTGTTTCTTGCTATTTCTCTCCTTTTTCTAACTTCTACTGGTCCTAGTAAAATATTACATGCTGTAAATAGCCACTAAATTTATTTTCCTCTTAAGCCATGTAATCAGAACTCTTTCCAATTCAACCAAATAGTTAGAAATTTTCCAGAACATTATGATCTTAAAATATTGGTTAACTATAATTAGTATTGTTTTCTGCTGCAGGGGTCTCGTTATCTGTCTAATGGATTTTGGTTTTTAACTGTCTTGACTTGTGCTAAAATTTTGGAATTTAGACCACAGTTGTTTGAGCTCAAGCACCTTCAAATGCTTTGAATCAAAGCACATGCATCAGGTAACCATCACCAATGCAAGCTGGGATAAGCCGGATGGCAGCTTGGAATCACTTGAATTTAGATCAAACACAGGTCTCATTGGAAAAGTTCCTTCTTGTTTTGGTGTCCTCAAGATTCTTCAGTCACTAGTATTATCAAAAAATGGTTTAACAGGTGAAACTCCACCAGATATTGGCAACATCATGTTAGTAACATATTGCAAGGTATTAGACTTGAGTCTCACTTCGAAAATATGGAATCTTAGTGTGGGGTTTATAAGATTTGGGGCTCTCCAACTACAACATATATCTTTTATGATGTGGTTCTCTCAAGGTTCTTCATAATTGGTATCAAAGCCTTCTACCATATCTCCTAGTTGCAAACAAGCAGTAAGGGCAGTGATGCCAACATTGCAGTGTTCACCTGGGACTAGTCAAAAGAGCGAGTGCACAACTTAGCCTGTGTCAGTGTTGAGACTGTGAAACATGGTGGGATGTTAGGATCTAATTGCACGGTGTGAGACTTGAGTCCCACATTGGTAGAAGTATAAGATTTTAATGTGGGGTTTATAAGGTTTTGAACTCTCCAACTCTAATTGCTAGCTTTTGTGGTGTAATTCTCTTAAGGTTCTTATCACATCAACAAGTTGAAGGGGCTTGTTCTAGCTGGAAACTATTTTACTGGACACTGATATGAGATATTTTAAGTGCATTATGTGGGTTACTAATACTAGATTTAGATAGAAATTCGCGACCTGGGACTTCACCTTTGACACTTGGAAGCTTAACTTCCTTTTTGAAGCTTAATGTGAGCCATAACCATTTGGGGATTCTGCTGAAAGAATTTGCTTATCTTAAGAATCTGACCCTTATGGACCTTAGAAATAACAGATTCTCTGGTGGGTTGACCTTTAGTCTTCTAGAGATGTATACTTCGGAAGAAATGGTTGTCCAGCGATGCAATATGTGGAAATATCAGGATCCTAAAGGAGGAAAGCCTTCAAAACTTGGTCATTTTGGATCTCTAACATGGGATTGAAAGGGGAATTCCCGAGTCTATATCAGAATTTAAGAGATCGAGATTTCTAGGTTTTGGTGACAATTACCTTATAGGCAACCTTTCACCAAAACTATCAACCGATCTTAGCCACAATGCACATTATGTTAGTGGCAACAATCTGCAGGAGAGCTTACATTCTCATGGAGTTCAATAGAAAAATGTGAAGGCGTTTTGGGACCGGGAACAACCCCAGCCTTTGCTACCCAGATGAAGTAATATCAACAAGTCATGTTCCATAAGGAGGCGAGATCCAACGAGAGATCAAATTTGTAGAATCTAATACAAAAAATGGGAATATGAATGAACTAGGCTTTTATTTCATAGCCTCTTTGGGATTTATTACCCATGCTCCTAATGTAGGTCTTCAGTCTAGAAGAATGCAATTTGGGCTATGACTTTTTAGGGATATTACAGCAACCTATATTGTTTTTTTAAAAAATCTAATGTAAGCTAGAGTTTCTTCAATTTAATAATTGGCCTGAAGTAATCATCTTAACATACTTCAGCTCTTTTAATTTATCTATTTAATGTTTGTACATAATTAGTTCGCATTTATCACTACCCAGTTTCTCGTTTAAGGGAGAGGGTAGCTGGGTTTTATATTTTTTTTGTGGTTATAGTTGCATTGAGCGTAGGTCGTATGTTTCATTCTCATTCTCAATTAGTCACAGGTGCCTGAATAATGGCTTTGCGATGTTCAAACAAGAAAAACAGTAATGCCATGTCACGTATTCACAGCTGTCTACAATTGTACTGTTACACAACAGTGAATTTTGGCAGTGTTATTTTAAGCATTGAACTTACCGTTGTTCTCCACTATTTCTTGACCAAGAACGATCCACGTTAAAGTGTTGGTAATTCTTCTCATTATTAACATGTTTTCTGTTGTTTTTTTTCCCTCTATACAGATAAGAAATTACTGTCTTGTTAAAAAACTTTGAGCATTAACTTGGTTATAATCTTTTGGACATTTTCTAAGTAGTTTAATCAAGTATACTTATTTGTTAATTAAGGTTAGTTGATATCTTTCTTTTTATTCTTGTATTAACTTAAACCACATAATTTTAACTGGAAGTAATATCGATTAATATATGAACTATATCAAATAATTATCTTGTCAACAAAATCCATGCGAAGTAAAAGATGTTTAAAGTATAAAGGAAAATTACACTTTACAATGATCCACGATAAAGAGAGGTTATTTAAAAATAAAAAAAAAATAACAATATGCAGTATTGTTCAAAAAGTCATACGAATACTAAAATTATTTTCATTCCTTACTGACTTTCATAATTGTGTCGGATACGGACAATGGAATAGAAAAAATGGTCATTGTGTGTGAACTTTTTTATTTATTATTTTTAAAATTAAATATTAGAAATGATTTGTAAGTCACTGTTAGAATTTAATTTGCAAAAGAGAATTTGATAAGTTTTAAAGTCTATTTTTTTAAAATAATTTATAGATTACTTCAAGAATTAAATGTTCGAAAAATTATTTATGAATTTCAAAATTAAGCTTTTGGACAGAAGAGAGGGGGCGTAAAATGAAATTCCTTAATTTAATTAGCAAATACTGGTCCCACTAGCAAATAATCCTGGAAGTTTAGTTATCCTTAACCTTCAATAACTAGTTTTCTTTCTTTTTTTGATCGACCAATAACTAGTTCTTTAAACGAGGGAGATTCCACAAGATATGGGCAAACTCACTAAGCTGAAAAGGAGCTTGGTTCTTGCCGGAAAATATTTTAAAGGGGAGATTCTAGATTTGTAGAAAATTTGTAATTTCTATAAAATCATTTATTCAAGAATTTCCGTGAAATTGACACAGAAAATGTAAATTAATTAAAATAAAGAGAACATTTCTAGATCAAATACATGCAAAAAAAAAAAAAAAACTAAATCATTTTTTTAAAATAACATCTAACAATTGGAGATAAATCTGTTAGGATTTTGAAAGTAAGTTAAAAGGATCAAACTCGTAAACTAAGGTTAGAGGACTAGAATACTAATTTTGTCAAAATTAAGTTGGACCATTTGTGGCCTCTAAAGGCTTCACTTTTTAAAAATCCTGATGGTTCCATGCAATTTTTATGGTGAGAGATTGGCTTATTCAGGCTCTTATTCCTATAGAATTTTGTCTTGTCATAACTTATTTCGATTTCGGGAAAAGTCATTGACAGGTGATATATGATTGTAACTAAAGTTGATGGTCTTCCTTTACTTAATCTAAACATCTCCTTCGTTGAAAAAAAATTTATACATAAAATTAATAAAGGTTTGCATAATTCATGTAGAATTGCACCAGTTCTTCATACTCCATTTGATCACTTATAAATACCGTTTTTGACAATATAGTATTTTTTTTAAAACACCAAAACCACTCAGTGTCATAATAGTAACTTTCTATGACAATTTTTTGTTCCCTTTTTCAAGTCACGCATCCTATAGGTACGTAGAGAGTTTAAAATGAGTGTGAAAAGAACGTTTAATTCTAATATCCTCATTTCTTTTGTAAGAAGTAAAATAAAATTATTTTTTTTAAAGTTTTTAAATATTATAAACGGTTGATCAAAATCGAATGGTTAAAAATAAAAGATAAAAGACTGGTGATACAAATTATATTTAGAAATGATATATTAATAATTTTGGTGCCTTTTCATTCGGTTCCTCTTTTTTTTCTTCTCCCTTTTCTTCTTCAGCATTAATAACATAGCTCAGACTCAGGAAAAATATGAAAAAATACTAAAAAAAAATTAGAAACATAAATTAATATTTTGTAGGTACGTCAACAAGTTTTTATCTTTATTCATGTTCTGTAATAAAAGGACACATATGTTAAAATATGGTAAACATGAATTTATCAAGAATTATTATTGAATATGTTTATATTCTCTTCCTATCCTTGAAATACTATACAATTTGCTTAAAAAAATCAAGATTTTGTCCAAAATCTATATAAAAAACTACAACAAACTCATAGTCTTTCACATAGTCACAGCTCATAGCAGACTTGAGATTCTCAACTTTATATCCTGCACTAACAGATAAATTATGTTAATTTTTTTTTGACTTCATTTTGTGACCTGATTAACCATTGTCTTCTCTTTATGACATATGATAAAGTATACAATAATACCATCTCTTCTCATGCCTTCAGATGTGCTCCTTTACGTTGCTCCTTTCTACATCAGTTCTCTAAAAAAACTGATGTAGAAAATTGTTTGGTTTATGTCTCTACTTTTTACATCAGTTATATGAGAAAATCCATGTAGAAGTTACGTTTTTTTTTAATATACTTTGTAAAGATTTATTGTTTCGGTCCTCCAATTCAACCGATGTACAAGTTACTTATGGATGGACTCTTTTACAGCAGTTGGGCTACAGAGCCAATTTTGAAATATTAACCTCAACTTGCAATGTTGACACTAGGTGTGTCTTCTACATCGGTTTAACTAAATCATTGAAGTTATTGTCTCACAATCATATATTATATTATATTATTTTGTCTGATATAATCGATTTTTTATATGCATGAATGTTGTATTCAATTCAAATCATATCAGTTATAATTTATTATCCTCAATTTTTATTTGATATGACGAAAATAAAATTGTAGTCCATTATACTATTATTGATATATTATACTTAAAAATTTGAATTTGATATAATTAATATAAAATTATATCTGTATATATTTGATTTAAAAAAATTATATTATATAATTACTTTACATTCATATTGTATTAAAATAAAATTGATTTTTTTTTACTTTACATTATTTATTCACTACACACTGAAATTCACCATTATGCCCAATCAGTCTGGGAACATATTGGCTTTTGTGGAGGTCACTAACGTAAAAAGAATGAAATATAGATAGTTTCGACAACTGTTCACTACTTAAGAAATGTTAAATTGTGGTCACTGTGTAATAAATGTCTAGTAGACTTTTGCATCGATTGTGTGATAAAACCAATGTCATTAGGCGACTAACTTTTACATTTGCGCATAGACTTTATTTGCATCGGTTGTGTGAAAAAACTGATGTCATTAGGTAATCACCTTCTACATTTTCTGCATGGACTCTCTTTGCATCGGTTGTGTGGTAAAACCATTTAGTGGGTTCCCCCCTTATCCCTCACCCCACTCTTTCATTTTTGCTGCAGCTTCCCCTGTTGTTTGTAGGATTAATTGATTGGATACCCGAAAACCATAATCTTGACTAGGAACAACTTCTATAACGACAAGCGTAAAGGCATGATTATATATTTTCACAAATCTCACTGCACTGACCATAGTAAACCCCTTCTCGTTGTACCAAAATAGAGATATGATTTAAATGACCATGTACAACATCAGATTTAACACCTAAGGAAGGTATAGCCTAACTACGAGGTACATCAGCGAGTGTTACAATAATCTAGTCATCTTGTTCTCTTTATCTTTAGCGTTATGTTGCTAATTTTATTTACAGAACAGCATATGTGGAGCATTTACAATGTTAAAAACATAGAATGTTTAGTTGTATTGATTCCACGTAATGTGCAGTTGTACTGAGTTGTGTTCTTAATCTCACTCAATAAGAGGGTGACTGTATTACTACAATGAAATTGGTTGTGCAGGTCAGAGGCAGTGAAAAAATAATGAATATTGGATAATTTTTGCAAGAGTTCGAGAGTTAAAAGATGTTAAATTGTGGACGGAGTTAAACTTGAACAATGGTTTGTGCGGCCTTTACATTTGCATCGGTTGTGTTATAAAACCAATATGATTAGGTGAGCACCTTTTATATTTGCGCATGGACTCAATTTGCATTGGGTTTGTGGCAAGTCTGATGTCATTAGGCAGCCACTTTATACATTTTTGCATGAACTGTATTTGCATAGATTGTATTAGGTTTATGTCGCTAATTTTTACATCGGTTATCTGAGAAAATCAATGTAGAACTTACATTTTAATTTTTTAAATATACTTTGGGAAGAATTATTGTTTCGGTCATCCAATTCAATCGATGTAGAAGTGACTTTTCCCAACCACGGTTCATGTTCTTCCAGCCATGTCTCATTGGAACCTAGATTGATAGGCCAGTGCATATAATTCAGAGGAAATTATGAAGGAAGTCAAAGAGGAGAAATCTCATCTTAGTTAATTTTATCCAACAAATTTCAAAGTTTAGATGAAAAAAAAAACTGGGAATGAAGGAGGTTGAGAGGAAATGAGAGAGATAAAAATAAAGGAGTTGTCGTAGAGATGAAAAGAAAAGATATAAAGGAGAAGTAACAATTTACTTATTTACCCTTCATTAACATTTTATTACCCAATGTAGTCATATGTTCTTCTTAATTTTTAACCTTTTCATCAATCAATCTTAGCCATTCATTTTATATTTACAAATATCAACAGTTCAAAATTAATTTCTTTTTATTTATTAAAAAATATTATATTTACTTTTTACAAATAAAAGGAGGATATTAGAATCTCCCTAAAAGAACAGAACATAACATAAATCAGAAGAAGTCATTCATTCAATACCTTTTCTAGACAAGAAAGCAAACATTCGTTAACCTTTTAGTAAGTATGTACTCATACAATCAAAAGCATTGTTAACTTTCAGGATTCCCAACTACTTGCCTATCTTAAATACTTAAAACAAGGAAAGTCATACATTGGAGGAGAATAGAGATAAACATAATCAGAACTTTTGACTATTTTTCATGATCTTTTAAATCTGCGTACGACCCTTCTATTTTTTTCTACTATAACTATTGGAGGCTCAGGATCAGGATTTGTAAAACTAATATCTGCCATGCTTGTGTTTTGTTCCTGTACATGAACTCCCATCCATTCCACTTCTGATGTTGCATTTTCTGATAACAAAATCTCAACATGGTTCCATCCATTCTCAGTAAATAATCCTTTGAATTGGCCGCTGCAAAACTTGAACTGCAGATCGAACAAAGTTGTATGATTTGTCTGAAGTGAATGATAAACTGTAGACCTAACAATGAAAAACTTTGAGAACCCTTGACTGCTATTAATGATCAGGTCCAGCTCAAAGCGAGGATAACAGCTTGAAAATTCATCGATGCAGAGAGTTATTGCAGGGAACTTTTTATGGAACCAAAAGGACAGAGATGGTTCCTTGCTACAATGATTGAACAAACCTTGGACAGCTGATCCTGGACTTGGAAAACAGAAAAGTGTGCCTCTGGCCCTGTGTAGTGCCTGTTAGTCACATATAATTAAAAGTTTTTTTTTCCCATTAAATTTACTATTTGATGAAAGACTGTGAGAAAAGAAAGAACGGAAAGATATGATACCTCTGTCAGCAACATTTCCTTTGACTGGGAAGTCAACAACAGGCAATTTATTGCTGAAAGATATCTTATGTTTGGCGGCAGCCCACAGATTTCTCTAAGCTCCTTGCATTCATTCAAGTTAAGTATCCTCAAATACTGACATGCCTTGATGGATGATGGAAGGATTGTAATATTGCTACATCTAAGGGATAACACTGTCACATAATGCAAGCAAGGAAGAAGTGTAGCAAGAAATGCATCTGTCATTGAGCATCTTGAAAATCTAGCTTCTCTTTCAACCAAAACGGAACTGGCATCTCTCACACATAAAGAAAATGTTTCCAACTCTTGAGCTTTGTCTTTCTTTATTTGTGTAAGCCCCTCACAACTGTTAACTTGCAAGGTCTCAAGCTTTGGCAATGTAAAAATACTACTTGGTAGTTCAACAAGTCCGTTGCACCTTTCCAAAGACAGGATTGCGAGCCCAACAAGATTTCCAATTGAAAAAGGCAATTCTCTTATGGAACTAGCACTCAAACCAACGTACCTTGTGTTCTCCATCTTCCCTAGAATTTCTGGAAAACTCTTGAGAGCTGTACAATATCTAAGGGACAACGTTTTAAGAGAAGTTAAGTAGATGCCTTGAGGAAGAACCTTGAGACTAGAGCAATAATTAAGATTCAAATCTTCAAGTTTATCAAGGAATCCAATAGAATCATGAACTTCAACTAAATTCTTGCAATTATCAAGATGCAGTTTCTTCAAATTTTGTGCTCCAGACAAGTTAGGTACTTGATTTAAAAATTGGCAACCGCTTAACTTCATTTCCGTTAAAGACTTAAATTTCTGCAAAATGAAAATAATAACTGAGTAACCATTTTATGAAATTTTATGAGGAGCTTAAACTTACTAATATTCTAGACCACATATAGTTAGCAACTAAACATACCATGATCAGTTGATTGTCGAATGAAAAGAAACCCATGGACAAGTCCAGTATGGCAAGATTCTTTGGATCAAAATGAGCTGGCAGCGATGGTTCAGGATATCCACACCATTTTAGCACTCTTAAACTTTTTGGGAGATAACTAGGTCCTCTCGAAAAGCTACCATTTTCTATGACCAATATTTTAAGGTTTTCCATCTTCTTTAATGCTTTTCCATTCCATTTTACTTCTTTATCTTTGAGTAAATGCAGCATGATGAACTCAATTTTGTCCGTTCCCTTCAAAACAAAAGCATAATCTTAGTACAAATACTTTTTGTCAACATGAATCAAATCTTGCACTAAGTGTTAGTCTAAAATGGAATAATCCAGAATCTAAGAGAAAAATACACCCTGCACATACCTTGTTTTCTTTTAATACATGAAGAATATCTCTAGAGAACCATAATCTACTGCGTTCACCTGGCTTTGAGGGTGATTCCAGCCGTACAATTTCTCTACCCATATTCTCAATCAGGCTATGCATTCTCACACGACATTGAACAATGTTCAAGAGACACTTATCAATTAAAACCTGGATAGCATAGTCTGGAGAAAAGCCACGACCACTACATAGTATGTCTGTGGCATCACTTAGCTTATATCCTTTAAAGAAGCAGGCCATGTCTAAAAAAATTTCCTTCTCAAATTCCTTTAAGCCATCATAGCTTACTCTTAGGATTCCCTGAATATTTTCATGAGGAATTCTTTCATAAGTGTCTAATGCAGATTTCCATTCAGACACCGTTTTACCATATAAGTCAGATCCTATTATTTCAAGAGACAATGGAAGGCCATTTGAATACATAATTACTCTCTCTGAAATGTCCACATAAGTTGGTTTAACATCTTTTCTTTTGAAAGCACTCCAAATAAACAATTCAAGGGCTTCTTTATGATTTAATCCTTCTACTTCATAGATTCTTTCAACATCATGAACACGTAGCAAATGCTTGTCCCTTGTTGTTATAATAATTCTGCTACCAGAACCAAACCAATCATGTCCACCAGCAAGTGCTTTCAATTGATCCAAGTTGTCAACATCATCCAAAATCAAAAGAATTCTTTTATGACAGAGCCTACTTTTGATTACTGGAATCCCTTTCTTTACATTCCCCAACTCAATGTCCTTCTCCCCGACCAAATCAGAAAGAAGTGTCTCCTGAAGTTGTACCAACCCATGCTTCCTTGAATTGTCTCTAATGTCAGCCAAAAAACAAAGACCCTCAAATTGATCAGCAATGCAATTGTACACTGCACACGCAAGTGTCGTTTTACCTATCCCACCGATTCCACTAATCCCTACCATGTGGACCCCATCATTTGATGCAACATCAAGTAGTGAGTTTACCTTTTGCACTCGACACTCTAACCCAACTGGGTAATTAGCAATATATAAAGGGATACGATTAATCCTTTTAGAGATCTCTTGAATGATCTTCCTTATGAACTCATATTCATACCTGCTCAAGTACGAATTTAAACCTCAAGTCAAAACCATGTCAAGTTTCAACTTCACTCACTAAACAATTCTAACATTATACTAAAAAATCATGTGTATACTAATTTCTCTCTGATAAGGAAATTTATACTAGGTTTAATTGCATTTTATATTTTATCTTACGTGTGATTTTAGTTTTCCTAATTTTAATTGCTCACATATAGTTATTTTAGTTTTTCAACAGTTGAATTTAAATTCCTCGTCCTAAAATTTCATCTAATATAACAAACACGAAAACATATCATGGGTTTATACAAATTTGTTAAGAACAGAATATATAAAAGAATTAAATAAAAATAAAAAGGCTTTAATTTTATTTTATACATTTCATTTAGTGCTTTTATTTAACTAGTTTACTTTTTTCCTTATTAATTTATACTAAACAATAATATGTCACGTTTTTATTATATTTTTGTTAATTATAGAATGAATTTTTGGGGTGAGGGACCTAATTATAATAATTGATAAATTGTATGAACTAAATATGAGTAATTAAAATTAAGATGAAAAAAGTTGTTAGTAAATTAAGTATTGGAATTAAAAGTGCAATTAAGTAGGAGAGTGAGTGCATGGATTGGTGAGTAACTCACCCATGTTGGAAGTGCCAACCAGAGAGATTTGCTGCTTCTTGCAAAGCAAGCCTCCACCTTTTGACCTTCTCCTTGTCAATGATTCTTGTTTCATGCTTGGCTAGTGCTTCTCCATAACACCCTTTTTGGTATCTCACATCAGATGGATCCACATGATAAAAAACAGGGCAAACCAACCTTCCCTTGTGTTTGATGCACTCCATGATCTTCACAAGTTCTTCCAAACAAAAACTAGATGATGCATAGTTTTCTGAGAATATCACTATTGCAATTCTGGATCCTTGAATTGCCCTCATCAGAGAAGGCGTGATTTGTTCCCCTTGGCAAAGCTCTTGATCATCCATGAAGGTGTTGATTCCCTTTTCAGACAAAGCATGATAAAGGTAACCAGTGAAACCTGTGCGGGTATCCTCACCCCGAAAACTGAGGAAAACATCATAAGAGTACGAGGATGTTGTTGCCACTGACACTGTAATGGTATCCATTTGAGCAAAGATGAATAATTTTGAAGAAGAGTTATGACTTGTAATTCTAAAGAATGCATATGAGATATGAATGAAGTTTTAGAATGGTGGAAGCTACAGTAAGTGGGGACCCGCGAATTTACAACGGATGGAAAGTATCTTTTACAGCTCAGTGCTTAATCACTTTTTCTAAACAAGCTAACGGTGTTTAATTAAGTAACTTTTGCTTAATAAAAAAACTGAGACAGAGTCATAAAATTTAAAAATTAATATTATTAAATTATAAAAATATGAACCGTTTATTTTGTTTAAAATATACGTAATGATTTAAAAAAACTTACTTAACGATGCACTACTTACTTATTAATTCGAATTAGTTTGAGTCATCCGTTTAATGCAACTTTTAAGAATCAAACGAATAGAATTGAGAGTTGTTTAAAGAATAAAAATTAAAAAATGATGTGGTGTTACACAAAGAACATGCTTTTGACCAAACTAAATTATTATTTCTTAATATTAATAAAATAGTTTAGTCAACTTCAGAATTTTCGCTTTTCTATCATGAGCAATTAATTAATACAAACGTCACTGATAAAGATATCCAGAGTTTTTTCCCTCCTAACTTTATCAAAGTTGATGTAAATGGTAGTTTATGTTTTTTAATTTTTTTTAGCTTAAATAAAGTTTTAGTTTCTCAAAATTTCTCTTTTAGTTTATCTTTTTTTTAATCTAATTTTTTTAAAATTATTTTTTATTTAACATAATTATTTTATTAATAATTTGTTAATTTATTTTATTATTTATTTACGTAATATTTGAGTCGATTCATATAATTTGACTGAAACATAATGCGAAAAAAAAATTACTAATAATATCACATGCATCTTTCGTATTTTGAAAGAAATGTTAACTTATAAAGTTAAGATTTTTGAAATTGAAATTTAAAATTATGAAAGGGAATAATAAAAATAGATATCACATCATTAAAAGGTTGTATAAATATCATATACACAGGGGTTGTAGAGAAGTTGTTTTGATTAGATATAGACAATGAAAACTAACAATAATACCATTTTCTAAGTCCTATATATATAGAAAAAAAATAAATTACCTATATGCAAATTTAAAAGTAGTTCCAAGTCACGAAAAAAAAATTTAATTGCATTACTCAAAATTGCTTAAAAATGATTTTATACAAGAGTTTAAATGACGTCACAAAAAATTGACATTAAATTATTAAAAGAGCAAAAATATTATAAATGTGGAGTGCATAAATGGTATCACTAGATAAGCAATGCTCACCTATTTATTTAAAAAAAAAAAACTAAATAAAATTTCTTTGATTTTACGTTGTTAATGATCTACTTGAATATTTCAAGGAACCAAATTTCTCTAAAGCGTGTTGAATTTTGACAACATGTGATCAATTACGAAAAGAATAAGTGGGAAAATCAAAATGAAGAATCAAAAGTTAATGTGCTTTCTAAAGCATCCCAATCCTAATCCAAATCCCAATATATACAAAACAAAAGAACAAAAAGGTATTGGCCTATTCCTAATATGTCATATGTCAGGAGAATATATTCAAATAAGGTCAATTAATTGCATTAAACTGGCACATTCCATTAATCAGATATCAATATGGTTCTGTAATCTTCTTTGGTACAGCTTTTGACAGGTCATATATCCATCAAAACACTTCGATTCATTAGCCTTTTGTGTGGGAAACAAACCACCGACTGCAACCTTCATGCAGTGGAGAGACTTTTTCTTTATTATGTTATTAATAATAACTACATGACACTAAATTTTATGACTGAAGCACGCAAATATATAGTGTTCAATATTCACCTTCACGACGTGATTGTTTATTTTTTATTGACTCTTCTAAATTAAAAAAAATTAAAGAATTAGATTTTACTAATTTGATCATACGTATATTTTATTACAATTTTAACAACTACTTTTACTGTTAACGATTGTAACTCTATTTATGTTAATACAGGAAATAAGTCTATTTTCTTATACATGTTTTTGTTTTTGTTCTCCTTGAAGTGGTTTGAGTCTATGACTAGTTCTCTATTATTTGTTGTTCAGTTTTTTGTAGCTGATAAGAAAAAAGTGATCATGGTCATCCTCATCAATTGTCCACGTGCAAGTCCTCTATCACAAGTGTTTTTGGGGTGGAAGTGGAGGAAAAAGACACGCAGCACTGCCTTTATCTTTGCCAACCCATAAACAAGCTTGCTTCAAATGATTGTTTCTTAAAATCTGGGAAGGGTTCTTTAGTTTTCTCTATATAAATTTAGAACCTATGTTTTGTGTGTATGAGCCAAGGTGCCTCTACCCTTTTAACTGAGAAAATCGCAAGGTGGCTTTGTTATGCAGTGTTTTTGTAGAATTCTTGAGTCCTGTTGTGGCGAACCTGTTTATACTTCTGAATTCTCCTTTGTGGTTTCTGTGTATGTCAAAGTTACATAAAACTTTAACACAAATTTTCAAGTTTTGAACTTGTATATTGTGATGTGACAAGGTAATTTTGTTCTTAAGCTTATGGAACTGCTATACTGTCTAGAATGTAGGAATGTAGGTTCCCTTGCATTTGGTTCTGCATGAAAACATCTTCAAACTAAAATTCTGAAGCCTCAAGGGTGGTGTTTGAAATGCTACTCTTATGCCTCTTCATTTATTATTATGAATCTTCTTTTTGCCTTTCCAGAATTGATGTATGAAGGGATATCATAAGATTGCATAGCTTACCATTAAAATTTTATTATTATTTTTCATTTGATTTTACATCATTAGAATGACTTGTTAGAATAGACATATTGATGACATTTCGCTCTAATCATAATTCATCAATCCTAGGCTGTAAATTGTGTTAATTCCTGTCTCCTATACTTCATATACCTAGTCCAAGATGTTTTCCTTCTGCTGATTATCATTTTGAACTTGAATGTTGTATATTCTTATTGTTTGCAACATTTTTCAATCTTCATCAGAAAAAAAATTATAGACAAGATGACATTCCAGAAAGACTTTAAACAACAAATGGTGCCAGAGTGGGAGAAAGACTACATGGACTATGAGGGCCTCAAAAGGATATTGAAAGAGATTAAAAGTAGCAAGAAAGCTATACACAATAGGTCCTTGCAACACAGATTCAGACTTGAAAGAGCGTTCAGTGGATTAAACATGCATGGTAGCAATCATCAGAGAGAGGGGGATATTGAAGACCAGGTTATAGAAGTTAAAACCTTAGAACAAGATGGTTCTAAACAGTTATATAAGACCAACTTTCAGAAGTTCCATGAAGTAGGAGGAGAGGCTGAGGCAAGACTCTTTGAGAAGCTTGATGAAGAGCTCAACAAGGTCAATGCATTTTACAAGGATCAGGTAGAAGCAGCCAAGCATGAAGCAACCCTTCTGAGTAAACAAGTTGAGGCTTTAGTTGCATTAAGGGTAAAGGTGAAAAGTCCCGAAACAGGTAAATACAAAATTCAAACTTCAGTTTTATAGTTTGTTTAGTACGTAGTTCTATTAGAAACAAAATTTTAAAAATGTACATCCAGTAGATGCTTTTCTATGTAAGGAAAATCGAGATAAAAAAAATATATAAGATCACAAGGAATTTGATACCACATAGAGATAAATTCATAAAATAATGTACATTCAATATATGTTTTTCTATGTTTCCATGCACATGTGGATAGATTGAGTTTGACCTGAATCTGCAGGATCAAAGCATAATTCCTCATCACCTGAAGAAACTTTTGATCAAAATCATCAGCAAAATGATTCTATAGATGGTCCTGAAGTTGATCCTATTCAACAGGCCAATAGAAATACTCATCAGGAGGAGCTAGCAGAAACACATAATAATTACAATAGAAAAGATCCCATGGAAATTCTTGAGCATGTAAAGGTTGATAATGTTCTTCAGTCTCCAATGTCAACAATTAAAAAAGCTTTTACTGATTCCAATAATAATGAATTGAGCCCCGACAAAGAAGAGATGAGAAAAATTGAAGAGCAACTGAAGCTTGTGTTTATTGAGTTCTATCAGAAACTTCTCCATCTTAAAGATTACAGGTAATAAGAAAATCATGGGACCTTATAATTTCTAATCTTGCCATGTGCTTCTGTATTTATACAAATGGATGCGACAGTTTTATGAACCTCTCCGCATTTTCCAAGATCATGAAGAAATATGAAAAGGTTAGAAGTATACTTAGTACCTAAGAAACTTCAGTTTTCTTAGTTACATTCTTCACAAATTTTATTTAGTTTGAAGGCATTTAAAAACAAATGAAAAAAATCTCTATTCAGAAACAGAATTCAGAAAAAATTTTGTTTAACTTCATTTTATTTTATCATTATATGTTTGCTTGCAAAAGAGTACATCAAGACCAGCATCTGCAGCATACATGCGAGTAGTGGATAACTCCTATCTGGGAAGTTCTGACGAGGTTGGTTTGAATCCTATGTGTTATATTCATAGCATTAATCATTATTATTTCTTCCCTATATTTATGAGATGTGTAAAGTGAGAAATTGAGCCTTTATTTATCTTTGATTTAAAAGTTATATATAATAAATTCTTAAATTCAAATCAATGGTGCATATAAGCTTACTTTCTCATTTTACACATCTCCTCACTTTATAGGAGCTAAATCTTTTCTTCCCAGACGTGCTTGAGGAGTTAGTCTCACATGTGAAACCTTGTTCAAATAAAAAAAAAAAATGGTTGTTTAGGGTATAGGGTTTTAGCTCAAATTCCAAATTTAAGATGGCTATCTCAGCCTATTTGTACATCTTTCGTTTGGCAATATTTTATGAGCTTTACATTGTCTCTTTATGACAATAGATAATTCAATTGTATTAAACAATGTAATTTATGTCCTTGAACGAGTGAAAAAGTGGATAAATTACTGATGGAACTATTATTTAACTGTGCACATAAACACCAAATTGTTTTGTTGCATTCTGTTCAATTGAATTCTGTATTAGAGATTATTTTGATTTGATGGGTTTGAAATCTTCATCACTTTCTTTGTGATACTACTAGAAGTGAACACTATCATTCCCTGATCCTTACCATCCTCAACCGTCCTAGTAATGCTATCTGTTTCATTTGATTTTAGGTTAATTTTCTTTTGGAGAGGGTGGAATGTACCTTTATCAGGAACTTTACACACTCAAATCACAAAAAAGGGAGGAAGTTACTAAGGCATAAAACAAAAAGGGAAAGGCACAGCATAACATTTTTTACAGGTAAATAACGCTATTCTGGTTAAATAATAGTATGTAAATAATTAAGTTGATTTTTTTCACTGACCACTGTGTTGACTAATGTTTACCTTGTCTTCTTTTACAGGTTTCTTTTCTGGTTGCTTTGTTGCTCTACTGGTTGCTACTGTATTAAGAATAGGATCTCAACATTTAATGAAGAAGCAGGAGGGGACATTTTACATGGAAAACATTTTCCCACTGTACAGGTGACAATATTTTTTTAGAGCCTTGTTTGCACATCTATTGGTATGATTATATGGTTTCCTTTGTATTCATGATGATTCGTTCTCTTTCGTTATTGCCATATTATTTTTTAAGATGGGATTAGTTCTCGCAGTCTATTTGGATATATCACTCTCCATATGCTTATGTATGCTGCAAACACATATTTTTGGAAGCGGTATCAGATCAATTATCCATTCTTATTTGGCTTCAAGCCTGGAACTGAGATGGATTATAGAGAAGTTTTTCTTCTGACCACTGGTCATGCAGTGGTTGCACTACTATGTTTCCTGATAAATTTGCAGCTGGAGATGAATCAAAGGACACAAAACTATAAGACAGCGACTGAACTTGTTCCTCTGAGCTTAATTTTTGTAAGATGCTTAGTTTGGACTATAACCTCTTTTTTGATATTTGCTATGTTGTTTCAAAAATAAACTTGTCTTTACTCATTGGTCCTCACCATTATTTGTTCTGGACTATACTTCAGTACCTCTTTAATTTATTAAACTCTTTGTTGCATGTGCAGCTTGTTCTTTTGATTACCTTTTGCCCTTTCGACATCATACACCGTTCAAGTCGTTTCTTCTTTATCCAGTGTTTATTTCGATGCATATGTGCTCCTCTTTTCCTGGTAATAGAATCAAAGAGGCAAAAATTTAATGACAAAATTAAATGACTAGATGCTATTCAAAACTTATTTTACTTTGCAGGTTCGTCTTCCAGATTTCTTCTTGGCTGATCAACTTACCAGCCAGGTATTGTGCTCCCAAGATTTCATGTCACAAAAATTAATACACTTCATATTGTAATATATTACTACTTTTTATTTTAGTTCCAAACTTTCAGGAGTTTTGAGCTTTACATATGTTATTATGGCTTGGGAGAACACTCAAGGAGGCAAAACAAATGTCACCGTCGTGGTTTCTACAATATCCAGTATTTCATTGTTGGCATCATTCCTTACTGGTTTCGCCTAGCACAGGTTCATTCCAATATTTTTTTGCTATATGCCTTCTATTTTATTTTCTATATGCATGACGACATTTGCTTTCAGCTATGTATTTAATAAGTGAAGTAAGTTCGGCCTTGGAGTTTAAAAGGTGTTATTCTTGTGATGCTTTATTATGCCAGAAGACTATTTTTTGTTAAACATTATTAACAATTGTGACAGCTTGTGTTTGATGGGGATCGTTGTTTATGCTTTCTGAGTACTGGATGAATTGTTTTAAAACTGGTTCGAATTTGAATGGAAAATCACAATCGGTTCTTGAATCCAAGTCCATAGCAAAAATATGAAGATCTATACACTAGTGCGATCATATTATATGTTTACTTTTCTCATGTTTTAAGCTATCTTATTATAAGTAAGGTCGTTAATTGGGCTCTGGTGTGTCACTTCATTCATATACATATGCAACTTTACATTCAATCACATCTTGATCGTATGTTTATTTCCATTATAGGAGTTATGGTGTCTAAATTTTATTGCAATCCAGAAGATACACTAACTGAGCATATCATATTTGTGTAGTGCATGCGCCAATTCTATGAAGAGAGAGATTTCAACCGTTTGTTCAATGGTTTAAATTATCTCTCCACAATTGTTGCCATGGTCTTTAGGACTACCTTTGAACTAAAGAAGGGAAGAATTTGGAAGGTGTTGGCACTTATAAGTTCAGCACTAGCAGTAATTCAGAACACATTTTGGGACATTGTCAAGGACTGGGGGCTTTTGAAAAGGCATTCAAGGAACCCCTATTTGAGAGATAAACTCATAGTTCCACACAAAAGTATCTACTTCATAGCCATGGTAACAATAAATTCACCAAAAGAAAAGTGGTGTGGTCTTCCATATATTGTTATTGGATATTCATTCAATCTATTTGCATATTCATAGGTCCTTGACATAATTCTTAGACTTTCCTGGATGCAATTAGTGTTTGAAATGGATTGGAACCCCCTTCATAAAGTGGCAATGATTACAGTCACTTCCTGCCTTGAAATTATTCGTCGTGGCATTTGGAACTTCTTTAGGTAACGTCTTTGACATAAACTTCATGGCATTGGCTTTTTATTATATCTATTCATGGATATCTTTAATTATTTTGTGTTTTGTATAAGTTGTAACAATTTAAAGAATGACAGATTCTGCATGACACTGTGTAACTATTCAGGTTGGAGAATGAGCACTTGAACAACGTTGGAAACTACCGTGCCTTCAAGTCTGTCCCTCATCCTTTTAGTTACTATGATGAGAGAAATGATAAGAATGACTAGTGGCACTTCGGTACACAGATTATATATAGCAATATTAGAATCAAGTATGAATTGAGTTTCACATAGATTAAAATATGAGTAAGTTAAGAGTTTATAATCAGATGAATTCATATATTCAATGTCTTAAGGTTTTGAAGTTATTATGATATTTTTCCTATTCCTATAAACTCTCCAACCCAATAAACACCTACAATTTAAAACAAAAATACACGTTGAATTTGATCAATGTATGAAAGAATTTTTACTTGAATAAAATTTAATTTTCATAAATTTTTTTTCTATTTTTTATTCTATCTTAATTTGACATTATGAATGTTACTTTAAAATTAATTTGAATATTAGTCTTAAAAAAAATACTAATAGCAAATTCTCTAGCATACTATTCTCTAACCTAATAAATACTTACAATTTAAAACAAAAATATACGTTGAATTTGATCTATGAAAGAACTTTTACTTGAATAAAATTTAATTTTTATAAAAAAAAATTTCTATCTTTTTATTTGATCTTAATTTGACATTATAAATGTTTACTTTAAAATTAATTTGAATATTGGTCTTAAAAAAATACTAATAGCAAATTTTCTAGCATATTTTTTTAATATATTCTTAATTATTGACTAAAATTTATTAAAAAAATATATGAAAAACATAAAAAGAGTAAGATTTACATTATTTTTAATAAATTTAAGTTAACACTTAAGCATAAAATGATATTTACCTTTTTATAAATATTTTAGACTAACTTTATGTTTTTGCTTTCTTGTTTGTGTTATTACTATTTCAAATTTCAAAATGAGCTCGAGTTATTGTAATAAGATAATAAATATAAATTCAACCAATATTAACTAAATAAGTATTATTTTTTCAAAATTAAGGACTGCATGTATTTTATATGTTACAATTTACAGCATAATTTTATGACGAAGATGATAACGAGTCCGAAAATTACTGTAAGAAAATTGGACGAAAGTACCGTGACGTAATCCTATTGGCAAGTGAAATTTATTCTCTTTTTCCTTTGTGATGCGTATAAATATTTGAAATAGGATGTTAGATATCTTAAAGTTAAAATAATAATCATATAACTTGAAACGATAAATGTAAGAAATAAGAATTCTATCACAAACTACATGAAGAAAAGTAAATCTAATTAGCTTAATTGACACTCGTAGAGACAGGAAGACAAGGCAAAGTTACTGAATATTATACCCAGTTTATATAGGAAGCAAGAATACTCCAATTTCAAAGCCTAATTGGCTTCATTACTCAACACGAATTTCCAATTTTAAACATTACAAAGAATGCCTGATTGTTAGTGCCAATGAGCAGGCATTTTGCACTGTCAATCACCAAGATACACCATCCATATTGAGTTATGAAACTAAAAAAACATGACAATTCACATTAGATGATGAGAAAACCCCAGAGAGTATATTCAATCTGAATCATGTCTCCTCTTCTCCTTATCTTTTTTGTGTCTCTTCCTGTCATCTGAATCACGAGAATCTCGCTTCTCACGCTTCTCACGTTTCTCTTGCTTCCTGTCCTCGCGGGAATGCTGCTTCTCGCGCTTTTCACGTTTTTCTTCCTTCCTCTCCTCACGTCTCCTCTTTCTTCTACTTTCATCTTCAGGATCCTCTTCAGCCTCTGGCACGGATTGTTTGAGCATCGATACATTCTCTACCTCAGCTGGTGTAACATTAAGTGCATGCTTTGAAGAACCAGGTTCTTCCCAAGGTTGAGGTGCTCTACAGACAGTAGGAAAAATAAATTAAAAAATATTGGTAGATAATTCCTTGACAAGAAACATGATCAATGGCATAATAATTTCGTTTACTAGGAAAACAAACTGAGTCCGTTATGTTTTAAATAAACAATCAGTGCACACATTTAAATGTCCAATTTTTAAGACTGTGACAGTATACAAGAATTACCACCTATCTATATTTATATTTTATACACCACATTAATCCATGTTGAGCAAATTTCACATTTAGTGTTAAGACCAGCAAAGCCAACGAAAGAATGTGGACATTTATAGCAGACAACTTTCCTCTACCTAAGGTCCTAAGGTGATTTCACCAAGATACAAAGTGACTCTCCACTAGCCATTATCCACTACTCCCTCAACACCAAGGATCATAGCTGGGAAAAATAGAAAGAACAAAAGGAAGAAAAAGAAGATCGCCAAATCAAATTCTCTGTTCTATGCCAGTTCTTCTAAACAGCTATGTATCATAACTTCTTGGCCATATACTAAATAAACCCAGTATGACCATATCCTGCTCTACCAAATCATAAACAAAGGGGTGGTAGCTCATTTTCTGATAAAACCTGTTACATAACTAAATTATCTTCTTAGTCATGACTGTAAATATTGTAATTATCTCATGAATATCTTTGTAGATATCGGTTACCTTATTTTTAGGGATTTGATTGATTCTTTGTACGTGTACAAGAGACACACAACATTCAGCATTCTTTTTATCTCTTTTCTCTCCTTTCTATAAAACCAACTAATTAAAAAGAGGACAATATACTTTTTGAACCATCTGATGCTTCAGAAATCTGAACTCTGACACATTGGTCTGACTAAGTTTCATGAATATTGAGTTGCTTATGATCTGGTGAGATATATCTAAAAGATTGGTCAGTCATCATTAGAAAAAACTAACATAATACATTAGACCTTACATGGTAATGTAAGTACGTAATCTTATAGTCCACATGTGAAAACAAGCAAACCTACCAAGAGATTCTTACTCCAATCATTTTTGTATGATGTGCTAAAAAATATCACAAACAACCAAAACGGGAAATAGCAAAAATTGAAGTATTTATAATGAAAATCAAATTCACTTCCTTGCTTTTAAAAATGTTCTGCTTTCCTAGTCAATATTTACCTTGCAAAACCAAGACCTTGAACCCTAGCTGCTTCAGCATGACCTCCACCTAAGTCTTCTGCTGTAGACCCTCGCTTTACCAGTTCTGATAATTCATGTTTATCAAGACGATTACCTTGAAAACGGTTGCCACGCTTAGGAGCTAAGCCAAGAGCTTCCCTCATGGCCTGCTCCTCCTCTTCCTTGATTCTTTTTATTTCTTCTTTTACATCCTCCCTTTCTGCACTTTGGGACTTTTTATCCCTGGCATACCAGAAAAGATCCTTCCCTGTTGAATTAAAAGAATAGATTTAAAGATGCATTTTTACTAAGATAATAATAGAGTGTGCATTACAAGAAAAATAGATCAATGAATCATAATAATGGAGGAGAAAGTGATATAAATATACAGTGAGAACTGAGAAGAGGTATTGCCCTCTATACCAACCAACAATTAACTCTTATCCCACCGGATGAGATCAGCTAAGTACAGTCCTCTATACATGTTCAAAAATGAAAGATTGAGTCATGATCATGCTAGGAAACAAAGAAAGATAAATCTTGCGAGAGACTGACTAATACTCTTGTATTCCTATAACTACAATCTCATAGTTAACAACTAACAATGGGAATTAAAATTTATTAAATATAATAAAGAGGCTTTCACTTAATTTTGGGTGTGGCCCAACATGTGACCAGACTTGAAACATAGACCTGGTACCACATGCAATCAAACACAAATTTTGGAAGGGGGAGGGGGCAAGAAATGAGCATAGGCTGGTAATATTGGGATTACAGTGAGCACTAAACAGCTAATCCTGGTAATATTTATTGACATGAATTTTCTATTTCATTTATGGACGGTGGACCTATGCCTATAGCTTACCGTAGGTTGAAACATATTAAGCTCCATTACTACTTTTATTCTTTCTATTTTCTGTTGGGCACCTGGTCACAAAATTACCTTTCTTACAAATATGGACTGAGTACTTTCATTTTGATCCACTTTGATAGTACACCAGATCCCAGCCAAGCCCATTAATCATCTGATTTAAAGATTTGATCAGCCAATGCCCTTTCCCCCTAAGTCAAGAAATAAACAACAAAACTTCCACCTCCAAGTTTGCTCAAAGCCTAATATATAACATTTCTTCCAGCACTAGCAAAGTTAAAGTGTAACTGAAATAATCAAATTTAAAGCACTAAAGCTTAGAGCTGTGATTGCAAACTTTGAAATGACAGCAATTATTTCCCCAACCATCAGAATTGCATTCAATTCTAACAAATCTTCACTACCATTTCACCATCAATACAAACAGCACATCATCCTCCTACAAACAGTAAATGAAGTCCTACTTTACTTCTTCCAAGTAATACATGAGAAGCAAATGGGAAAAGCAGAAGCACAAAAACAAAGATGCTAAGAGCCAAACAATAGTATAATGCTTATACGATTCTACAAATGAGTCTCTAGCCCTTTTTAAGCATCATAGAAACAGGAAGCAGATGGATACCTAACTTGTACATGTCTATTTATCCTTCTTTAGTCTTCCCAGCTTCTTATATGTCAATTCAAGTAAATCAAATAGAGCTCTAAAAATTACATTGGACGGAGTTCATCTCTAAACATACTTAAAAACATGTCAAGGCACCAACTTGGCATTACAACCCACATTGCCAGAAACATGATTGCATATCCCAAACTCAAATACTAAAATGAAGTAAATAAAGGTTATAAATTACTATACAATGTTTAAACTGAGAATTGGATACAGGGAAACACTCAAGAGAAGACCCCTGTAAATAAAAAATAAATAAAATTGAAATTTGGCCTTTGATCAGGACACAAATTTATTCTATATAGAAGATCCTTATTCAGATACTTCCAATAGCATCAAATCTTATGTTCTATTTAACTTTGAACTGTTCACTCTTGTGGAAATTTTTGGACCAACCGACCAAGAGATATTGTAAACCAAAGACTGACCAATCAACATTTTGATTGATTCAAGCATAGAATAGGACAACTTTAAATTTTAAACATCTGAACTTCCTGTTCAAGACTATAAAAAACAATTAGTTTGAAATTTGAACAACCATGTTAAAAAAAATATCATGAGGGAATTTTAGCAGTCCCAGTAGAAATATCACTTTTTTCTTGTTTCAGACCAATAATACCTACACATACATTGAGAAGGCCTTCAGATTGCCTGATAAGGAACAAGACAGAGGACGTAGAACAACAGCATCTATATAACAGAAAAAGTGAGACATTCGCTCTGCCATTGAAATTTTAGTTTCACAATATCCTATTGAAAATTAGAGTGGGATCTTCAAAGTTCTTCAAATGAAGGAATCACTCAAGTTTAGATCAGCATAAGGTTTCAGTATTCCATTAGCCAATTCAAAGCATAAAACTACAGATACCAATTAACTAGAGACACCAAACAATAACCAGAATAAAACATGTCAAGGCCAGCCATATCCCTCTTGCTAATTAACTAAGTAATTGCTTGTCTTAATGCTAAATGAAATGAGTATAATCCAACATATCACATTTTTAATAAAGAGCAAGCTGGGCTGAAATAAACGATCAACTTTACCTTTCTGCCATCTTCCAACAGGGGCCTTGATACTATGGCCAAGATAGTTCTCCCTATGTTTATCAACTTTTACATCCTCCCAAGTGAATTCTGACCATCAAAAGTAAAACACAAACAAATCAACAAAAAATATAAATACGAATCCATTATAGGATGAAACCAACTACCAGGTTTACCAATATCACACACATAAATAATTAAAATTATATACATAAGTTTTTACTTCTAAGCATGATTTGCGTAAACACCAGAATTTTACGATTTAATATGATCAAATTGCAAAGCATAACAAGAAAAGGACAAAGCCCTAATTTGTAGAAATCGTCCATAAGACCAAATTGAATAACGATTTCACGAAATCGGCAGTACAGAAAAGATATTGAGAGATTAAATTTGACACACACACACACACACAGAGATAGAGAGGGAGATTTTGGAAAATAGGAAGAAATTGAAGGTAGGGATGAGAAGAGAAAACATACGATCTCGACCGCCACGAACGCCACCTCTGGTTGGGTGATACATGTCTGCCCCTAAACGCTATGTTCTCTCCTTTGTCTGTTCCACTTTCAGATTATTTGCTTTTCACTGCATCTATGCAATGATTCAATGAAATCAACGAATCACGTTTCCGGGTTTAAGCACGTTCACACAACATTAGGGCTTGTTTGGTTTAGTTTATAATCGTATTCTTAAGAATCTAGATCAATAAGATTTAAATATATTTTTCATCTCTGTATTTTCAAATTTCAACTTTTACTTTTTGTTTTTAAATTTAAATTTATAAAATTTTAGACTTTAATTTTGTTTATTAATGTACTGAAAAAAATTAACACACCATAAATCATCACTAAAAATAAAAAATATTACATTTAAAAATAAGAAAAAATTGAAGAACTAAAATAATTTTTTAAAAATATTTATAGAAATTAAAAATATAGTTAAATTTTTAAAAATTGTCCATAAATCTGAAGTCTTGAAAAATAAAATACCAAATAATGAAAATATATCAATTTCTTTTAATATGATTAAAATTTTTATACAGCATTTTTTAAAAATTTTATCCCGATTTAATCTCTATGCATATAAGTATTAATTTTGACGTGCAATTGAGTGTAGAATTAAAATAAAAATGAGTATCAATATTTACAAAAATAATAATAAATGAGTATTATAAACATGAAACTGAAAAAAAAATTGTCATTATGTGATAATTATTTTAAATTTAACCTTTTATTTATCGTATTGTAACTAGCAAGTGAGTCGATCGCTCTTATCCCACATAAATCTGCGATTAAATAGGTCAATTCACGTAAGTCTGCATTTAAATAAATTAATATTTAATAAGTCGTATATACCTACAATTAATTTAGTTTTAAACTTTTTCAGCTAATAAGTTTTTTTTTTTTAATTTAACTAATTTAGTTGTCTAGTCAATTTTCCTCTTAAAACCCTTAAATTCTCTTCTTCTTTTTTTTACTTTAAAGTTTTTTTAATATAAATTAAGTCAATTAAACTAAATCATCAAATATCATGAAAAATTAGAGGGAAAAAAAAACAACTTCTCTTCTTCAAATGATAATATGAAAGTTTACAAAATAAATAAAATTTTCACTAAATTTCTTACTTCTATATTTTAAAATTATTTCACATTCCAATTCTATTATAAACATCTAAAAAGTAGAAAAATCATTAAAAAGGTATTTTTTTTACAATAGAAATACAAAAGTGTAATAATTTATTTTTCAATAAAATTATATTACTTTTAGATACTTAAAATTAGCCCAAAGGATCAATTTAATGGGGTATACTCCACCTGAATTGTCAAGTATTTATTGAATGAAACTAGGAAGGGACGAAAGAATTAAACTAGTGAAGGTAAAAATGAAGGGGCATCTATTGCTAGGCTCAATAGAAGAATAATTTTCCTCTCTTTTCTATTATTTTTCTCTTCTCTACAAAATTCTAGTAATCTGAGATCTTATGGCAGTAATCTTGATTCTTAACAGAGCACCTGAGTAAGTTAGTGGAATGAGTGCATTTTTTGGATTCCTCCTCCTTACTCATGAGTAATGTACTTGACTAGAGTTATGAGGACCAAGTAAGTCATCACAATTTGTTTCCTCACAGAGACACTCATGAGGGTTTGCATAGAAATAGTCTTCCTCCTTTGGCTTCTCTAAAATAACTCTGCGCCGAGTTGGCTGAGCAATTCTCTTTTCATGAACCTGTCTCACACCATCTGCAAACTCATTCCAGGAAAGGGTTCCATTTTGATGCATATCAAGCAATTCTACCAGCTTTTTTCGATCCAGCAAGATGGTCTTTTTAAAACCAGAATATCTGCACATAAACTAGTTACTTAGATGCTTTCCCCATAGACATTCATGTAAAATCTAAGAGAATTGCTAAAAATACACTTGGTGAATTTCATATGGATCTCACTCAATCAATTGGAATAGTAGACTTGCATGAAATTCGCTCAATCATACAGTACGAGACATTATGTCAAAGAATGTGTTGTTAGCATTCTTCAAAATCTAATTGCAATCAGCAAGTGTAAATGCAAACCTGCGATGACCTTCCACTAATTTTGCCATGTTCCCGTCATAGGTAGGAATAAACGTGTTACTGGCTACTGAAACCATAAAATCCAAGGCTGCCATCTGTGATGAATGATTCTGAAACTGCCGCAAATCATCACGGGTCAGCAACGTTTCCTTTTTCACCTGATATTGCAATAAAGAAAAGTCAGATGCTGCCACCTGGAATAATGTTAAAGAGCAGAATGAGAATAACGAGAAAATGCATAATTTAGTACAAGTTCAACCACTTTGAGAGCTAGAACAATTTTCAACCATAGATTTGAACGTTTTTAGCAGAATCTGCTATGTACCAATGTGATATAAAATATACGCGGACAATTTTGTACAATCCCCAGCAGTCCATTAGTATCAGTCACATTCATTCAGCAACATCTTATGAAAATCCAAAAACTAAACGAAAAAATGGCAGGAAAAATTACAATGCTAATGAACTCACAATTTGTGGAAACGCAGCTCTCAATTGTGCAAGTCTATGTTCACCACCATAAATCTCACCAGCTGCAATATAGATCTGTGTCTCCCTACCAAAACCTAAGGCTCGCAGAACAAAGGCTGCCTCCTCTGGTGTCAAAGGACAAAGACCCTGTGATCTCCTCTCTTCAGAAACTATCTCCTTTTCTCTCCACCAAGGGAAAGCATACCTGAATTACAGAAGCAAAATCAACATTTTTGTGGCTCATTGCAAAATATTTTATCATAAAAATCTTTCTTTCTATTGTGTCAAAATACTCCAAATCCAACATATCATATAATTCATGAACTATAGTATAGAACCATTACTCTCCTCCAACTGGAAGGTGCATCCATCTGAATATCAGCACAAGTAACTGGCATCTACCATCAATCCCTAACTATTATATGCTTATTTCTCATCTCAACTCCAAGAGTTGGCATAATTAACTATTTCAAATGTTATAAAAGGGAAAACAAAAAAGATATTATTCACTTGTATCTTCCCCAGCAACTGTCAAATAAGAAGCATCTATCTCTCAATTAATGACAGGAAATAATGACTTAAACCCAATATATAGAGTCAACAAGAAACATAAAAGACCTCATCCGTTTGAGCTCCTCAGCTTCTTTATCCATGCAACCCTGAGTGCAGCCTGAGAAAGCCAACATGTCCATCTCATATCTCAGATGCAACGCCACAAAAGGTCCCTTCTTATGAAGTATCTGAATCAACTTGTGCCCCAAATTCTCAATTTGAGGAGTAAATTTAAGTGCCTGGTAATTGACACGGCACCTGAGCTTCTGTAGATCAAGTGGAAGACCATTGTTTGCTAGACGTGCATCAGTTTTGTTGAAGTGTAACACCTTATGTTTTCCAAAAAGTGGCAAAATCTGCAGTTGGAATCAATAGCATTGAATTAAACTCAACATATATACTGCTCAAAATAAGAGAGGGCAAGAATATACTAAAAAGTAATTATTTGCTTACTTCAAAACAGTCAATGATGTGCTACTTTTGAAATGTATTTTGACTTTGCTACATCAGAAGCAACTCAGTCTAGTTGCTAAATAGTAAATACAATTCATCCATAAGTATTTACGATTTTCTTCATTCAACTGATCAATATTTCAATTTAATAGATGTTCCTCTTCAATTCCAATCTAATTCTCAATATAAGGTAACCAACAGACTCCATTTTCTACAACACCTAATATGGAATGTCAAAATGATTTTTTAACCATTATCCCAATTCACCCTTGCACCATGGACAGGTAAGACAGTAAAGAGGCATTTCAATAACAAGACAAATGAGAAAATATACTGCATTCCTTGTTTATATAATACAAGTTATCACTATGTTTCAGTTTAGGTGCATTGCATAACACGACAGGATCAAGAGAAATCAAATAACACAAATACCAAACAGTAACTAAAGCATAATTTAGATCAAGAAATTCATAATAATAGACTGGTGACAATAATAATGCCAAAGTCCCAATTAATTCAGGAAAGACAAAATTACTGACATGCACAATCCATCCTACCGTCATGCCTACCAAATAAGACAACTAGTGACATTGAATAAAGAAATGCTTCAAGGCCTTCTCAAAAAGCATTGAAAAATTAGCAATTCAGGGGAAACTACACCCTCATAAGACTGACAAATTAAAGAATCTCTGTTGTCCTAAAACTATATATTTCCATGCCATAAAAATAAAGGTGAAGAATCATTTATAAATCACATTATCAGACCTCAAGTTGCAAAGCTCCGGCTATTTGCTCAAATGAAACAAATAAAATGTGCACACCTGCTCCATGTAATATTTTTCATTTGACCAGCTAACAGGAGGCATCTCCAAGGTAGAGTATCCATACTTTCTACTAAACTTTTTGGGCACCCTTTTCACTATTCGAACTTCATCTCTTAAAGAATCAATGAAATGTTTCACATCAAAAATGTCCTCAAAATTGCTGCAAAAGAAAACTACAAAACATTAAAATGACAAGGAGGTCAAATTAGAGGATATTCAAAATTTTAAGAACATACAAGATACCTAGGGTCAGCCCAAAATGATGTCTTGTCAAGCTCAGGAACAACCAATGTGAGATTCAAAAAACGAGCAACTGTCACCATGTCACAAATCTGAAAAATCATACCTCTAAATGAGTATTTATGCTTCTCAAACAGCAGAAACCGAGAAATTGAAGAATAGGAAGTGGCAGTACAAACCGCAGCACGCATTTGATTCAAGCCCCCATTGCAGGAAACTCTTAGAAAACCATTACTAGTGTAATTTCCTGTAAGGTTTTAGGTCAAAAGGCTTTAGCATATCCCAAAATAAGAAAATACGGGTAAAAGAAACTTAAACATCCTATCGATCAAAGCTATACATTTATAAGTATTGCTTTATATTAATAGCACCCAATTTTGTCCAGCACTAGGGAAATATCAATATTAATATCTAAAAAAAAAAAGTCACTAGCAAACTATCTCAAGCAAGCAGCATCAAATAAGTTATGACCAATACATATAAAATAGTTATAAAGGAAGTTACAGTAGAAGGACGACACATTAAGTTATAGTCTTATTTGCTTTCCAGCCAGCCCCAACATAAATCCATACATTATTGATGCTCCAAACAGAGTTTTCACAATCCACAAATCTAGCACACAATTTGCACCTACATTTTAGTTATTAACAACCATAACCATCTAAAAAAAATCATCTTCAAGAATACACATATACTGCATTGCTAAATCATACTATACCCAACGTTGCCTTACAGCTTCAAATTCATAACTTAATCAATCAAAAAACACAGCTTTAAGACAAATAAGTACTCAGTCAAGAAACTAACTTGCAGGAAGTAAAGCAGGAGGTGCTTGAGCAACTCCTTTATTCGCTTGTATTGGAAGCTGAACTTGGGTTATATGATATATACCACTAGTAATCCCAGAAATTAAATGTGAATGCCATAGTTCACTAACTGTCACTAACTGAACCAGACACGTCCACAACACAATGCTTGAGCACACACGAATGAACCAAATCCTCAAACGTGTCTTAGGAATCACAGGACCCTGAAGTTTATCACACCTCACTTGTATACCCTCTGATCTAACCTCCATGTCTTAGCCACACACCTCATTGCCACTTCATCGAACCTAACTTTAAAACTTTACACACATTCCAAAAGAAAAAAAACTCAAATCAGCATTACATAAAAATAAATAAATAAAATCATTGATGTACATTACATTTTGAAATTGGCAAACCCATAAAGCCCTACCACGGATGCAAGCAATGCAGCAGAGTGAATGAATCTTTTTGGAGAAATGGAAACCCACCCAGAATTAAATTTGAAGCAGAGAATTGTGAGGTAGGCTCAAAAAACGATCTTTTTGCTCCAACAGAATATGAAGCTCTTTCAAGAACCGACGACCAGAATGTTAAAAAGAAACGAGAAAGATCCAAGACCATGAGATTGAAGGGAAAGGATCAAATCTCAACGCCAAACAAAGGGTCTTGCAATGCATTTTTGGATTCCCTTTTCCGGGAAAATTTTGTTTTCTCTCTCTGTTTTTTTCTTTTGTATCAAACACCACGATTTCGCCAATCTCAAAGGAAGTTCTCAGTCTCTCTCTCTCTCTCTCTCTCTCTCTTCCACGGAAAAAAAATGTTCGCTTTCTCTCTCTCCGATTTTGATTTTCTTGCTTTATAGGAATTTTTAAAAAGGATATGAGTACCGCACAGTTACTTTCATACCTTTCGCTTTCTCAAGAAAATGATAAATTCATGACAGCAAAATGAATTTTACGTAATTAAAATTGATAATTTTTAATAAAAAATATTTTTTATATTGGAAATATAAAAATAAAATCAATTTTTAAAAAATATGTTTTTTAATAATTTAAAATTAATATTAAAAGTTGATGGTAATAAATTTATATTAAAAAAATATGACAGACGGTAATACAAAATTGAAAAGAAAAATATAGTTTATGATGATTTTTTATTTGATTTTTATATTTTTAACTTGTGTAAATTGTACATAATGTGAAATTAAAAAATAATAATTTTTTATTAAAATTATAATATTTATTTTTTCAATTTTTTTTAAGAAACATATCATTAATTATTTAGATATTAGATTACTCTTATCTCCAAACTACATAATAAGCTGCAACTGCTCTTAAATTATCCACATTTATACAATAACATAATTAAAAATATTTATTCAATAAATCATATTTTACGCACATCTCATACACAATGAGCAACATCTTGAGAAAACAACAGACCACCTAAAATTTAACTCAATATATAATTCTTTATTAGTTGAGCTATTTATTGATCTACGTGTTTAGTAATTTAACAAAATGATATTTTTGGATATTTACATCAATAAATTTAACAGAGTGATAATTTTTTAATATAAAAGTTAAAATATACAAATTATGTATATATTCACAAAATGCTATCTAAACTTACCATCATTTGTGCATACAACAACAATATAATCCATCCCAAAATCATAAAAGGTTGAAAAACTTGTGTTCTTCTAATTGAAAAAAATGATAACTTGGCTTTCAAGAAAAGTTTGCCCTTTTCATCCTCATAATGTGAGGAGAAAAGCCATCTAAGCATCTGCAAGGCAATGATATTTTGTAACATTAGTTAGGTGCAAGGATCTATCATCATGTAAGGAAATAGAATAAGGTAATATAACTTCTAATTCTATTTTTTTTAACCTTTATTATAATTTTCTTCACAAATAGTATATATAAGTTTTAATTTAATATTTAATGAAGTACAAACAAGTAATCATGGCTAATGGAATTGAATTAATGAATCATGGTTGTACCTACCTACAATCCATGTATTGAATCAATGTTGATTAATGTTTCTTTTATGGTCCTCAAATGAATATCTATTGTTTTCTTTTCTTTGTATGTCCATTTCAATGGCACACAAAACTGGGGATACCTAAAGCACCTTCTTTAATTTCCCTTTATTTATTATGCCTGCCCATTCTCATGATTGGTTCACATGGATTTTATAATTTGTTCACTTCATTTTTCATTTTATGATACTCCATCAAGCCTTATTATCCTTAGGATATGAAGTGAGTGGGGGAAAGAGAAATAAAAAATAATAGATATATGATCAATTTGAGTAGTTGTCTTCGTAATGATTTTAACAAATTTTTAAATATAACTTATTAAAATAAGATTTTTTTTTAACTATGGTCTCAGTCTCGAATTTAAATTGTAATTGATTTTGTCTTCAATATTTAAATAAAAAATTTTGTTGCTCGTAATAATTTTATTTAACTCAAATAATATTATTTTTAATAAATATTTTTATAGTCTAAATTAAAAACATATATTTTTAATTTATGATATGAATTTATTGTGTAATAACAACTTATTAAACTCCTAAACAATTATATAAACACATTCCTTTTAACTTAAAAAATTATAATTCATAGTTTAGCCAAAAAAATTATAATTCATATGATACATACTATTAATTATATGACAAAAATAATGGGTTATATTTAATATTTGGTGTATATAGTTGTATTAATGAATATTAAAACAAAGTTGCATCAGAAATCTACAATTTATATAAAAATTAAAATATTAAATTCTTAAGAACTAAACCTTTTATGTTTCATAAATGTGAAGTATGACTTACTATCTAAACAAATAATTCAAAATATGTTAATGTTGTTTACAATTATATATTATAGCTGCGTAAAAAGGCTTGAAAATCATTAACTGCATTAAATTTTCATGAAAATAATGATCGTGTGTAATTATTTTAATTCTAATTTGACTTAGATATATTTAATATGATATTCAAACATTCTAAACATTTTTCACTATTTTGTTAAATATATGAACACACTTTATAACATGTTTTTGTTTAATACAGCATTAATTGTTATTAAAAAAATCATATAAATTTATTCTTTCTCGTGATAATTTAATATTTTTAATCAATAACTAAAAACATATTTAAAAGAGAAAGTTGGTAGGCATCACTAATATCTCTCATTTCTCCCTCTTGGAGCATACACTGTGTTTCCAAAGCAACCCCATTTACCATTTGTTTTTCTGGTTCTGGGTCTAGTTCAAGTACTATTGTCACGTTCAGTTCAATCCCTAAGGTTCGAATTACAATCTGATCACGTCAAATGCATAGTGGAAGAAATAATAAAGGCCAATTCAATTACAACATCACCAATTCCCCCACTGTCACCGTTCGGGTACGTATAATAAACCTTATTACAACACCATTAAAAGAATTGAATTTGATTGATGGGTTATTTGATTTCTTGCTAATTAGGTGAGTTCGCGTGATGGGGTCAATGTTTATCACTATGGGGAGAGTGTTCAATCGGGGCAGTTTGCATCTGAAGCAGTGGAGAGTGGTGACTAAATGGCGTGTTTTTTGAGTAGTAATCATCACAATCCCCCAATAACACTCATGATTGATTTTGATTGGAGAACTGGTGTTGTGGCCAAGGATTGGTCCAATCTTGCGAAGAGAAGCAATGTTCATGTAAGTCATTTTATTTATTATATACAATTCAACAATGGTTGTCTTACATGTATAAAATGAATTTGTCAACCTAATCAAACTCTCGCAGCAGCAGCAACTATTGTTTTGGATTTTCAGATTAGTTGCCAGAGTGGTAATCTTTGATAAAATAATTCCTATACTGGTGGTTTCTCTTACGTGTTCCAGGCAATGACACTAGAGCTACGGAATTTGCATGAAGTAGTCTTGCATTCATGAGATGTTTTATCTTTATAAAAAGTAAGCATACACTTATGTACACATACGTTCTTAATTTATATTCAGAAAATTATTTTTTAACACTTAAATTTTCATGTAAAATGGGTGGATAGAGGAGAGAAAAGGGGAAAGAGAGAGAGAGAGAGAGAGAGAGAGAAGTGATATTATAGATGATATAAAAAAAATGAAGGAATTTTTTTAAAATGAGTAAATATGTAAAGGCAGAAAGTAAAAATTTAGTCGTATCGAGTTAAATTAAAGTATTTTGTGCATATAACTAATTTTAAATCAATGATAGATAAATCATTTCTTACTTATTTTATACTTTTTCTCACCTTAAATGAATCAAATAAAAAAAGATGAACGTAGGAAAATGAGAATAAAGATATAGAAGTTCTTTATATGTATTGTTATTATATCTACATTTTTCTTTAGGAGGAGAAGAAATGGAGCAGCATAATCGGGCAACGAACACTAAAATGTTCTGGTTGAGCTTGCTTTCAGTCTTTGTCTGCATGTCAGTTGCAGGGTTGCAGCTATGGTACTTGAAGACCTTCTTCGAGAAAAAGAAACTCTTCTAAATTTTTGGTGATAATTTATATATTTTTCTAATGTACTACAGAGCATCAATTTGTAGAATTTTCTCAGATTATTCCTTTTTGTTAATTGAAAAATAGATTCATGGCAAATAATTTTCAGGAATTATTGATGATCTATATTTTGAATCTTCAAAGATAAAATCAACAAACAATTACATATGATATATTACTGTGATGAGCTGGAAATATAATTTAGCTAAGAATTATTATATATTTACACTTTTTTATATTTTTATTTTTTAATATATAAAATATTAAAATAATAGACAACTGTTAATAAAAATATATAATATTCTTTTAAATTTACTGATACCGTAAAAATATACCTTTATCATAAACTATGTAATATGTATGTCGTGTAAAATATAGGTATAATGAACACTAGTTGTTGATATGATTATGCAATTTTTTTAAAATTAATAATTAATAATATATAACAAATGTCCGAGGGTTTTTCAATGTTGAACATAATTTATATATTTTATAACGAATAAAGATAAAATTATTGTTTTAGATTGTGTTTATAAAACATTTCAATTAGTTAAAAGCTTGTTGTAAAATTTATTTAATAAAACTAAAATATAACTTAACACAGTAGTTAAAATGAATTAGTTTTTTGTATTTTTTTTAAAATTTTGTTTAAAAGTTTGTATGAAAAGAAAAAGAAAAGCTTTAAAAGGTAAGAGAAGAAGAGAGAGAAAAAAGAATCGAAAGAAAAAAAAAAGAAGTTTAATAAAAAATACAAGTTAAAAAAATTTTAAAAATATAATCTTAGAAAGGTTTTGAAAGGTGTATAAATATTTTTTTATTATTTAAAATTTTTTAAATAAGAATAATTATTACATAAATTTCTTCCTCATCTTTCTTTTTTGAAAAATTAACTCGATATCAAGCATGGTTAGTATTAGTGTTTTTTTATTAAACTCATAACTTAAAATCATTTTATCATTTTTATTTTTATTATTTTTAAGTAAATTCTTTTTTATCCACTCAATTTCTTTAATCTTACTATTTTTATCCATTCTGGAGAGAAATATTTTTAAATTAAAATTTTAGAATAATCCTTGTACACTGTATATTACCATTTCAACATTTCTTAGAAAGTAATAAATGGCTCCGTTTGTATCACCGGAAAAACTCGGTATTTTCACCATTTTCCTTAAAATTAAGAAACTAAGTATAAATGATGATATTTTTATAATTATTAATAAAAACATATCAATAAAAATTGGAAACATAAAATAAACGGTGGATAGTTAATTTTCTCCTGGTCTCCAGTCCAGAATGTAATGGAAAGAAAAATAACGTGAAACGATAAAAAGAAACTTCAACGAAGAACTTAGAAGGGAAATCTGAAAGTTGGAAGCATTGACCACAGAAATTGCTCAAAATAATATCCAAAACTGAAAATTACTACTAATTTTTAAACGCAAGACAAAATATTAAACAGTAGATAACATGAGATGTTATATTTCCTCAATGGGTTTTGTACACTAAACACATTACACTTAAGCAACAACTAGTACTCACTTGAATAGCTGAATGGAACATCGCAAGATTTTTAATTGGACAAGAGTAATTGAATGTAGACAGACACCTTATATTGTGATAAAAGCAATCAGCATCAACAAGTTACGCTCATAAGAGTCTAACAGTTGAAAACAAGCCTCACTACCTCAATAGGTTTTCCAAGTTGGCTTTATTCACAAACCCCGCAGCAGTAGAGAAGGCAACCTGCTGTAATCAATGGTAATGGCTGATAGTCATCTAAATTTCTGGACACTAATGATCCTAGAATTTATGAAGTGAACAAGCTCCAATGATGATCTGAAGGTATATTTTCCTTGATCTTTTCAAGCCTTTTAAGGATCTCTATGAAGAAAGGTCTTTGATTTGCGTCAGTAGCCCAACACTCATCTGTTAACCTAAGAACATGCAATTTCAAAGTTCATAATAATACTACTCGTAGGATTACATATTACAAGACTAAAGCTGCCCTATTAAGTAGTTGATATAAAAGAAATAAGTATTGAACTAAACTGAAACTTCTAACAGCCTAATTTGCGAAGAATCCGGAATCTACTACTAAGTGATTTTATAATTAGAGATTTCATGTTTATGCTTGTCACACTCAGAATTCAAAATTGAATGAACCTAGTGAGAGTAAGCGTAGTGGTACGATATTCTTCCCAAGTCCGATGAAGAAGCAGGATAAAAACATAACCATGTCTTTTGTTCTCTTAAATCTTAATCTCATTCATGATGAATCGGATCATCAAGGACTTCAACATACTGTGCACACTTCACACGCAGTAAGCATAGCTGCTAGGTAGGTGTAAAAGTAAAAGGAAAAGGGGGGAAGTGAATGCTTAAGTTATTGGGGTTCAAGCTCAAAAATGATTTATGCTTCTAACAATTAGCAAACAGGTATAGGACTCGATGGGAAAAGAGAAATTGGACGGGGAAAAAAAAATCAGAAATGACTTACTCTCGCAGTTCAGGGGTATAACCCTTTGCCCGAAAAGTAGGCCTGTGTCCTTCTGCCACATATTTTGCTCCATCATAAGGTTCATAATTTGAAAAGGGGGGTTCACCTTCTAGCATCTGTACAAAATAAGAATTTCAATCATGAATTAGAACTAGCTTCAAAATTTATGATTTTATCTATGAAATTCTAAATCTTGAGTACGCAGAATTACCTCATACAGAATCATTGCAAAGGAGAACACATCAACCTTCTTGTCATATCTCCGGTGTTTGAAAACTTCAGGAGCCATATAGCGGTCTATTTTTGCCCCCACAAAGGGAATTTCAATTTTGTAAGTTACTGTTATTAATTGGAAAAAAAGCACCCATTCCCTCAACTTTACGTCTCTACCTCATTTGAAATATTCATACCGAACTTTCAATTTTGGATTGAAGGCCCTTGAACTTCTGAAACTTGCAAATAGACCTTTCCATACACAAGTACAACAAAAACCATTCATCATATGGTGGATGTATTTTGATTAATATACATAATAACCTCTTACTCATTTTTCTTTTCAAATCCTCTATTAGTTTCAATTCCTTTTAAATTATTCTACTTCTCTAATTTATGGAAAAAGAAAATAAATAAAAAGAATTATAATAAAATGGAAAAATTAGAGATAATCACATGCAAGTTACAGGATGACTGATTTTAACTTAATCGCTGAATGGAAGGGTCTGATGGCAGATTTTAGTAGGAAGTTAAGGACTTCACACCGTTATGAAAGTTCAAGGTGGATACTTCAAAACAAGGTAAAGTTCGTGGCATGTCTATACATTTTTCCCTTATTAATTTGAAAGAACTTCTAATACTTACAGCTTCCGGTTTCACCCGTCATCTTGTATACGTCATGAGAACTCTGAACCTTAATAAGCTTACTAAGTCCAAAATCTCCAACTTTTAAATGGTCAGCACTCGAATTGACTAAAAGAACATTCCTGAAATTTTAGGGGGAGGGGGGAGGAGAAGAGTTCAACATGTAATGCATATACACATAAATTCCAGCCACGTTCCAGATGACATTACATATTTTCAATCTAGGAGAAAGTAAAGTTGATGTCAGTTTATAAGAATAATATATCTACCTTGGCTTTAGGTCTCGATGAATGATAACATTTGGTTCATTGTGAAGATAGGCCATCCCTCTACAAACAATATTCACAAAAGTATTGATTAACATAGTAGTTAGATTCAATTAAGCAGCATGCTTGCAAATGTTTCTAGATTTCCTAATGTTATTTTCTCAGCATTGATAAATACAGGATGCTCTGAGATTGGCTCAGTTATAAATCCAGCAACATTTTTGAGGGCTTCCTCCTATCCCCCGACCTAAGCCACCTCCTCAAAAAGAACTAATCAGTTTCCTCAACTGAGGAATAACAAAAGCTTCAATCCTTCTTAAGTCAGCCCGCGAATACAGTTTACATCCATTGTTGCTTGGTTCAGTGCTTCTATTTAATGAAAAATGTTAAATTAGGGTAGCAATTCATGTACCCTCTCGTACGGCAAAGCTGACTACAACAAGAAAAACCATGTAGAAAATCATATCAAGGACATATGTCTTAACAGAAGGTCACTCCACACAATTTCATGGTCCAATTCTAGGTACATCATGTCAGACAGCAGCAATGACAATGAGAAGTAAACTGCAGCAATTCCTTCAAAATTTGCAGTTGACTTGTCAAGCAACTGAGAAAATCAGCTTTCAGCAAAGATGATATAGTGGTATTCATGAGAGTTGAATAGTCAGTTTGCATCCATTTATAAAACACATGCATTCTTTCATTTTCTTTATTTATAGCAGACGAAGGACAGTACATTTATGGGGAGTATAATATATAGCTAAAAAAGGGGAAAAGGGGGGGGGGGGGTGTATTATAAGACGTGGAAAAATGCAGTCAAGCTGCACAATCTTGATGCATATCTGAAATGGAAAATACCTTGAAGCATAGCTAACCAGAACACCAAAGAAATCCAGAAAACACAATCCAATACAAAGTGGGTTGAGGGGGACACTCGTAAAGCAATAATGTTGCTGGATATAAAACAACTACAGTAACAACAAACAAGGTTGTAAAGCAAGAAGCTAAAACACTATTTCTATCCCAATGTTTATATGATTCGAGAGTTCAGATACAGTCAGTCTTTTTTGTTAGATTTTGAGGTTGCTTGGCACGTTTGGAAAAATAGCTTTTACAATGTTTGAAAAGTAGGTTGGCCAGCCTCTTTGAAATTGGAACATCTTTCGTCCATCCATTTCAGTAGCATTGAACAAGGTTAAAATGTAAGGTCCTTTGCAAGAGTGCTTGGCTTGTGATCTCAGATCTTTTATGGGATCAGGTTTGATAGTTTTCTCAGTATGTAACTGTTCCATGAGAATTATACATTTTATGGGTGATTTATATAACAGATTTACAGAGAGGCTGAAGAGATATTGGAGTTAATGTTTCTTTTGTTCTTGTGGTTTTCTGTTGGTTCTCTTTATATACAAATTTAAAACGAAGAAAAATATAAAGAAAACTTTAGGTGATGATACACCATACCTGGCAATATCCAAGGCAAAGTTGATAGCTGTTGCAGGACTCAGTGCACCTTTGTCCTTGAGGTACTTGTGAAGATCACCCTAAAAATGGCACAATAATTTAGTAAAGTTTAATCTTAAAGCATAAGATTGCATAGGTTCAGTGCATCAGAGCCTAGGTGACCAGTTATATGCATTCACATACTCCTCTCAGGTACTCAGTAATTAACATAAGGGGCTTCCTGTCAGTAACAGCTCCAAGAAATTGAACAACATTAGGGTGTCGAAGCTTCACAAGTAAGTTAACCTCATGCCTGAAGTCCTGACTGTATTAAAAAGTAGCCAGCAAAATAGAAAAGGATAAGTAGATTGGCAAAGGCCTAAGATAGAAAAAATGGTCTATTTCTGAAAACACATAAGCTCAATCACAAGTTTGTCTGTCTCTTCCCTTGCCTCTCTCTCCTTTTGTTTGATTATTCATTGATAAACAAATAATTACACATGGTTTAAAATAAATCAATTTTCCCCAAAGCGGAAGTAGGTTAGACCAGAACAAAATCTCAGTATCAGAAACAGTTTAGTTATTGAAATGGTTATCCATAGCCAGGCATAGAGCTAGATGAAGATTGTGATGGGGTCCATAATGAGACAATTTCAGTTTGTGAGGGCCAGATTAATTTTTTTAAATAAAAAACACATGTAAAAGTCAATTTTAAAATAAATACAACAAACAAGCCTATCCCACTAGGTGAAAATAAGACATGAATTATGACCTTAGATTCGAACACCTTATCCCATGAACATGGGCTTGCTGGTTTTTAAGGGGAACCATGCTCGCCTTCTCAGGCGAGTAAGTATAACACTTGAAAGTAGACTGATAAAAGTAAGCTAACATTTTAAAAAGATTCATCAACCACAGGCAATCACAAGACTTTCACATCATCCATCATCTCATCCCACAGCAATAAATAAAGAATCTTACATCACCAATCTATCATCTGAAAGACTGGGCAGAATGCGTTTGACAGCAACAGGTGTTCCACGCCAATGGGCTTTTAAAATCTCCCCAAAAGATCCCTTCAGGAAACACACATCAATAATAAGACCAAACCTCAAATGCAGATTTAGTCCATCAACAGTCTAAGGACGTATAACTAAAATCATCCAAGCAGCAACGCAATTGCACAAAAGTAACAGCAAGAAGCAGAGTGTTCACAGAAAATCAAACTTAGCTAGTGTAGATAAACGGGGTTGATTTTTCTTTCAGTAACTAATCTTTAACACTAATTATCACCCAACAACCAAAAACCCAGACAGACAGGAATGAAAGCAAATTCAAACGACCACATTTTCATCATGAAGATTCCCAACCAAAAAAACTTAAATTCCAATTCCTAAAGCATTTTATCATCAGACTAATTTATGATCTATGATAAGATACACAATTCCAGACCCGCAACTCTACCACTACCACACTAAACAATACACCTCAACAAAGTGCAAGTCTTATTCATTGCTAAAAATCTCAATACAATACAATGCCAATCACAGGAAGAAAAGAAAACACCTTCCCAATGCAAACCGAATTGGAAAAGTCCAGCTCAGAAGGATCAACTTCCCAATCACACTTGTTTGGCAATGGAGGTGGAACAGGCTTTGGTTCAAAATGGCTTCCATTTTGACCCTGCATCATCAAACATAAATTCAGGGACCCCTACCACTTTCAAATCCATCACCAACCGAACATCCTTCACAACACAACACATGCATGTTAATATTACCAACTTATTTTTCCCTCGGTTTCATTCAATACAAAACACATTTTTATTTTTATTTACACAAAAAAAAAATGTCACATCCATTGGAGAGAGAAACGAGGAACTTACATAAGACAAGCCTCCATGTGATTCCAAAAGCTCAATCATTGCACTTCTTCTCGCTCCTTCTGCATCAGCCAGAGGCTTTCCAGAGCAAAACAACACCAAATTTCAGAATTAACCAATCACAGAGGGGAGGGAGAGAGAGAGAGAGAGAGTACAGTGTTTTTCCAGCGATCCTGAGCGTTGACGTCAGCACCGAATTCGAGCAAGCACTTGGCAACATCGACCCAACCGTGGAGCGAAGCCACGTGCAGCGGCGTGCGGTTGTCGTAATCCCTCGCCTTCACCAGCGCCGGATCTTCCTCCAGCAACTTCCTCACCGCCGCGACGTCGTTTTGGTGCGCGTGCCACAGTATCAACGACGTTCGACTCACCCGAGCCTTCTCCTTGTCCTTCTCCGCCGCGCCGGACGATCCACAACTGCTCATCGCCGATTGCCTCCCTCGCCGGTCGCTCTCAAATGCAAATGCAAATGAAAATGGTTCTCTGTAATGTAATTTGTTGATTTCTTTCTAGTTTTCTTTGTGGGATGTGATTGTGAAGTTTTTGGCTCTCTTATCAGTTAGTAGTTATTGTACTTTTACTAATTCAACACTTTTTAGTTATTCTCTCGTTTTAAATCAATTCAAATATAAATTGATTGTAATTTTAATTTATATATTATTTATTCAAGGTCCGGTCTAGCTAAATTTTGAGAGAAGTTTTTGTAAAAAAAAAAATTAGCATAAAAATTAAATAATTTGTTTCTCAAAATTTCTCAAAAAATAAAAAAGTATAAATTATTCTAATTTAGAAATTTGTTATTTTTTATAAAAAAAAAACTTCTTTAAAAAATTATTTAAATTGAGCTCAAGTAAAATACTGTTTTAGCCTTAATTTCAAAAGCTCAATAATTGGACAAGTAATGTTGTTAGATAATTTGTAAAATTGGATCAAAATATTAAGAAATTGCTGGTGCTCATGCAAAAGTGGATAACGAGGCTTTCATTTTATCAACAAGTCAAATCTATATACTAATCATTACTCAGCATTGACTTTAAAAGGGAGAGGGGAAAATTCAACGCTGACCGGGGAATTAAGTCTTGGTCTTGGCACATGGCAGTGGATGACCGGATATTTAATGTTCCAATAGGGAGCAAAGTCCGTGACATTTTATGCTGTTTTAAAAAAACAAAATAATGTAAAATTAAAAACCAATAAGCGAAATAATGTAAATAAAAAATATTTTAACTGTTTGAGATTATTTGCAACGCAACAATCTGTGTTATGCAACTAAAGTTAGTGTAACTCAAAAATGAAAATTGTTAGCGACAAACAAATATTAGGAGATTTGTCATTTATTATTTGCTAAAGTAAAAGATATGAATAATTTTTTTAAAATAATATATAAATAACAAAAACTAATTTAATCTCAACTTTCATCGAAGAATTTTCTCATAAAAGATTTAAATTTTGGCCTCGACTTCATTGTCGATTTCAATCGATCATGTCAAGGTGTGAAATCCACTGGTCTCATTTTTCTCCATACCGTCTTCATTGAAGTGCTACAAATGATAAAGATATGCAATAACTAAAATACTGTCATATGATATAAGTAGTGTCGTCATAGCTTGGCGTAACACATGTTGTGTAAGTGTAACACTTAGTCTCTTTTTTAGTGTATTCTATAAGGTTTTTAAGCTAACTTTTATTTCCCCCATTCTTTTTTACTTTACATTTAAGCTTTTACACAAGAATTAATAAAATCATTGATATTTTTAACGCTCTCTAAATACTGATATTTGACCTTGTAAATTTTTCGCCTGCTATCCAAAGAGGCATTAAAAGGTTTATGGCAAAACAAGTTCCACAATTTTATTGAGAACCTTAGCTTAGCTTATTCATTTGCCGAGAAGGAAGATAAAAGTACAGAGGCGAGATCAAAACTTGTAATGACTCGAGTCTTAAAGGGGGAAATATGAAGAGAGAGGGGGAGAGAAATGTGTGTGAACATTTCTTTTATGACTACGCATACTTGTTTTAAACCAGACATGATTAACATGACGTGTTGCGTCGATTTGACATGCACCACAATTTTATTATGCGTGATACTAGTTACATTACATCCACTTCAGTTACACAACACATGAAAATCTCAGTTTCCAAGCAACCCAAACTAGTAAAACATTTTTTATTTCCATTTTTTCCGATAATTTGTCCCTAATTTCACATCACTTAGTCAAAAAGCCCATTTTATACGCATTAAGTTGATTATCTTGGATCCATAATCCATAGAGGGCCACCTTCATGGGTCAAATTACCAAAGGAAAGCTGAAATTTTGAACTTGAGCATTGAGCCACAATGTACATGCTATATTCTTTTCAATTATAATGATGAATGAATTTCTAGTCATTATACATATTTGTGTTCCTTTTGGGGGCAAAGCATATTAGCAAATAGCACACAGTTGCTTCCCTCCCATCACAAGGGAATCTAAATCTCATATCAAATCATCTTGGTCTTCGAGGGACCGTTTACGAGCTCGAAGATTGAGCTTAAGACTTTCAGGTAGGGGAGGTGTCCTCCCTCTGCGGAATAAAACTGCAAGAGCCCTCATTTTCTGGCAAAGATCAAATATCTGCAGGAAAAATGTAAATGTCATGGTATTAAGTTTTCAAACAACAGAGAACATTGGCAAATAATAACTGCTGAGTTTTTTGTACCGATGAAGCTTCTATTTCAGCAACACCCTCACAACCTTGACCACCTCCTTCAAGCAAGTCACAATACTTCACTGCCTCATTTTCATCTTCAAATACCTGCAACGATATTGTAAATTGTAAGTAAATAAATTATGCGAATGAATACAAAATTACAATAAATGTTAAGATATAAAGTCTCACATTAGAAGGTTAGCAACACATGTATATAAGTAAGAGAGCCTCAACTCTAAACTTGCCTAAGGGATTTTAGATAAAGGTTACTTAAGCTTGAGCCCAAACTCTTTCCCTCACCCATGGATCGGGCCTAAAAGGTCCAAAATTAAAAAGAAAAAAAGGAAGGTAAAAAAAAATAGCCTCTGACATAAAATGAAAAAAGAAAAAAGGAGCACAAATACCGGCAATAAATGCAAGTTTCAACGTGAAGTCAGTTTCATAGATTACAATTTTGTGTGGGTGCGTGTTTATGAATAGAATACATACCAGTACTCCCTCTCTAATATCTTCTACAAGCATTTGAAACTTTGTCCCTCCCCTTGCTTGTTTGGACTGATTTCCAATTCCAGATCTCCAGTTGCTGCCTTTAGAAAACAATAAGCCAAGCTCTCTTTCAACTTCGCTGTTACACAAAAAGTACACTCCGCTAAGGGGAATGCCAAACATTACATCAGAGAAAAGAACAGACTAAAGTGAATCAAACCTTCTATTTCTCCGGGTTTTCATTGTGCACAACTGATTTTCCTTTTGGGTGAGTACATACACAGGCTTTGAAGTTTCTCTCCAAGGGTTGGCATCTAAAACTGATGAACGAAAAGGAAAAAAAATCAATAATGATATTCTTTTTACAAAAAAATCAACCTGAGATTTTTCTGTGAGAAGTAGAAAATCTTTCTGCAAGTGTCTATTTTGACATATCTATCAATCCACATATACAACACACAAATGGACAGGGTTAGTCTTTACTAGCTGACAATCACAGTATATCTAAACGTTTGCAAGGTAGTGTGAAACTTATTTTATCTTTATCTTAAGTAACACTACATCAAACAGGTCGTACAATTATAGTTGTGGGGTTGAACAAACGCCCTGCAAGGAGTAGGGAGGAAAATCCCTCTGGTCTCTGGAGACAAGCAATGTAAGTACTGTTTTTGGTGATTACAGTTAGAAAGGAACATCACAATTTTCACGGATGAACTGTTGTTGCTGCCTCCTGTGAGAGTCGTTTTCTCAGCCTCTTTATTTTGCTCAGCCAATAGGTGCTATAAACAGGATTTCTTTGTTAAACAAGTAAAGAGATTGGTAATTTTAGCTTAGTTGATGAGCTTGCTGCTAGTTTGTTTGCTCTTCTAGGGAAGATTTCTTAGCTTCGTCTCCTTTAGACCTTTTCTCTCATGATCCTAGCTGTGTATTTGGATCAGCTTATTTTGAGGTTGAAGAAAATACAACTTTTTAAAGAGGGTTTTGAAAAAAAAAATTGTTCTCATACATGCTCTTGATAATATTTCTCTTTTTATCCAAAAAGTACAAATAGCCATTAAGTGCCTAAAATGCACACTGAAGTGCTAAGAAGAGGTGAATAGATCATCCACCTGAGTGAACAAGATCAGAAAACATTTATCAAGTATTACAACAAATGGGGCGAATAAGTTACTTTTGATCTGAATTGATAATAGTGTGTGCATTCGAATTTTATAATTCATAGACATGTATATCATGAACAATCAAAAGGATAAGCTCTTAAGTACAAACACATAATTGGTTTTTATATATGATTTTTCTAAAGTGTGCAAGTTTTTATTGAAAATTATAGTATTTAATAGTATCCACCATTAAATTGTTCTTAAGTTTTGTAATTTTTAATAAAAACCATATATAAATTCTTATAATGTGCAAGGATACATATATTAAACAAATCGTTTTATATTATATTTCTAACATGTCCCCTCGTGTGAAAGCCCCTTGGGACTTCAGGGGACAAAGGCATATTTTATTTTTTTTTAAATGGGGATGACAGTAAGGATTAAACTCTAGACCACTTTGGCACATAGGCTTTAATGACATGTCATGAGTCAACTATCATAAAAGCTAAAACTATTAGGTGAAGCCACATAAATAATTATATATCAATTTTTCCATGTGCGTTTAAAGTCATAATAAAATCTAATACATATGCAATTTGCAATAAAAAATTATTATTTATTAACTCCTTATTATGTGTCCCTAAACACATACTAGAAAAACCAATTTTATATTATTGGGTCTTTCAAACAATGTGAACATAACGGCACACGGGATTTTATGGTTTTGTTAGAATTAAGTTTAATAATAATAATAAAGTTAGGCCTTTAGGTTAACATTTTCCTTTTTATTTATTCTTTTAAAATGGTTCATCTTGGTTTTCACCAGAAGGAATGTAATCGGCGAGAATAGAACAACACCATTTTGTTCATTCCATTACTCATGGCAGCTAGTCACGTGTGTCAATGTCCAACGACTTAATTTGTGAATTGAATAAAATTGATAAATGCAGGAACGATCAAAATTTCATGCTCCAACCAATAATTTTGGCAACAATTCATTCATAAAGTTGAATTAAAGCGAGGAAGCAAAACGGAAGAGGAGGTACCGTCGTAGCTGCTAGTATCGAAGGACTGGTGGAGGTTGCGGCGCATATCATAGGCGCGTGAGGAAACGCGTTTGAGGAACTCGTTGGAGGTAGTGGGAATGGTGCCGTCCATGTGAAGCGCCCTCTCGACGTCGTCGTGAGTTCCGTCGCCGCCGAGGGTGCAGGAGACTGACAGGTGAGTCCTTCTGGTTCTGGCGGAGACGAGGGTGGGAACAAGACGACGGAAGGGGTTGGTGGGAGGGAGAACCATGGAAGGAGACACCGAAGGAAGAGAATCCATGGATGATTTGAATTCTGAAGAGAAGAAGAAGAAGAAGAAGAAAAGTTGAAGTTGGGGTTTGGGAGTTTGGAGATTTTTTGGGGAAGTTGGGGTCCACGTGGGTCTTATTTTTCTTTCTTCTGAATGAAATGAAAAACGCATGCCACGTCTCTTGTATTAAGGTATGAAGCCCCTAAACTTGGTCATCATCTTCTACATGATTACTTAATCATCTCAACTACTTCACTCCTACCCTATCCTATCACTACTTCTTCCTTAATCATCTCATTCCTATTTCAATTTTTACTCTCAGGCCAAGAATTGCAGAAGCGTTTTTCTTTAACCAATAAATAGGAGATAAAGATTATTATATATTATCCCCTTGTTAATCTTTATACTTTAGATTGACAAAAAATACAATAACTCGACTTGGAGGAAAATAAAGTAGAAGGTAATAAAAAAAAAACCATTTAACAATAAAAATTATTATGAAAAACTCGTTAGAAATAACAAATCAAATATAAGAAGTAAAATGAAAATGAAAAAATTTGAGAAATTAAAAACATAATTAAACCTTTTATAAATAGAAAGAAAATTGCTAATTACACGCTTAGAAGGGGAAAGTGCTTTTAGAGCTCCCATGTCTGTGGACCCAAAATAAAAATGCCCTTTTGTTTCTTCCACGTTTCACTCTTTGGAAACGTCCAGAGGGAAAGAAAGGAGAAAAATGACGACTGCTCCAAATTTTAATTTCAACTATGAAACAAACCCTTTCATTCAAACGCTTTGTCCAACACGTTTTCATCTCAAAACATGCCAAGAAGCAACAAAAATGCATAAGAAAAAAACAAAAGAAGGGTGGCAAGCATGCATACAGCATTAGCACAAGGATTTTTAATTCATAAAAGCATCATGTCATATAATGAGTATACATTAACAATTCCACTTGCATCAGGTAAACACTCGTTCAGTTCAAAAGAAAAATACAATTAAGAGCATAAAATGTAAGGTATCATTGAAAATTTACCAATCATAAACATAACAACAGAGAAATAATTGCAGGGATATGATCACATACGGTGCCTATATACAACCAAGTACATATAAGCATAAAACATTGCAAGCATCTTGTGATAAGATTCTTGCCCTATCTTGTGCATATTAGTTAACGAGATAGCTTGTAAAATAGAATAACAACTATAGCAAAAACAAGAGCTCCAATCAAAGATGCAACGATCCATTTGTTTCTAGTTATTCTCCGTGACATGGTAGTCAGTACCTTCTTACTCTTATCAATAGCATCATCTACTCCATGAAGCTGCAAGGTGTAGAAAAATGACCATCAACAATCGTCACAACTTTTACATTGAATTCATTATGTTGAAAGCTCACAATCTTATTCTCCCAGGAAGAAGTATCATAATTGGTTTTAATACTTCTTAGATAATAAGATCATCTCATGATTCTTTCCTAGTGAATGAAAACAGGACCAAAACTATCTAAAATTGACATAAAAATAGCATTTACATATCAAGATACCTTTTTATGGGAGTTCAGTAGAGTCTCTCTCTGTCCGTGTAAATCTTGGAGGATTGAGACACCAAGTTCTTCGGTCTCCAACAAGGTTCTTCGGCTCTCCCGAATTCTATCACTTGACTCATTTAATCTCTCCACTGACATAGTTAATCTTTCTCTCTGATCGGCAGATGCCTGCAATATTATCCATATTTCCCAGCCAAATAGTACATTAACAACATCAGATCAACCACACTACTTCCCTTATAAGTGCAACCAACTTCAAAAGCCTACTAATTTTAAATTCCAGAATTGGAAAATGGGGACAGGCCAGAGCATTGATTATGCATTTGCAACTGCACTACTTTCATTACAAGTGCAATCATTTTCAGAAACTGATTTTAATTTCAAATTTTAGAAAAACAAATTACTGGTATAAGCAAAACAGAGCCTGGGATAAGCATACACCTGCAACCTTATTTGCAAGTAACAATCAGTCTCATTCTCACCACATGCATAACACACACATACATAAATGAACAAATATATATATGCCATGAGGAATAATAATAATAATTAATAATGATAACAATAATAACAGTCATAATTCACAACCATTCTATAATAAATACTTCTGTAATAGCATAGCCTCTATAAAAACTGGACTCGGTAACTGATCAAACTCACATTCAGTCACAGATATTTTTTCAAACATCAATTGTGTCCAGCAACTAGAACCATACATTCTATAACAGAATTCAGGATTAAAAGAGAGTAAAGATATCAAAATTAAATACCCTAATATGATGTACCAAAAAAAAGATAATATAGCCAAAAAAGTGTAAATTTGGGACAAAAGTTAGTGTGTATTAATGGAAACAGTCGATCAATCAAAAGATCACTTTTTGAAGAGTCTTTAATGGTGGTCACTGTCATGAACCAACTACCCCAAAAGTTAAAGCCGCTATATGAATACAAATGAATAATTTCATATTATATTTCTAACATGCCTCCTCATGCAGGAGCTCTTTGGGATTGAAACGTGAACAACACATTGGTGTCTATCTATCTTATGCTGAAATAAATCTTCTTTTATTAGAAGAGTAGGGGCAGCAAGAATCAAATGCTAGTCGTGGGTTCATAAGAGCTCAAATACTATATATCATGAACCCACTATCCCAAAAACTTAAGCTGTTAGGAGACAACAAATGAATGGTGCTGGGGACCATAACCCATAAAGATCCTTGAAGACCTTTCTCCAATGGATTTTTATCCACTATTGAGGCATAAAATAACAATATCTTGCTTTCCCACTTACCTTATCACATAGGGGAAGATTACTTTCCTGATTGGTGCTTGTTACGGTATCCATAAATTTGAAAAGGTATTATATACTCTCTTAGGATTAACGGTTGTAATTTCTTTAATATCTTAAAAATTAGAGGGTATTAAAATTTTTTTAGCTAAACCACTAATTCTACTATTAAAATAATGATGACGATTATTTTACGTGTAAGAGAGGGTACCAAACCCTCTCAACTATAGGGAGTACCGTAGATTTTACCTTCCTAATTTTGGAGATCTCAACTTTCTTGACCCACAAGGATCCACTCTATATAATGCGGTAGGCAACTACACCGCCCATCAACATTGTCAATCAAGAGAAAAATCCCCAAGTACAATCGGGATTAAAGATCCTCAACCATCAAGATCCATGTAACAACAAATGGTTTTATATTTCTAACATTTACTTCAACTAACAAGTCAAATTATACTCATTCAAGATCTGGAAGAGAAGAGAACATATTTCACATAATCACAAACAAATAAGAGGGGGGGGGGGATCAGAACTAGAAACAGAACCTTTTTTTAAAAAAATTGGATCTCCCTAACCAAGAAAGTGTCAACTGTCAAGTTCTGTTCTGCTATTTCTTAGAAATAGATGCTATCAAGTAAAACAATCTAGAGTTCCAGATATACCAAATGTGTATCTGCCATTCCAGTCTCCAACAAATCTTCACGGGCAGCCTCATCAGCATTAGGTGATGTTAACCTTTTAAATTCCTTTTTCAACTTGTTTAGATCAGATTTATATTCCCTCAACTTTGCAAGAAGCATTGCTTTTACACTTGGCTGCAAACTCCTCGCCTCTAGGTCCATTTTCCGAATCTGGAGAGCAAGAGAAGAGGGATATAAAAAACAAATAGAAGATAATATATATAAACACAAATTGTGAATATGTGAGAAAACAATTCAACTTTGTACCAGAACATCAGCATCATCCAGTCCAGCTTTAATTTCAGCAAACTTTTGCTGCTTCTGTTCTGAAATTAGTGTTGATTAAAAACTCATCAGTAACCGGGATTGGATGTGAAAGTAAATGACAAGCCATCATGCATCATGTCACAGAAGCATGCCTGAGAAAACATTTGTCACCTAGCACATTAAATTAAATCCTCCAGCTCTTCTAGAAAAACTGTTTAAGAATTCATTTCTACTATTAACAAAAGAAACACATGACAAAATCAATGTCACCAGCTATCATCATATTGCACAACAAGTAGCAAAGATCAACAAGTCCAATAACACAACAAAAGCCAGTAATATAATTAACTCAACTGATCACTGATTAATAGCTGTTGGTGTCAGATACTTCGTGAAATCATAGAGCAGTAGCTCAAAATCATTTCATAACACAAAAACTAATGACTTTTAACAGTTTTAGGCTATGTTTGTTTTTCTGTTGATGTGCATTCCAACACTTCCAAAGAGATAAGCAAGAATCTGTTGCTGCCGTCTAAACATCCATTTGAATGGATCCAACGTGAAAACAATCAAGCACTCAGTGTGTGTTTGGAAACACATTACATCTCAAAAATCATGTTAAATAGATGCAAACATGCTTTGATTATTAAACTAACATATTTGGCAGGTACGAATGAAAATTAATTTTGACTCTAAACTAACGTTTGAGTTGATGCGTATGTGATAGATGATAACTTTTGCATTTAATTGAAAATTTTATACCGAGTTTTACTACAAACTTACTTTTTAAAAGAAAATTTTCCAAACATAAATTACGTTAATTTAAATTTTCTTTCAAGAAAAACAATTCTACAAAATTAAGTTCATTCAAACTCAAGTCTGCAAACGTTCACCCAAACACACAATTACTTGTTTTGGCCACCTCTTGCTATTCAAAGAACTTCTAGTAAACAAATTTTGGAAAATAACCCCTATTGTCTTGCTCAAAGCCACCAATTTCTAGTACACCAATCTTACACACCAATTCAACACAAAAAACTGGCCTTCGTTCATAGAGTACAGCTATCAGGCAAACTCTAGAAACATACATTCTATGAGTCTTCAGAACCAATCAGAGCAATGAAACACAAGGAGCAGTTCAAGAACAGATAAACAACAAGGAATAGGTGTAAAACGAAAAGGGTTCCTCAGAAACAAAACGAAACGACAATAAAGTTTGGATTTTGAAGGTACCCTGATCAGAAACAAGAGCCGTGGAACTGCATTTTCGGGAGAGATTAGCAGAGAGCTCACAGTACTGGCGCTCATACCCTTCGAAAACCTCACTCATCTTGTGACACCCTTTTTCAGGAAGAGATAAAAAAAAAGGGAACAAATTAAAAATTGGTAATTAGAAATAATAGAAACCCAATAGTGCAAGGTGATAGATGATTGACTTTACCTTACCTTGGATGATGGATCGAATAGTTTGAGCGATCTGTGAGGATTGAGATTGTTGTTGCTGGTTAACAGTGAAAAATGAAGAAGAAACAAAGAACAAGTTTTCTTTTGCACTGGAGGAACTGTAATTCCACCAAACGTAGGGAAGGATCGCCTGCGGTTCACACTCTTTGGACTTTTGTCTATGATGCCGTGTCGGTTAGTTAACGGTTGCCGGTTACTATTATATAATGGTCAGACAATAAAAAAAAGTCAACAGTCAATTTCTCTTTTTACTGCTACTTACTCAAACTAAATTCACTTGGAATTTTGTTCACGGAAAAATATATTTTAAAATTATAAGTAAGTTAAACTTATTTTTTTTTAAAATTGAAAATAGTCAATTTGAAGATATAAGTGTTGAAATTTGAATAAAAAGGAACATTTTAACATAAAATAAATAAGTAATTAATTATAAAAAGATTTTGAGGGAAAAACACTCAACAAAATGACCTGAGAGGATTTTAATAACTTAAATTTTTTGAACGAAATAAAAAATTAAGTTTGACTAATAATAGAGTCATACATCATAAAACAAAAAACAAAAAATATAGTAAAATATATACTCATACTAAAAAATAACTATTTATATTGAATACTGTTATATATGTAAGTCTTAAATTTATCCTTATACATACACAAACATACTTAAATATTGTTTACTTTCTACTCAGTTAATCACCTATTTTTTTAGATTTTTTTTGTTTAACTAATTGTAATTTTATATTCGATTTTTATAAATTTTTAATTTATTAAAATTAAATAATTACTTCGTAAATTTATTAAATAATTAAGAGATGCAATGAGAGTATAATATAATATTAATTCTTATAAATTTAAAAATGAAAATATATGAAATGTTTAACTAAAAAAAAATCTTCATTCTACTCTCCTTGACCATCTTCGAATAAGCCCTTTTCTAAAAAAATTATAAATATCTTATACTTTTTTTATTCTAAACAAAGTAATGTCGCATTAAATCTCTACTACATTCACTAAATTACTTTTTTATTTTTTTTCTACTGATTTATTCAAACAGCATAAATAAGCTGCAAGAAAGGTGGGCCATTGTTAAACTTGCTTTGTTCAATAACTATAAGCGACTGACAGTTGGAAGCCATTGGTTGAACGTTCCACAGTGGTAACCACCTTTCAACTCCAACATTCCATCACAAAAAAATAAAATAAATAAAATATACATTTTGAAATCAATAATTAAACTACTGAAATTAAAAACCTCTCCATCTCTATCAAACCTAATTAGTTTAGCTGCATCAAAACTCTTACCCGGTTGAATATCATTTCATATTATTAATAATGTCTTGTTAATTACTGTTCTAAAGACAGTAAAAGTAAAAGTTTTATTTTAAAAATACATAAAAATAGATTTATGAATTACATTTTCAGATTAAAGTTTTCAATTTTTGGTTTTTTAATCAATATTTTAAGAACATGATAACATTTGCGTGTTAATTTGGGATTAAAAATGATAATAACTTGACTTTTAATTTATTTTCTGAAATTAAACTTTTTTAAAAAATTAAAAGGAAAAAAAAGGATTTGATGTAATTGTCATGTTAACTTGGTCAATTCTCTTCTGAAACACAAACTTTCTCTTGTGGTTTCTTCCTTCACAAAACTAGATACACACAGACAAGAGAATCGGGTATTCATTCTTCTCTGCCTTGGGTCTTCTTACTTCTTAGTTTTTCTACTCAACATAGCAAAATTTGTCACATAATCATATAACTGTCCAACTATGTTCCACTTTGGGAGTTGAGTGAGTGCAACAATCATACTGTGATTGAAGTTTTATACTTTGGGAGTTTCTGAATCTGGGTTGTTCAAATCTCTGCTTTTCAACATCTATTTCAAGAGTATGTTTATTTTATTTTTATTTCATTTTTCCTCTTTTGAGCAATCAACTATGGTTCTGTGCAGCATTGAATGTGTCTGAGTGTTCAATTGATTGCTCAATGATTTATTGCTAGAAAGTGAACTTGGGATATAGTTTTGTACTTTTATTTATAATCAAATAATCTAATGAGTGGTCATTCATTTACAAATTTTGCTTAATGCTCTTTCTTGGTCTTACTGTGTTTTGTGCATATGATGAACTGAAATTTGAAAAATCTTTCATTCTGGTTCCTATTGTTTATGTTTCTTGCAGTAGCTGAATCCAACTTTCTCATTTTCTGAGATTACCTAGGAAACAATAAATTTTCTGTTTGTCTGCTGAAATGATGATCGTGTCTGCTCTATTGACCTCTGTTGGTATCAACGCTGTTCTCTGTGTGTTGTTCTTCACACTGTATTCTATATTGAGGAAACAACCGAGCAATTATGAAGTTTATGTGCCGCGCCTACTGGCCGAAGGAACTTCTAAGAGGAGAAGCCGTTTCAACTTAGAAAGACTAATTCCTTCTCCAGGTTGGGTTGCAAAAGCCTGGAGGCTTTCAGAGGAGGAACTGTTATCACTGTCAGGATTAGATGGTGTGGTGTTTATGCGCATTATAACCTTCAGGTATATCATTCCATTCATTGACATGAATCGTGTAAATGTGGATCCAGCGTAGAGATTACAACTAGTATTGTTGAAGTAAACTTGTATCCATGCCTATTCTAACATGAATCCAAACCATAGCCACATAATTCGCAGTACTCTCTGATACATGGTACAATAAGCTTCTGTTGTTTAAATTTTAGATTGAGTTCTTGTGTTTCTTGGATGCAGTTTGAAAATATTCACCTTTGCTGGGATTATTGGGATCCTTGTGCTTCTTCCAATCAACTGTTGGGGAAACCAGTTAAAAGATATTGATGTTGCAGACTTTGTGAATAACTCCTTGGATGTGTTCACTATATCAAATGTAAACAGTGGCTCTCACTGGTGAGTACTGCCTCAAGATTTTTTTGTTCTAATTGAGCTGCTCTTGGAGAACTTACTTCAGCCATGGGAGTTTTAGTATTCAGCGTTTATCTTTTATTATTGGTTTGTCATGGATTAGAATCTCTGAGTTTGTCATCCTTTGTGATTTTTGTTTCAGGTTATGGGTCCACTTCAGTGCTGTATATATTTTCACTGGATTCATATGTATACTACTTTTTTATGTAAGTATATCCGTTCTTATCTTACGGAAATATTTTGTCTAACTGCTTCAGCAATCACTCTACAGTTTTATGTGTCGTATATAAGACTTAATTATTATAGAGTTTTAAGATGAATATGTGTAATATCTAAGAAACTATTATGTCTTTTACTGGTATACTAGACTACTTAACGGGATAAGAATTACCTCTTAATCCTACCGGGCTTGATAATAAGTTTTCTTTTTAATTACTAATTGAAATATATAAGTAGATATAGCTTATACATGAGCCAACAATTGAACAACTTACTTATATTTCTATATTTTGTTAATCTTCAGGAATATAGATACATATCTTCCAGAAGAATTTCTTATTTATATTCATCCAAACCTCAGCCTCATCACTTCACCATTTTAGTTCGCAGCATTCCCACATACTCCTCTAGCAGCATCAGTGACAGTGTTGAGAACTTCTTTAAAGAGCTTTACCCTTCTACATATCTGTCAAATGTGGTTATTCGTCGTACAAGCAAAATTCAAAGTCTCCTAGTAAGGATTGTGTAGAATTTTTATTTCCATTTTTGTAATTGATTTTCTCCTTTATATTTTACATTTTCTTGGAAACTTTATTTTTAATCTTCCAAAGGTGTGCATAATTTTGTGGCTTTGTGCATTTCTACATATTTGTGCTTTAATTTCAAAATTTGAGTGTTGAGGTACATCATTTATAGTTGACAAAGAAGTCAAATCAGACCTTCAATTAAATAACAAGTTATTAAAACTGATTGGAATATCCTTTTCATATCATCCATGGAATTTAAAACAGAAGTCCATCCTCACTCTCTCACCTACATATATTTTTAGCTATCAACTCTCTGTTATTGCCCATCAACAAATATGAATTTTACTAAAATATTAATGACACCTGAATAACACATACCAAGCCTAAATACCATCCATACCAGGGAAAATAGAATTACTAAAGTACCCTTGTAAATTACTAAGATATGAGAGAGTGGGGATGATCATGTTGCTGCACAACTTGATCTACATTCTTGACCAAAAAAAAAAAAAAAAAAAAACCCTTGATCTACATTTAGTATTGACATTCAGAGTTCTTTTGACTGTATATGAATGGGACAGACAAATAAGCTGGAGCTGTGTGTACAATAATCTACCTATTTTCTTTCCCCTATTGAAGTGATTGACACCCCCCCCCCCCCATCCATCGCTTTTAATATATACTCATCTTACGTAGTGTTGTAAATCCGTGATTGAGAATCACTTATGAAGATGGTTATAAATGTGATATTCCATGAGAAAATAGTAAAATAAAGTTCCTAAAGAAAAACTCCGTGAGAGTTGAGACAATTATACTACTCAAAACCTTCATTCTAATCTATTATTATCTATTCACTGCTCAACCTTCATTCATTAATTTTAACAGATTTTCTGGAAATCCAATTATCCTTTCAATGGTATGTATAAGGGGGGGTGCTTTGTTGTTGATCAAATTAAGTGATCTGATATTCTATTTCTATTTCATTTTTAAGGATTATGCAACTCATTTCCCTATATTTCCATTTCTTTAATCTAGAATGAAGCAAAAATACTGTGTAAAAGAGTTATTCAATTACGATCAAATCCCACTCAGCAGAAGAATGAACGTGGTGGTTTTTTGGGACTTTTTGGCCCAAAAAATAATCTCATAGAGCATTATGAAAAGAAGTTAGAGGACATTGAGGAGAATGTAAGATTGAAACAGTCAGAGGCTTCATTGGCAGGAGGAGAAGTATGTGGTAATCTGTCTTTTTTTTCTTGAAAGAAACATCATAAAAGTAGTTTCATTCCTCTTTTAACTATTTACAATTTTCTCATATAAATTGCTTTCCAACAATATCTATTCTTGTTCAATATTCAAGTAGGTTCGAGCTGCCTTTGTGTTATTCAAGTCTCGTTTTGGTGCTGCAACTGCTTTCCATTTGCAGCAATCAGTCAATCCCACACAGTGGATTACTGAGCTAGCTCCAGAACCTCGTGATGTTTACTGGCCCTTCTTCTCTGAATCATTCATGCGAAAATGGATTTCTAAGTTGGTGATTGTACTTGTGTGTGCTCTTTTCACTATTACATTTCTTATACCTGTAGTAATCGTACAAGGGCTTACAAACCTGAGCCAATTGGAAATTTTGTTTCCCTTCTTGACAAGCATTCTAACCATGTAAGTTAGCTTGGTATATTTATTTTTTAATGCCTAACCCCTCTTTCTCTTTTTGTTATTTTGCTTCTCTTTTTTCCCTCCCCTCGTAGTCTCATTAATCATTATCCTTGGAGTTTATACTCAAAAGAATAACTTTGAGGGTTGAGTGAGAATTTGGTCAATGTGATTGTTGCATGTTTCTCAAAGTATACACTTTCAATTATTTAGATCACAAGTTGGTGATAGCTGATTTTATGTTGCCTTGATTGCATGTATTAGTTGGTTCAGACAAGGATAATTCAGGACACTGTTAATTGAGTTTAAAGCATAAAGCAAATTGAGATATCATCCTAGGTTGTCAGAACTCAGAACTATGGTTCTATCTATTGGTCGAAAGAAAAATGTTGCATGAATGTCTATACTTAGGAATATTGCAATCGGATTGCATGAACACAGCCTCAACACATAGAAACCCTGGGATAACCCTTGTTTTTCATACATATTTGCTTATGTATTAGTAAAGGTTTTGCAATTGACAGAGGATGGTAGTTACTTGAAGACCAGGTAGATGTCGTTGAAGAACTTTGTAGCAGCTTTACTCAATGTTGAAATTTATTTCTTGCCACTAGGATGTTCCAATCACAGCATTTTGTGTCTTGCCAAATATCTGGATGTGATTTTGTTTTTTCCTATCTAGTCAAATATCTACTTGTGATGCTAAATCTGCTTAACATTTTTGACATGCTAGCTTTAGATTTATGACTTGTTTTTTAATGTCTTAATGCAAAATCTGAGTTTTTTTGTGTACTTGCTTACAGAAACATTGTGAGTCAAATAATTACAGGATACCTTCCAAGCCTTATTCTTCAGTTGTCCCTGAAACTGGTGCCTCCTGCTATGGAGTTCCTTTCCTCCATTCAAGGGTACATCTCACATAGTGATATAGAAATGAGTGCATGTAATAAAGTGCTGTGGTTCACAATATGGAATGTATTTTTTGCAACTTTATTTTCTGGCTCAATCCTATCTATGCTGTCTGTCATCCTTGATCCCAAGGGCCTTCCCGGGAAGTTGGCAGTTGCAGTTCCAGCACAGGTTAGACAATGTTTCTCTCTGTTGTAAACGTTCCTAAAACTTATATTTCTGGGGCTGAAAAAATTTGGTGCAAATTAGAAAACATGTTCTCCCATCATAAAGTACCTTGAAACTTTTATTCAAATTACTTTTGAGGAATAAGGAGCAAGGACTCCCAAAAATAATGGTTCAGCTTTGAACCTAGTTTTATGTTCCATAAATTAATCTGATTTCAGCAAATCTTCCTTTGTCTGAGGCTCTGAGATGTATAAAGAAGTATCACTATCATTAATCATGATTTTTTAACAATATAAAATATAATTAGCAATATAACTTTACTAACCTTTTGCTTAAGCAGCTGCACCCTTTCTTTCTTTATTGAATGCACAAGTTACTATCTTAATTAACTGTAAAGCAGTAAAGCTAGCAAAGAGAAGAGAGGGATCACCCCTACTTCCTCCACACTTCATGTTAGTTGTTTTTTAAAATCGTCCATAATGAATTAATTCTAGAAGTCTTTTATGTTATTTACCCATAGCAAAAACAACTAGTATTTCAAATTGAAAAGGATGAGCTTATATATTCATATGTAGAGGCTAGCTTGACTAGCTGCTAAAAATATTTAGAGCTACTCAACAATGCCTGATTCAATTTATCTTTATTATAGTATTAGTTTAAGCATAAATGATTTTATAGGCACAAAAGGTAATAAATGACATTGTAGTTTCTGGTGGCAGTTACATATCGATGATTTCTCAAAAATAATGCTTCTTTCCTGGTCTAGAGTGAGGAGAAATATGAAGTGTAGAAGAATAAAAGTAGAAAAAGGCAGTAAAGAAGCTAAGTTTTTCACTAAATTGAATATTTAGTAACTCAATTGAATAGGCAAATGGAAAACCCTTGGAACCCCTGATCATACTTGGGTAAGAAGCATGAGCCCTGGCCCAAGTAATAAAAGGAACTTCAAAATCAAGTTTGTACATTACCAAAACGCTAAATCCTCAAATCACAAGGTAATTGAAATATGAAATATATAGTCTAAAATACCAATTTATAATAACATAATGTAATTCTTTTTATTTCCATCTCTTTGATGTAATTTATTTTTGTTTGATTGCAGGCTTCTTTTTTTATCACATATGTTGTCACATCAGGATGGACAAGTGTGTCATCAGAACTCTTCCGTATAATTCCTTACATTTTCAGTTTGATAACAAGGCCGTTCAAGTGTCCAGACGATGAATTTGACGTTCCATCTCTTCCATACCACAGGGATATGCCAAGGGTCTTGTTCATGGGACTTCTTGGTATTACATATTTCTTCCTAGCTCCACTAATTTTACCATTCCTCTTGGCCTACTTTTGTCTTGCATACATCATTTATCGAAACCAGGTAAGCATTTTTGTGGATTTTATTTTGACATTGATCTATTTCTAGAAGGGTTTTTGATTTGCTAAACCTATTTTATGCTATGGATGGTTTCTGAGGAGAATTATGATATTCGAAAAATATTCAATATATGAAATGTTCAAGATATAGAACCATTTCTAAGTCTCCATTTAATGGCTTCAGCTGTCAAATTGAATTTTTTTAATATGTTGCCAAATGATAAGTTTTATCCTTGTTGCACCCATTCTGACAATTAAATTGAATTACATTAAATTAAATTACTAAATAAAATGGGAGGATTATCCATACTTCAAGTCCAAAGGGCTCTCAAGTGATGGGGCAGGTCAGAGAGAGAGAGATATATAATCAGTCCTATGTCTCCACTTAATAGCTAAATCCGGGTGTTGGTTAATTTTTTTTTTCCCATAGTAGAAATTTGTTAAGACAAGGAAGTATAGTAACCAATACTAACAAAATGAGAAAATAGGAAAACTAAACCTAGAGGATAATCTTAGATATTCCAACATATGACAAGATATTTTCATTTATTCTTACAATTTTTAATCAAATAATTTAAATTGAGTGTATGCCGGGAACTGTTTGAGGGTAGTGTACTGTGGGTTATGGTTTTCAGAAATTCCTGTGAAATTAAGCCTTGTATGTTGTGGAGAAATATTTGTTAAGTAATTATGGATAATTGAGCAGTGGTTTTAGATATTCTTGCCACAACTAAAAGATAATTATAGGATCAGCAATGATTCAAGAGGTCATCTTGATGGTTTGGACAAGAACAAAGCAATTGGTTATTGTGAATGGAGCTCCTTCAAAATATACTAGTTGTATGAGCAATTTGGTTCATGCGGGTAAGGAGTAAGGGCGACTGCATGTAGGGTGCTTATTCCATGCTTCATGTAGGTTGCAGTAGTTATTGAAACGATATCATGACTCAAGCCAAAATGGGATGGGTGAAGCCAAATTCTAAAATATAACGAAGTTTGGAAATAGAAGATTGAATAGGAGATGGACTTGATTTAAGATAAATGAGGGATGTTTAAGATGGTTTGGAATTTGAAAGTAAACTGTTAAAGTGCGAGATTTTTTCAAAAGGTTGACTATTGTAAAGTGCTAGTAGTAATATAATCTTGATTGCCTGGCAGGTATTGCTGATATATGCAAGGATTATTTTCTTTTTGTAGATTTTGGAATCTGACAACGTTAATATAATTAAGTACCTATCTATTATGCAGTTTATAAATGTATATGCACCAAGGTATGAAACAGCTGGGAAATTTTGGCCTATTGTGCACAATTCAATGATATTTTCGCTTGTACTCATGCACACCATTGCAGTGGGAATATTTGCAGTGAAAAAGCTTTCTATAGCATCCACCTTGACGATTCCTCTACCAGTCCTCACACTTCTCTTCAACGAGTACTGCCGAAAAAGATTCCTGCCCATATTTGTTGCATACTCTGCAGAGGTACATTTCAAATTCAGAAAAGAACTAGAAGAGTGCTAGAAACAGTCTACAACAGTAATACTTTATTTTTAAATTACTTAATTATTGACTAAATTTTTTTGAAAATTATAAAAGTATGAGAGAGATTCATTAAATTAAGAGTGAGGACCATATATTTTTTTAAAATAAATCTTAGCTAATAATTATCAGTGCATTAGAAAGAGTATGTTAAACAATGTGTTGCTTGTTGCATAAAATCTTTGAGGTATGTTTTTAACGTTGGCTTGTGTTTCCAGAGTTTGATTAAGAAGGACAGGGAAGACCAAAATGATGCTACAATGACAGAGTTTTATGACAATTTGGTGAATGCTTATAAAGACCCTGCACTGCTTCCAAGTCACTTCTCATCAAACACTGACAGTCTTCGCAGTCCCCTTATATCTCAAACTTAATGCTGAGGCACAATGCTATTCAATATAAGAGAGGTGTGTGTGATTGAATATTCATATTTCAAGAGTAATGAAGTGAAAAGGAGCTTGTAAATGCCTTTGTGGGCAGATAGAAAACTCTTGAATTCCAACATAATGGTCGATTGTTATCAATGTCCTAAATGAAGAGCCTAAAACTTGCATATAGTATTAAACTTATCTTTTGCCTTGATTTGTGTATATCGAACTGATTGTGTATATGATATGTCTGCGCCAAAGAGGATGCTTAATTGACACATTTAGAGAATGGTTTTTGCTAGCAGGAACAAAATAAAAAGTATATTTTTACTTTAATTTTGCTCACACTTGCTATCTGGAAATTAAATTTTGAAAGCCATTTCTAAATTACTTTTAGAAGTGGTTTATATTTTTCATTAATTAAATATTAGAAATGATTTACGAATGACATAAAGAATTCAATTAATTTTCTGTTGAAATAAGGGGAAAAACAGGTGAGCCAATGTGGCAACATAAATAACTCGATCAGTGTTCTGTTTTGGTCAAGGACTCAAGTGTAGGATTAGACAACATTAACCAAATTATAGGTGACCCACTATGGACCAAACATATTTTGACCCAATCCATCACAGGTTGACACCGATGGAGCCCGAATTTTAAGGCCCTTGTTCTCCGCCCTTGAATGGTGCATACCGTTGACCCAGAAAAAATCTGAATGATGCAAACCAAATATATAGTATATATTAAGAAAATCAAAGTCTTGTTAACTTTCTTTTAAGAAGTATATGTTAGTAATCATGAATATTAATACACACCTATTTATTGGTCTGTAATTTCAATGAATTTTAATTTTAATTATGGAATTTATATTTATTTATCTCATTCTTATAAAAAATTAACATTCCACTAAATATATCTTTATATAAGAAATATATTAAATGAAAATGTCTTTTTTAAATAAAAATAATAAATGTGAGTCATGTAACTATATATAATAGTCAAGGTTAAAAGTTAATTAATGTCATATGATTAATTTAAAATATAATATATAAAATTTATTATTCTAATTTTTGCACATATAATATGAATGTCTCAATATACACACACACACGCGCGCTTTACAAGTGACAGAGTGAATTGTACAGGATTTGTGACGTTGACAAAAGGTTGCCGAAAGCTAATCTAAATCTATATTAAAAAGATGGTTCATTCCAGTTGAAAAAATATGTGGCAACAATAAAGAACCCAATCATGGCATACCAAAGCATATTATGAGAAGAATGTCTGTGCAACATATCCGTTTTATGAAGGACAAGATTCTTGAGATGCAAAGGTTCTTTGTGCAGTGTCAAAATTTTGGAGGAAAAAAAACAGAAAATTTAAAGAGCTTAAAGAAGGACCCTTATAAATTATACTCCTATGTTTGAAGACGTTAATTATTAAAAAAAATTGTTTAATTTCCTTTATACTTTTAAATTAAAAAAAGTTTTGTTTTTAATTTTTAAGTATTTTTCTATCAAACAAAATAAGAGAATTCTTCAGTGGAATAAAAACTATTCCGTTAAATACTCTCGTGTTAGTAAGATCAGATGATAAGTCATATTACAAAAGTGAAACCAATGAAATTTATACAAAAAAAGAGAGTGAATTTTACTATAATTATTTTGCATTTTTCTTCAAAACATGAAAAGATAATATATCTATCTACATTACTTTTCCATGAAAGAGAGGAAACAGCAGAAAATAGCATATTTGAAAACTTCAAAGTTATAAATATATTTTAACCATAATTTCATACTTTATTTCTCTCGTCTTTCTTCCATTTAAGCAAGAAGGAAATTTTTCTTGGTCCAAGAGAGGGTACACAACAAGGGTTTCCATTAAATAATTTCCCCTTAATTTGTTTTTCCTTTTCTAAATCCAATCTACATTTTGAATTGATCCTGGTAATTGCTGGAATAGTGGATAAGCAATAAGAACAAAGTTCCTATCTAAGCTGTATAGTTCAATTGAAAGGACACTCTTGAGATGCTTCTAAATTTTGACTATGAGATTATTTAATTCATGGTATATAATTTTGAGTTTAACATTAAAATCACATGCCTGTGAGTCTCAAGTATTATTGAGTTGTTTATGTTTGAATCATTGCATGAGAAAGTTTGGCGGCATTATTACAGTAATAATATCTTGAACTCTCCCTTAGATGAAAAGGAAAGTTCATTCAACAAGAAACAAAGCTGAATTAGACAAACAACATAAAGATCGCAAAAGCTTTGGAGGGCCCTCAAAGATCACAATCTCAACTGTAGAGCTTCAACCTGACTCTATAAAATGCATATGCTCTCCTACACACCATAAAGCAAAACTAAGCCTTTTGAATGAGGGGATGGTCAAAAGGAGAAAAGGAAAGGTGAACAAAGGAAAAACAACAGTGAGGGGAACATTGAATGGGACCAGCTAAGGGAAGAGAAAGCTGCTAACACCTGGACAAATTTCTAGCACTGTCACTCTTCTCATACTATTCCAGCTCTTCCCCCAAAAATTGCTTTTTTAAGTCCTTTAGTTAGAATTTGGATCCAAGTCTAGAGTAAAAATCTTCATCCTTTCATGTTGTCAAATTTAGATAATATGATTACTCATGTTAAAGAGAAATACAATTTTTACTAAATAAAAACAAAAATATTTATTGTCATTCCAGTATATCTATTATCACACTTTAAGATTTGTTCAATTTAAATATTATTATTAATTTAGCTAACCAATAAAAATAGCATTTTATATAAAAATTATTTTAAAAGGTGTGATAATAGAATCACTCAACAAAGACCTATAATTAATTGTAAGACTTATTAATTAAATTTGATAAAAATTGTATTATATATTTTTTTATCTCAAACATTATTGTTTTATGTTACCCTGCATCAGAATATCGAAATTCTTAAAACAATTGCTTATTCTTCTGTGGTTACACATTTTTTTGCCAACCATTATGAGGAAGAGATAGAAGTACAATCAGAACCCAAATTATTTCAACAATTGGAAGAACCCCACATAAAACCTTTTAGACATGGAAGAATGGGATAGTTTACAAGAAGTTATGATGGTGCTAGTTATGGTTATAGTGCCACAAATTAATACGTGCGTTATAGTAATGGGATTAATTAACGAAGTAAATTTTTGCCAAGAGGGTGTTAAGGAGGATTTCTGATTGAAGAATGAGTGTGCTAGAAATGTTGATGATGGCAATGATCATGGATTAAGAGAAGATTTGAAGGCATGTGGGGCTCATTGACTTCTTCATGTTTATGGATATACTTTAGGATCAATTGGTTGCACTTCTTCATTTGATACAAGAGGAATGGATTGGAGGGTTGAGGGGTCAATGGAGGATGGTGGAAGAGGACTATGATGAGGATGAGCCATCATCAATTGATAAAGCATCTTATAATTATGAAGCTTGGCTTTGCACTTTAATTGGGAAGTATGGTCTTTGCGGCAAAAGGTTGGATCAGATAATGCATTGGGATTGGAAAAGTTTTGAAGGATAGGACCCATCCATTAACAAAATAATCATACCACACAAAAGAGGAATAAAATGAATAAAACCTTTGAAATGGTAGGGCAGAAATAACTTGGGGTTGGCATGGCGAGGAACTAACAGGAAGAGTCTTCTTTAATTTATGTTTGAACTTCTTGATTTTCTTTCTTCTTTGGTGCTAATAAATTAGAATAACTTAAATATATTAATCATTAATAATAAAGGAAGGCATCTTGCCCATACTTTTCTTTAAAGTAAAAAAGAAAAACAAAATTGTATAACATATGATCAATGGTTAGGTATCCTAGCTTCAAGATTATATCAAACTAGATTTAGAATGCCACGTTGCATGAACACCGTAATTTAATCTATAAATTTTAATAATAGAAATAAATGCTAAAAATAGATAATATATGGAAATAATTATCCTTTTCCCCCCTTAACATGTGCATTATTTGATAGTTTTTCTTCTTATTTGTAGATCACATTGTTCTCCCAATAATAAGTAATGCCTTTATGAAAAATATTTAGTTCAAACTTATTTTGAATATTTCATCTACTAATATGGCCCTATATAACGTTATGAACAAAGAATGAACAAGATGATTAGTAATCAATTAATTACACGTTTAGAAAGTCAAAATTTGTAAAATGATACATATATATTTTATTAATGTTGTTTGGAATATTTTGGATGAAAGAGCATAAAGTGTATGGTACTCATTTAAACCTCTAATCTGAATTAATGCAGTGTATAAATGCATGTCAAGTAACACTTGTCCACGTTCATGTCAATCCCTCATAAGTTATGAAAAAAAAAAAGGTTGATTTGGAAGAAAACTCATACAAAAAGCTTAATTAATTAATTAGAATGTTAAAATAAATTGACTAAGCAGTTGAGATCTCAACAAAATAACGTATACTTCAATTTTTATATATTAGAACTAATATTTAATAAAGTAGTATAGCTTTGTAAAAAAATTGAACTCATACAGACCCACAAATATTTTATTTATATAACTTTTTAGCTTAAATATGCAAGAGCTTAAAAAAAGGAATATAATCTTTATTATGAATTTATTGTTAAAAGTGAACGAAAAAAAATATTTTTAAAAAGTACAGACTCTAGAAAATACGTATATAGCAAATTTATACATTTCATCTTTTAATTTATTTATTATTTCATTTTCATCTCTCAAAATTTTACAACTTTCAAACATAATTTTTAAAGAAATAATTTTTATTAACTTTATTAATTTCAATAAATACACTTATCTTTTATATAATATAACATATACTGCTATTATTCTTCCTGCTAGCTTTTGATCCTTGATGAACCAAAAAACTTAGGACAACCTTTCCTCAAAACCATAAAAAATGTCTAAAAATTGTGGTGTGAGATCCCCACAGCACATAGCATGGTAAACCCTCACCCTTATCAACAAATTTACTCCATACCTATGTCCTCTCTCTCAAAACATAGTCCATAAGAACACCCTCTCTTTGCTTCTATACCCTCAATTATCATTGCACCTTTGTTTTTACTTACCTAGGGACCATTGCACATGCACCATGAATATCAACGTTTCACTTTGATTCAACCATGAGGCCATGATCTTTCCTGGGTCCACTTGTTCTAAGCACCATCGAAATCACAACCTCCCAACCTATGTCATGCCCATAACCAAAGTTATAGAGGTAGCACACTTACTAGCCATGAAACTAATCACATATTA